TAGATCGGGAACCTTTCCCGCCGTGAGATCACCGTGACAGCTCGGATTTCCTGAGGAGTACCTACCTAGCTCTTGCTGGGTTCAGTGTTGATTTCCTCTCTTCTTGGGGTCCCTTGGAATAATCTTATTATGCAGGGATCTATGCTTTTCCTTTCCTTTTCCTTCCCCTTCCTCTGATCCTTCATTCCTCCTTTTGCTGTTTCTGCCGGGCTTTGCTACTGTATCTTTTTCTCTTGAATACATCTTGCGGTCTTGATTTCTTACCGTACACTTTCAAATACGTAATGCGGACTGACACCGTATCTTACGTTTCACCACTGTGTTTTCACATGCCCGTAACGTAAATTACGTTCAAATTTCTCACAAACGACAGACCCCGTGTTACATCAGTCTATTGACACCATCGCTAGCGCAACCAGATCGATCTCAAAACACGATCTCGAGAAGGCATGGTGAGGACAAGTGAGAAAGAGGCGCTGGACGGAAAGGCTTGTGTGACTTTCCCAGACCATATGGAAAAAGTCTTCGGACTCAGTTCCGTTCTGCTTCAAGCGCCTTGTCTTCTCCATCACATACAGACGACGACAACTTCCCGTCTTCTGAAGAGAGAGGGACAGTCACTTGTCCACTTCAGATGCTCGCGCGCCTACTGTTCCCGGCAGCAGGCAGAGCCGAGAGGAGAAACACAAAAAAGAAAGGACATCAGGTATCCATCCATTCATTCATCAAGACATCAGGACATGACAACCAGAAAAGGGAGTTAACTAAACACAGAAAACAATACCCGGGCTTGCTGCTTCACTGTATGTAGTGTACGCGCACCGGCCGGTGAGAACCGAATCACCTCACCAAAGACGGCCTAGTGGAACTGTGCGAGATCCAACAAAACAAATAACCGATCGACTGAATGGGGGGCCGGACGGACGGGCTGGCACATGCAGCCAGCAGCAAGCACGCTCAAAAAAAATGTCCGGTGATCAATCATTCGTCAACCACAGGGCTTTTCCCTGGGAAGGGTAAGGAAAAAGCAAAGATATCTCTCTCACAGTGCCACTCATGTGAGGAGGGAAGGAGTCAGTGGAAGCAAACCGAGGGACATGGAGCGCTCGCTCGGTGGGTGCCTAAAGAAAAGGAAGGAAGTGCAGAAGGAAGAAATCCCCTGAAACGGGAAACCCTTTGGTTACCTTTTTGGTTGCCATAAGGTTACCTTGAGCAGATGGATAGACAGGATGTGATTGGCCAGTGCGGAAACGAACATGATTGGATCTTATCGACATCGTGGCTGCCCGGGGTGGGAAGAAAAATGCCGGAAAATGGTTCGATGATGACGGCCCGGATGGGATTTCTTGAATCGATCGGATTTCATGGCACACATTCTTGAGATTCACATTCAACCTTGTGAGATGACCATGAGCAAGGACGAACACCGGATCACTTACTAACTGGTTTGTAATATGATAATAACGCTTATCGCGGACTCGCCTTTGGGGCGGCAGAATGACGCTGATTCTGACACGGCACGTCTTAACAACAACAACAATGGGGGCAACACTCGACTAAGAACGAGGGTTCTTGACGTATTGGTCGGGGTGGCACAGCTTGAGACAGAAGCGGGTTAGATTAGTGTTTTTTTTTTTTTTTTTCGATAACCGAATCTGCCCACACCCTTCCGTTCGTTTCTCGATCCGGGGGAATACATAGCCGGTCTTGGTACAAACTTTGTCTTATATCACGGACCCATTCACCCGGATCGGCGACTTCAGGGTATTCGAGGCAGGGCAATTGCAGGCTCATCATCCCCGAGTCCCCAACTTCCCAAACTCACCCAACCAACGAAGTTGTGTCTGTCTCACCTTGACGTGCATCTGTTGGCACTTTTTGGCACTTTTAACTTGCCTTGTCATTCCCCAATGTTAACCGCGCAACCACACGATGGGGGAATGGATCATGGGTGTATACGGCGTAGGCGTAGTATGTGTGGCAGTAGCAAAGAAGCAAGAAGCAAGCGCCTACCCACTCGCTGCCAACAAGGTAGTCCCAAGTTCATCCCACATGGCGTCCGTCCGACCGACCGACCGGTCCGTTGGCTAGGTTCACGGCCGGCAAGCCCGATCCGAGGGAAGAAGAGAGATTCTCTGTAGCCTTGCCGTCCAGCTGCTCGGTGCATAAACAGGGACCGCCTTGTGTGATGACAAGGATGGCCGGAAGGTGGGAGGACTGGCGTTCGCAGGCAAAACAGTCTCCGTTACTTTCCGAGCAATCGGGTTGACTGCTACCACTGCATCGACACTGGATGGTTTGTAGGGTGGTAAGGTCGTCCGTTGGTGGTGAAGGTGGTGAAACATTTGGCACGCCAGGCCAGGGTCCCTTCCTGTATGCACCTGGCTGCTTTTCTTGCTTCCACTGCTTGCTTCGGGTTGACGGTGGCGTTGGCAAGTCCCCGGAAAATGGAATGCGCCCTGCGGCCTGACAGGGACTTGGACACTGGCAACTGGATAGGCTACCCTTCACAGCCAGGTTCACGGTTCAGTGGTAACGTATCCTTCTTTATTTTCTTTAGTGATAGACAGTCCGTCGTGGTAGGGCTGTCGTTGTTTTGACTGACAACTGGAGTTGGCGATGTTTGGCAGTGGTGGCGGTGCTGCCGAACAAATCGGATCATAATGATGGTAATATGACGGCAATGCTGGACTCGGCGGACGGCAGTAGTATGGACTACGGCACCGGAACGGCGTGCTGCCGGTTTCCATCTCAATGCAGTCCGAAAGAGATCGGGGTGGAGTGGAACTGGAAGAGAAACTGCGACAGGGACTGAAGATGGGGATTGTGTTGTGCTCGGGGGAAACTGCCATCCACATGCTATTTCGGTACCGGTACGGCGCGGCACGGCCAGGCGGGGGAGATAGAAGGTTGTTGAGGAGAAAGAAAAAGAAAAAAAGGCGTTTTGCACAAATTCCCATTTCCAATCTTATCAGGAGAGGAAGGTAGCGCCGTGATAGACGCTGTCCGGTCTCAAAACTCTCATCGATAGGTCCATGACCTGTCATCGATGTCAACTTCAGTTGGAGGGTCAGTATCTGTCAAAGAACCCTGTCAGCCTGTCAACACGCATGTCTGTCACTCATGTGGATGTTTGGGCAAGCGCGATCTCGTGTAGGATGTCTAAGGGACGCGCGGCTTGTCAAGTTCGCATAAGGAAGGATGTTACCCGAGAAGTTGACAGGTCATCTTGACTCACGGATCGGATCTTTCCTCTTTCCCTCTCTCTCCTTCACTAGACCACAAACAGAGCAAGCGCTCCGGATCTCGCTCCTTCCCTTGAGGGGGCTTTTGCTTGCGTGATATTGGCTAGTGGGAAGGAGCAGGTCATGGGATCCTTGAATTTGGGGGGAGGAGAGAGAACTACGAGGAAGCTTCGTTTCCATTGTTTCAGCGACCGGTCGAGTATCATATACGCTCCATACCATACAGGTATTGACTGAAACTTTGCCTGCCGTGTCCAGGACTGGGATGGATGGATCTCTTGGGCTGCATCGGTTGACGAGCTGAGCATGCTGCTGCAAACAACGAGTGAGTGGTGATAATTGTGTCTCTTCGTGGGGGACAAGCGATCAGCAACTGATGTACTGCAGGTCACGTTTACACTTTGGCATATCACCAACCTGTAGGCCCGTGATTATTGTCGTCGTGTTGCTGTCTTGTTAATGTTGCCTAGCTGGCTGCCAAGTATGTGCAGCTATCCTGGAGGATAGGCGCATGTTTCTTTGCCACACTGAGTGGGTGAGGCAAGCCTTGTTGAACGAGAATGGGAAAGTCATCCGTGATGGTCTTCTTGTCCGGTTCATGATGGTACAAAGTGTACCTCTATGTGGCAGAGTCCGACTAGTCAACGATGGCCAAAGGCTTCCTTGACTGAGCAACATCGAACGACGATCTACAAGTGACACTTTCAATTTACTCACAACTATGCTTCCAACCGCCGTGCACACACTGAGCCAAAGAGGCAATAAATGCTCTAAGCAATGACTACGAATCACGGGGTCATCGCAGGGAGGTTTGCCTGTTGATGGCAAGGGAGTGGCTATTGATTCTGGTCCACAACCATGAGCCCATCCCATCCAACTTCATCCAAGCACCAACGGTTATTGAGAATGTGAACAGAAAAGTACCTACGTGAATGACTACATCCCAATACACCCCTTCACCCACTCTCTCTTCCTGACTAGTCTTGACGACCACCCCCTTCACAACTCACCCCTCATGCACGAACAGGTACACCACCTCCTGCACCTCCCATCGCTGCAGGACACTATCTCCTGGGGACATAACCGAGCAGTAACACCGTATGTAGCTACCAGTCTCCCAAGACGACACTACCCATGCAGTGTAAGTTGACAAGTCATGGTTGTTGGGTTAGTAAAAAAATGAGACTGGGAAACCGGTCCTCGTTGTCCTGCTGTCCGCCGTCGTTACATGGCTACAAATTTACTTGATTGTGACTGTTTGTCTGCTTGAAAAGCAAATCTGGAGTTTCAGAACAATGACCCCTATCAACTGACTGTGGCCGGTCAGTCACACAGTCACTCATCCGTTAAGTGACGGGTAGTGTCTCCCAAAGCCGGAGGTGGGTACCGTTCAAGTATCTGGAAGTATGTTCAGGTACACATACTGGTCACTTTGCTGTTATCAGCGCTGTTAATGTAACGAGCTATTATCAATAAAATACTGGCAAAGGGTGTGAAATCGTATGAGAAACATGTAAAGGTGGGTGGATTGTGACGATACCGTTCTAGAGATTGACAGCAACTATGGCACAGATCGAAAGATGCTTGGGTAAGATACACTAGGTGTAATCGAATGATACACAAAACTCAGTAAGGGTGGCAAGGGTTGTTTAGAAACGTATAAAATGGGTGTGGCCGGAATGCGGATCAATATCGAGTCCGTCGTTCGATAGCTATAGAATTGTTAGAGGTAGCAACGCTGGTGATCAGATGCTGCAGACAAACCCGCTTTATACGAAAGGCATTGCAAAAAGGTTTAGCAGAGTAGTTGATACAAGGCCGGCATCGAACCTTTTCTAGTTGAGGAAGCAACCCACAAGTCCTGATATAGTACTGAATATCGCGGATGAATGCGTAAAACAGTGACCGAAATACAAGATGGCTTCAAATGAACTGAACCAACACGTTTGACTACAAACGACACAATACTAGGAATATCTATCTCTGCAACCCAAAAATAAAAGAATCACATTTATCTCGCGATCATCGTCCAGCTCCCCTCAACCTTTCCCACAACGGCAACTGAGTCCTCTTCTTCACCTTCTTCGCACCTCCTCTCTCACCCTCAGTCGCCGTTCCACCAGCTCCTCCATAGCTACTCATCCCACTCTCATCCCGCCACTCTGGCGGCATCGGGGACACTGTCCCGCTAGCCATCCCCATGCCACCACCAACACCTTGCCAACTCTCAGAGATAGGGTCTACCGCATCATAGTAGTCATTGTAGTCATCTGTCAAGCCTCCTTGGTTGTAGGAGCCAACCTTTGCTGAACCGCAGTACGGTGTAGAGTCGTACTGATGGGAATTCGAATAATCCGCAACAAAAGCTGGGTCCGGGCTCATCAAACCCAAGCCCAAGCCACTTGCTTCACGCATCTTCTGTAGGCCACTGACCAAAGGCTCCACCAGTTGTGCTTTGTCGTATCCTCCTTGGAATTGGCTGTTCGCAGCTCTTGCTGTGTCTGTGTCTGCGGTTGGGCTAAACGGCGGAGGAGGTGGTGATTGCGGAGGAGAAACAGACTCGTCACCAATGTCGTCGGTTTGAGTAGCAGTTGATGGGCCATCATCGAGCCCTCCACGTCGATTTCCAAGTGTTTCGCCCTCAGCACCAGCACCAGCACCGTCACGCCTTTCACGTTCGCCTCTCATAGCCACCACCTTCCTCCACAGCGCTGGAAACCTCGTCTCAAGCTCCCTCTCCAGCTCTTGCTGTCTCTGATCAACCGCCCGGGCCCTCTCCTCTCTCTTAGCCGGGCCTAGCTCAGTGATCCGCCTCCCTCCCAGCCCTTCGCCGCTCTCATCAAACTCCTTAAGCCACTCCTCATACTCCCTATCTCTTCTCTGTCTTCGTTCTTCTTCCTCCGTTGCATCATTGTGGTACGATGATGTCCCACCGCCCCCTAGCAACTGCTCGGAACTGGATTCAGAAGCGGCACTCTTCCCCTTGTCCGTGATCCACTTGTCAAAACTATCCGCAAACTCCCTATAATGACCCTTCAAGATGAAACACTGGCCCTTCCAGCCCTTTCCGCGGAATTTGGCCAGTAGCGCGTTGGCGACGGGACATTCCCAGTCGAATTCTATGCATCGGTCGTAGAGTACCACGCAGCGGGACTGGTACCAGCCGTTGAAGGAGTGGCGGGAGGAAACGTCTGTGAAGGTGTCTTCGATCATCTCAAGCGAGGCATGCTGGATGAAGGAGACGGGGCAGCGGAGGTTTATGGCGGAGGAGATGTGGGACTTCTCGAAGTCGGTGGAGGAGCGGAGATCGAGTAAAAGGATGGCGCCGCGGTTGGGATAGATGGAGAGGATGGTGTTGAGGTGGCCTGGAAGAATCATACGAGCGGTGGCTTCTTTGCTGGTAGAGGTCTGGTGTGTAGAGTTGCGGCGATGGAGACTCTGGAGGTTGAGGGTTGTTTGTTCATGCTGCCGGCGCTGGTCGAACCAGAGCTGGTAAACCACATCAGTAAGTGAAACATGAAGACTAAAGAACATAGTAACTTACACCGACTATATTTGAATCTACGTTGAGTGTGGAGGAAAGAAGACCGATAATTGCTTCACTCGGTTGCGGGTCCTTCCGGAAACAGTCCTCCAAGTGGGCAATCGCTTCCCGAGTCAAGTTTTGGGCCTGATCTGTAGGGTCGCTCACATGTTCCGGTGGCCAAACTGGTGGTGTGCTTGTTACGTTGTCGGTGGTCCTTGTCAACGAAATGGCACTAAAGGATGTAGTTGACGAGTCTGGTGGATTAGACAGAGAAGGGTCCGGCGATGGCGACATGACAGAGCCAGCGAGCTGTCCCTCCGTATAACTGAGCACCGCGGGCCGAGAACCTAATTCATGCCTAGGATGTTTCATTTGGCGTGACCCAAAGTCTCCAGATTGTATGTGTGTGCGAGCTTGAGAATCAGTTTGATGAGTGTCTCCCGGGTAATTGGTAGTCATCTCAGATAACAAAGACTCCGTGTCAGCATCCATCGCCTGATTCTCCTCCTCTTCATTCCTAGCAGTTACTTCGCTTTCTGGCGGCGGCTTTGTTGTGTTCGATTCACGCAGAAGGTTGTTGGATCTGATAAAAGCTATAAAGGAACATGCTGGGTCATCAGGTAGAAGATCCCAAACCATGATAGGCAAAGAGAGGAGAAGCAGTGTTGAATGGCTTTTGAAGACTCCTTGAACTTTGACATATTTGGCGATGGCGGGAAAGCCGGCTAACCACTGCTCCCAAGCATTGAGATCCAACCTCTGGTCATCTTCGAGGGCTAATGAGATCATGACATGAGGCTCGTCCTCGTTGGGCTCACTGGTCATCGGAACAGACATACTAGGGAGAGATGGGTAGGCTGATCGTGACGACATCCCCCAGTCATCTTGTCGTGAACTGGAAACGAGACTCTGTTGCTGATACGGTGATAGTGAGCGTCTGGATTCCGGAACAAGTCGACCAATCTCTATGCTCGGTGCTTTGTGGTTGGACGTCATCATGAAATGCACAGGCGTTGACCTGGATTCAAAGTGTTTGCCATTGATAAGAACTGGTCTGGGATGCTTAAGACGTGCGAGAATCTCAGCATGTAACATGGCAGCCGAGAAGACCCTGTGCCGCCATTCCTGAAGGACTTCAATCAAGGCATTGGTGAAAGAGTATCGGCCAGGGTTTGGGGCGATGGCGTCCCAACTCGATGCCGAAATGGTTTCGGTAATGCTTTGACCACTTGGGAAGGTGGCACTAGCTGCTCCCGCGCAACAGTCAAGAAGAATCAAGACATCTGATGGGGATCTTTCGAGGAGTGTCTGAATAGCGGACCACCTATATTGCATAATGAGTAAGCTCACCTCAAAAGATGGTAGTGGATGGTACATATGGACTCACTGTAGCCATGGAGAGTTCGGATTCCGTGTTCTGATGGAAAGAGTAAGCATTAAAGACCATGCACACGGCGCACGGGACATATAAAAACTTACGCGCACCACGTACTCTGACGCGAATCATCAATCCGGGCATGGCCTCCATAGTAGACGATAAAGAGGGTCTTCTTGTCCTCATGTTGTTTGATCATGTCTCCGATTTTGAGCATTAGTTCGAGATGGGAGTTCTCGGTTGGGATGGCGAAGATATCGGTGTCATAGCGGTAGTCTTCTCGGAAACACTTCTCCAGATCCTCCAGTTCGGGAAGCACAAACAAGTCATCACAGGCCCAGTGAAGAAATAGAGCTTGGACTTTAGAGTACCGCTGCTGTGAAGATGCGGTAGTGGGAAATGCCCGATTGGCCGACTAACGGGCAGAAATCAGTTTGAGTCTGGGGACTTGTAGATAAGTGGGTGCTATGACATACATCTTCGAGGGCTTGAGCAAAAGTGTCAAGGTGTCTGACATGATAGCTAACACGACTGACATCGTGAGTTGCCGGGTTACATGATTCGCTGGCCGACCCGTACTAAGTATGTTAGACCATTTTGTTGATATGGCATGTTTTCGACAGTCCAGCCAAAGAAACGAGCGTCAACATACAGCCGAATCAGAATAATTCATAAAGTCATTTTCACTATGACGCGGCTGTCGGGTACGGATAGGGATAAATGCTGGAGTCGTAGAGTCCATCTGGGCAGATTGTAAGACGGTCAGGTCCTAACATGGACTTGAGGGTGTTGGACTGTGTCGATGGCCGTCGGATTGCTTGTGATACGGTACAACTACAAGGCGACATTGAAGTCAAGAATATCCGGTTGACGGCCTCAAGCTAAGCACGACAGAATGTGGCCAAGAAGGGCCCTTTTGTTTGGGTTGAAGGAGGACCACGGTCACCCGTTTGGGTTGAAGGAGGACCACGGTCACCCGTTTGGGTTTAGCCCAGGATCTGGGGGCGGTGGGGCTTATCAAGGCTGCCCCAGATTGACCCACCCTGTGATTAACCAATCAGAGAGCTTATAAGCTTCCCAAAAGGGATCGCTTCACGAAGAAGCACAGACCATTTTCTTCCAAGCGGCCGGACGGCGGGGAGACGTGGACTGTGGAGCTGGAGCTGTTGACAGCTGTTGATCGGTTCACCTCCAGCTTCAACAACTCCCGTCATCACGACATAAACAACACCACCCAGAGGCAGCTACTACATCCACAGAATATACAATCCTTCGTCTCACATATTTCCTGATCAAAATCAAACAGTCAATCAATCTTTTTATCTCCACAGAATATCGGTCCATCATGAGAGAGCGCATTACCTTCATCCAGAAGCAGGGCGACTCAATCGAGCCTACAACCCTCAAGATCAAGGGTGGTGATGCTGAGAAGGATGGTGCTGAGGAGGGCTCCGATGTCGAGAACGACATGGATGTCGACGAGGCTGACCTCAACGGCCCAGAGATCCAGGCTGCCCGTGAAGACAGACTCACCATTGCAATCGATGAACTACCGACAGACCTGCAAGCGCTCTTGGGAACAGCTCATGAGCTTCACATCAGATACGTCAGCTCGCAGCCATACGAAGCTATCACCCCCTTGCTAGCTAGGCTGCCGCCTGGCTTCCATCTGTTCTACACCCCGGCAAGGGAAGCCGATGCCACATCTCCAGCACTCTGCCTTGCCCTCAATAAAGTATTCGGAAATGTTCAGTGTGAAAACCCGCAGGTTGGTCTATTTCATCTCTCTTACCTACCTGATGGCGTTGGTGCTAATATCTTTACAGGAATCATTCGCGACTCTGCCAAGGGACCGTTTCTCTCACTCAGCTGCCTATCAATACTACCAGCAATCGGTAGACTTCTCCCCATTTATTGAATATGCCAAAGAGAGGCTGTGTTCATCTTCCAAGGACCAATCTTGCGCTTCCAGAGCCGACCGCTTAGCAGAGGCCAGCACGCTGGACATCTCATATGATGCTATCTCCCATGCCGTCAAGCTCACTGCAACATGGCCCTACCAGAAGCAAGAGGTGCACGCGACATCCCGTCCACAGACACGGACAGAGGTCGGAGTCTTGAACTCTGACCGGCCAGGACACGTCGAGCCTCATGAGCTGGCGATTTCCGGTCTCCTCACCGTGTTGGGGCAGGATAAGAAGCCGTCAGCGACCATGTTTGCTTTTGCCTCTCGACATCGTGACGCTGAATCGAGTTTCTCGGCCGAGTTTTTGGAGCCAACCGGTCTTCACCCTACCCTCAAACTCAACCTGAAGTCCAGCAAGCCACCTACTGAAGATGCCCACTGCTCACCACACGCATACTTCACCCTTCCCAAGACCATCTTCGCCGACAGACATCAACTATCAGATGACCTCTTTCTGGCCTCGAAGAATCTGACCGGTCTACGCTACATCTCTCAGCCCGTGGACCTCGAGGCTCCTGAATATGTTGAGAAGCGCTGGGGCTCTTCGCTTCTCTTGGAACTCTCGCCTCCCGAACACGAAAAATCCGAGTCATGGACGGCCCAAGTTCCCTTGCATTTGCGTTACCTATCCCCCGCCGAAGGTGGCTACACCGATATTGAGGTTCCGTACCCGGCTGTTTTCTGGGCCTGCACGGCTGAGGAGGGCACCAAGTTCCCTAATAATCCATTTGAGAAAGTCAACCTCGGCTACGACGGCCTTTTTGGTCCCAGAACGGTATTCTGGCATTTCGAGCCTCGCCCCGCAACTGATAACAGTTTGATCAACACCATCAAGGTGCCAGTTTTGGATACAAACAAGGCGGAGTGGGTAAGCGGCGGTACCGGGCTAGCGGTACTCCTTGGCTTTGCCTGGATTGTGTGGAAGTTGTTTGGAGTGCTCTCAAAGTCTGGATACCAAAACCAACCCGCTCAAGCTGCGGAAGCTGCCAAGATCAAGAAGAAGCAGTAATGGCCAAAAGTGGGATCAGGCGAGTGGACGAAGAGTACCTGAAGATAATGTAATTTTCAAACCATTCAATGTAAGTCACGCTAGCAAATTCGATGCTGACTGCAGTTAATCTAAGTACGCTCTGCTATTTTCGATCTGTATCCCGCGCTTGACAAAGTGGGAGAACAGCTTGGTGAGTGGCGTGTAAGCCGAGTGGTTTGTTCCAAGGTTTCATTGCATCCCGTAACTGCCTTTCACCTTCGCTTCATGGCAAGACAATTCCCAGGTCTTCTCCACCACCACCATCCTACCTAGAAAATAGACCCAATCTAACCGGGCATTTACTCTTTCCTTCATTCGTGGCCATCCTTCTGTCGGAATTTCGGATCGATCGACTTTCTTTGGAAAGTACTCAGCTTGCACCGCAGAGGTGGTACTGCACACTTTAGCTTCTTTGTCAACACACACCAACACCCACACACAGAAGCCCCCACGCTGAATGAAGCCCTCTGCAGCCGAGAAGGACAGAACAGGGATCATGTCAGAGAAGTATTGCCAAGGCCAATGACGTCGCCTCCCTCTGTTCTCAGGAGGCAAGTCTACACCACCCTTACCCAGTGCGTGTGTGAACAACCAAGTGTACTTGGCGACCTCTGAAATATCTCACCGAAGTGGCTCAAGTCAGCTGTGGAATGTCAGAATGTCTCGGGTAAATATGGAAACCAAGTCCAGGGATGACCGGAGACTTCTCACCTACTCTTGCCCGATTAGCTAAGAGTCGTACGAATCCCGCCTTTGGGTTCCTGTTCACATGGCAGGAGTACCCGTAAAAGGCCCTTGGATACTCCATTCTTTCCATGTAGTGAGCCAAGCGGGGAAAGATCATCCAGGGGACCTGCAGCTTGCTCTTTCGATCTCAACGTTGTCTCTTCGTTCTGGGAAGTTGTTGCGTCTGATCAGTCGGTGCCGAACATCCAGGTCCGGAACACTAGTTGTTATAAGTACAACACTCGTCCTCCCTCGTCTTATCATTTGTTTTCTCAGCATCTTTGGCGAACTCAACTTTCTGGCTAGTTGCAAACTTCATCCTCTAGAGGTTCTGATTTTGTATTCAACCCCGATTTCTTTACAAAAGACCGATTTCCGTCTAGCTACCAAGCAGCGGGAAAGCTTACTGAACCTCCACCAAACTCCTCTCTTGGTTCCAAGTACAGTTCAGTTACTACTCACTTCTCAAGAGCATAAAGATGGGTAGCAATCCGGATCGCAGACCAATCTTCGTGGCGACCCATCCTCGGGCTTGCTCCACGGCCTTCGAACGGGTATGTTCCGTCACTTTGAAGAAGAGACAAAGATTATAGGGAAAAGTCTAATCAAATGTCAACTACATAGGTATTTATGACCCGCCCAGACGCCCTGACTTGCGTCCACGAACCCTTCGGCGATGCTTTCTACTATGGCCCCGAACGCCCAAGCACGCGCTACGACCATGACGAGGCCGCAAGAGAGAAGAGTGGGTATTCGGAAGTTAGGTACGGCGATGTCATGGACAGAATATTGAAGGAGATGTTTGAAAACAACGTAAGTGTACACTGAAGCTTGTGTCTCACTCTGTCTCCTCCCGGGACATCATTTACCGATGACATTATTCATATGGTCTGACTCCCATTTGACTTTTGAAAAGACCCGCGTCTTCATCAAAGACATGGCCTACTACATCGTGCCTCCCAACGGCGACCGTCCCTTGGGCCCGGCGCACTCGCTCCGTCGCCACCCCCACCTGTTCGCGGATGAGAGCAATCCAACCTACATTCCCACCTCCCTTCTGATGCTATTCCACTGGACCTTCCTGATCCGCCACCCACGAAAGGCCATCCCGAGCTACTACCGCTGCACCATTCCACCGCTGAGCAAAAAGACGGGGTTCGACAAGTTCATGCCCAGCGAGGCGGGCTACCTCGAGCTCCGCAGGCTCTTCGAATTTTTGCACGACAAAAGAATCATTGTCGAGGAAAGCTGGTACGATACCGAGGAGCTGCGCGAGGTGAGGGGCACGATGTTTCGGCAGATGAAGGGAGACAGTATGTCGGCATGGAGCGGCCCTGATAGGGACGAACGGCTGGAGCAAGGCCCCGCGCTCAGCAGGCAGCTGGAAGACACACCAGGCCCTGTGAAGATCACGGTCATTGACGCGGATGACCTGCTCGACGATCCGGAGGGCACGCTGAGGGCTTACTGCGAGGCCATTGGCCTGGACTTTGACCCCAAGATGCTCAAGTGGGATGACGAGGAGAGCGAGAGGACAGCCAAAGAGGCGTTTGAGAAGTGGAACGGGTTTCATGATGATGCGATTGGGAGTACCGAGCTGAAGCCGCGGGAGCATAAGGCCGTAAGTGTTTTTCGTGCTTTAGAACCTCCCTGAATGCTTTGTGGCGGTAAAAGCAAAATGAAGCTGACAACATATAACGGGACAGAAAACACCGACCAAAGAGGAAGAGGACAAGGAATGGAAGGAGAAGTACGGAGAGGAGGGACAGAAGATAATCAGGGAGACGGTCGACAAGAATGTGGCCGACTATGAGTATCTCAAGAAGTTCGCTTTGAAGCCGAAGAAGTTGGAGCAGGAGTTCACAATGCTTGGATGATAAGACTCTGCTTGTAGTTTGGTCTGGGGATCATGTTTTGGGCCTTGAGCAGGTCGTGTACCTGAGTTATTATCATTAATCATTGAGGGCCCCCAACATTAATAACGGCAGAAGCAACAAACATCCAAGAGATCGTTTGCAAACGTTCGAATTGTATCAAGAGCATCAGAACATAGAGGGAACGACACTGAAGAGAACTGTTTTATCACCTCAAGGTGTGCAGTGAAAAGAGCAACGGGACGACACAGGAGAGGTTTCTGTGGCAGTTTAGCCACATCACTTTAGCTTGAGTTTACTTCACACATATCCAGGAACACTGCGGCTTTGCACAAAATAGTCATTTTTACAGAGAACTATGAATACAAACACAGGTCAGCGATATCAATCGACCGACCTGTTTTTACCCAAACCACACATATGATGATACAGATACAATTGTACACCCGGGGTATGATGGTTTATGGCCTAGAAGGGTGGCATGAAACTGTTCAAGAGAACTTTCCATTTCCAGGTTGGTTGTCCTCACTCACATCCACCCCGCTGTCTGCGGCTCAACAACCTCACATCTCCTTCTTCCGACCGGAGAGCACCTCAACGGAACTCGCACTCCTCCATTTCTCTTCCACCCCATTCAGCCCCTTCCATGACTGATCATCACCCTTTACTCGCTGCTCATCCTAATAGGCATCCTCTTCTTCTCGGCCTCGCCGGGAATACCAACCTCATGGCTGACGTTATCGCTCCACTCCCTCGCATGGAACTTATCCTGCTCGTTGGCCCAGTACACCGTCGCGCTTCTCAGCTGCCTCTTGACGTCGACAACAGCACCCTTTTCCACCGCCCCGCTCGCCTTCTTGATCTCGCCCACCATTTCTGACGAAGGCCCAACGCGAGACACCGCCCACATGAGGTTGCCCTTGCCGGCTCCCGCCAGCACGGCCGCCATGTCGGCCACGCTGTTGGGCTTCTGGTCGTTGAGCTCCTGGCCGCGCTCGCGCTTGGACTTGTGCATCAGCTTGCGGCCTTCCTCGGCCTCGTTAGCCCAGTCCAGCTCGTGCCGCTTCTTGAACTCGCGCAGCTTCTGGTAGATGGATCGGCCCACGGCGCCTTGCTCCTTGTCGGCCAGCTCGATCATGGCGAGCGGGCGCCAGTAGTCCTTGCGGATCTTGCGGGGGACGAGGTTCTTGCCTGTGAAAGGTTGTTGGCGGATGAGGTGTTGGTGCTATAGGGAAGGGTTTGCGCAATTGGTTAGTTAATTGGGACTAACTAAAAGATGATGATAAAAAGAGGGCAGGACAAGGGAGGGAGGGAGGTTGCGTACAGAGATAACAGGCTTGGTCGAGTAGATCACCTGGCCTTGCTCAATGTGGTGGAAGGCCCAGATGCGATCGCCATGGCCCTTGGGGTTTCCCTTGTTTCCTGGCTCTGACTTGAGCTGCAGCCTGGATGGGCTCTTGAGCTCGACAGCCGTCTCCTCGGCCAATGGGCTTGTCTTGAGAACGGCTGTGGTCGGTTTTGGGATCGCAGTGGTGGGGTGTGTGCTGGCGTGGCGCACGGCGCTGAGGCGCGAAACACCGAGGGCCAGGCGGCCTATTGTCGAGGTTGTTACGGAGTTCATGGTGGTTGTGTGGTTGTGTAGGTGGATGTGTAAGGAAAGTGTAGCACCACGCGCCCACGTTGACGACGACTACGGGAGTCTTCCGGCCTTGGACGGGACTGGGACTGGCGCTGGCGCTGGGGCGATCGGTCGGTCGGTCGGGGCGGCCGGTTTGTGGTCGCGTTTCGAGGTGTTGGGGTTAGGTATAGAGGTACTAGGCACAAGCACAAGCACAGGCGCAGGCAGGCAAGGCGCGGAGACGGAGGATCTGGAGACGGAACGGGACGGGGCTGCTCGCGCGCACGCCTGGAGCAGCAGTCGACTCGGATCGCGGAGGTCGGGACGGGACTCGGGGCTCAGAACATTTTTTGGTCCGTTAGGTTCCACCAATTCGGGCCCTCCAATGCGCGGGAATTGTGGGGCGGTGGGGCTTTTGCCTGCCGGAGCTAGAGCGGGCTGAATCCCTCCATGTACTTGTAGTTTGAAGCTCCCGCGGGACCATCTCCATCTCGTGTAAACAATCCTGCTCCTGCGTTTTGACTTCTCTGGTTCCAAATCGACAAGATTCGAGTTTCGTCCGAAATAAGCCAACCTTCCACTCATGCGGTTGAGGTTGAGGTAGCCATTGGTTTTGGGTGTGTGCTCAACCTCAACAACAGTATCTGGTACTCAAATAGACGGGTCCAGGAAGCCGGTCGGCACTTTGCCGAATCCCCGTTCCATGATACATACACACAAGACGGGACATTTGTTGCAAGGAACAGAGACTATCTTGTTCGCCCTTGTACTCAAGACTGGGAAACGGTCTGCTGCCGGTGCGTTAGACTGACAGCATGATCACATTGTTCACCATTTAGTCACTTCAGTTACACGGATTCAGCTTTGTTACCTAGTAGGTAAGTTGTATGATCTTTGCACTCTACACGGAAGAAGAGAATCACATGTCAAGGAACAGGGCGAATGTAATTATAGGACTTTGATTCTATTGGTGTCACTACACTTGAGTCTTCAGAATCAAATCTCGGCCTCCGCTATCCTTACACATGTCTACCTCATGAGAATCACAATGTCTTTCGTTCCATATTATGTAAAATATCTAAATATACAGGCCCAAAACTCCAAATGCAATGTGCGTGCTTCAAACCCCGAAGGCTATCCCATTTTCAAATTCCTCAAGTCATAATACCAAATTCCCGTCTCCCTTAACACTCGGGGCGTCCACGATTAGCTTCACTAATCCTCCTAGTCCACCTCCACGCCGTCGAACATGGCCAAGTCGTCTATCCTGTTAGACATCTAGTCGTCGTAAAGATCCTCATCCATCGAGTCCGGCGCAACCTCGTCGAGTGCATCATCCTCATCTATCATCTCCTCGTCCTCATCAAAAGCCTCGGGATGGTTGGGAAGGACCGTAACCTGGCCGTCTTGGACGACAACCCTGGCAACCTCGCCGTCGCGGATGGCGCCACGGAGGATCAGAACAGCCAAGCGGTTCAGAACCTCTTTCTCAAGCAGACGCTGCAGTGGTCTAGCGCCATAAGCTGGCGAGTAACCTTGAGCACCCAGCTTGTCTTTGGCTTCTTCCGACACCTCGATCCTGATATTGCGATCGTTGTCCTTGAGCCGCTTCTGGATTTCCGCAATGCGTAGATCGACAATCTTGCGGATTTCGCGACGAGTGAGACGGTTGAAGATGACAATCGAGCTGATACGGTTGAGGAACTCGGGAAGGAAGTAGTTGCGCAGGGCGTTCATGACAAGCTCGCGAGTGGTTGGATCAATCTTACCATCCTTGGCGTTGGGACGAGAAAGGTACTCAGCACCCAAGTTGGACGTCATGACAACAATGCAGTTCCTGGCGTCCACGACTCTGCCTTGACCATCCGTGATACGGCCGTCATCCATGAGCTGTAGCAGAACGGTCAAGACCTCCTTGGCTGCCTTCTCAACCTCGTCGAAGAGGAGGATGGAGAACGGCTTGCGGCGAAGGGCCTCAGTCAGCTGGCCACCAGAGTCGTGACCAACGTAACCGGGAGGAGCACCAATCATGCGGCTGAGAGAGTGACGCTCCTGATACTCAGACATGTCGAAACGGATCATGGCCTTGGGATCATCAAACAGGAACTCGGCAAGAGCCTTTGTGAGCAAAGTCTTACCGGTACCCGAAGGACCGCAGAACAGGAAGCTGGGAGGCTGGTTGGGGTTGGAGAGACCCGACCGCTGCAGTCTGATAGCGTTGGATACAGACTGAACGGCCTCCTTCTGACCGACAACAATCTTGCTGAGATGCTTCTCCATGTGCAAAAGCTTCTCCTTCTCGGTGGTCTTGAGGCGTGTGACGGGAATACCGGTCCACCGTGCTACGATCTCGTTGATCTGATCGGGACCAACGACATCAGTGATCATGGAACCACCGGTGTCGGCCGCATTGGCGCTGAGAGCAGCGTCGGCCGCAGCCTTCTCTCTCTCAAGCTTCTTGATAACCGCCTCTTGCTCGGGGATGGCGTAATACTGAAGGTCGGCAGCACGGCTGTGATCTCCCATTCTGCTAGCCTCTTCGGCCTTGACTCTCAAGCTCTCAAGCTTCATCTTGGCTTCCTGGATAGCCTTGCCTCTCTGTCTCTCCTTTTCGTATTTCTCGCGGAGGGGTCTGAGCTCCTCCTCCACGTTCTCGGCATCTTTCTTGGCCTGTTCAAGACGAGCCTTGGAAGCCTCATCCTTCTCGCGAGACAAGGCGTGGATCTCAATCTTGAGCTGGCGCAACTTGCGCTCCAGGGAATCGATGATCTCGGGCTGCGATTCTCGGGCGACTCTGACTGCGGCAGCCGCCTCGTCGATCAGATCGATAGCCGAATCAGGAAGTCTGCGAGAAGTGAGGTAGCGGGCCGCAAGAGTTGCAGCGGCCACAATGGCAGCATCGGAAATGGTGACACCATGGTGCACCTCGTACTTCTCCTTGAGACCACGGAGAATGGAAATTGTCTCCTGAACGGAGGGCTCCTTGACAATGACCTGCTGGAAGCGACGTTCAAAAGCGGCATCCTTCTCGATATACTTGCGGTACTCGGCCAGGGTGGTAGCGCCAATGCAGTGAAGCTGACCACGGGCGAGCATTGGCTTCAACAGGTTGGCCGCATCCATGCCGCCTTCTCCGGACGAGCCAGCGCCCATGAGCAAGTGGATTTCATCGATGAACAGGATGATCATGTCCTTGGACTCTTGGATCTCCTTCAGAACTCCCTTCATGCGCTCTTCGAACTCACCCCTGTACTTGCTGCCGGCCACCAGGGCACCGACATCAAGAGACAGAAGCTTGCAGGCGGCCAGATTGTCGGGTACATCAGCGTTGACGATGCGCTGAGCGAGACCCTCAACGACGGTAGTCTTACCGACACCAGGCTCACCGATGAGGACAGGGTTGTTCTTGGTACGACGAGAAAGGATACGGATGACTCTCCGAATTTCCTCCTCACGACCAATGACGGGGTCGATCTTGCCTTCCCTGGCCATGGCGGTCATATCAACGGTGAACTTGGCGAGGTTCTCGTGCTCCTCTTCGGTGTCGGCATTGCGAGAGTCGACGCGCTTGGTACCGCGGATGGCCTGGATAGCATCGGTAACGAGCTTTGGCTTGGGAATGTTGGCCTCCTTGAGCGCATTCGTGATCGACGGTTCCTCGGCCAGAGCTGTAATAAGATGGTCGACGGCAATGTATGTGTCTTTTTGCGTCTTCTGTAGCTCGTTGGCCTTGCGCAGGACTGTGGTGAAGGAAGGAGCCATCGAGACATGTTCGGGAGGAGGGTCTTGGCTGGGGAGGCGGACGAGTGACTTCTTGAGGGCGCGGTCGAACAGCTGGGGATCGCCATGGGCTCTCTCAATGACTTGGCGGAAGAGAGAGCTGGTGGGTGGGGCATTCTGCTGGTCTTTGCTCGGATCTGGGAGAGGGTCGAGAAGCGCGACTGCCAGGTGAACGGGGAGGAGTTGTGAGTGGGCGTATTGCTCTGCCAGGGCCATGGCATCCTCCAAAGCCTTCTTGGCCCGGTCGGTGAATTCCATTTTCGACGTCATGGTTGCTTATAGTGTGCGAGACTCTTGTTGGTCCCTGGAGAGTTTGTGTGGTGTTGTGCTTCGAGTTGGGTGTGTGTGGTGTTGTTGATGTAGAAAAGAGAAAGGTTTCAGAAGCTAGTGTGACGTAAGGCTTCAACCTTGAAAAACAGCTTTCGTGAAAATGTGTTTGGGGTATCTCTTGTACACTTTCGTGACGATGTTTTGATCCGGGGAAAAACGAAGAATTGCTGACCGGGGGGAGAGGTCAGACGGAGTGGAATTTATTCGTGAGCCTTGGTGGAGAGAGAAGCCGCGAGTTGATGCCCGAGCTGGCTGTGCAAGAGCAAAGCTGCTTCTCGATGGCCCTCGCAGCCTGTCGCAAGTGCGGGCGCATACGGGAAGAGAAACGACGACATCATAGTGACAAGCAGGCACCGGCAGGCCCCAGAAGCGACTCGAACCTTCAGCGGTCTTCCTGTCACCGTACTGGCTGCTGTTCGGGGCTGAGGGGTATAAAGTGGGTACCTCGAGGGCGGGGCACAAGCTTTCCAGTGGGGCACTTCCGGACTGTCTCTCCGTTCATTCGCAGTACCTGCATCGACAACCAAGCTGCTCATCATCAACAAGACAACCACAATGTCGGGATCTTCACACTCCAGCATCTCTCTTACAATGACTTTTCCCATCTACAGGTCTGGCCATGAAGGCACACCGAGGTCTTCGGATTGAATCACCTCCACTGCCATCACAGTATAAGGAAAGCTCCTTGCACATCCGTTCTTCCGATTTCTATGACGAGAAAGTCAAATGATGTTGCGGATCGTAGTGGGTTGGGTATCATGAGATGCCTCCGACCAAGCCCGCCCAACGTGAGCCAGCTTGGTTGGTCCCACTCCATACTTCTCCGGTATTCAAGGAACAAGGTCACCCACCAACGTTTAGGCCGTGGTGATGCTCGTATTAGGTGATAGTCTTTCGAGATGGATGAATTCTGTGACTTCGGTCGCGTTCTATATTACGATACTCCCACCCCTCGTTTGCCACTTATGTATTCATAAACACCTTCCCACTTGAGGGCCTCGGGAAGGAACGGTGAGATAGGTCAAAGAGTCTGAATGACAATCGATTATTCTACCTGTGTCAGTATACATGTTGGTGGTTGAGGGTCTTCAACATGTCTGATCGCAATCATGTCAGACCCTAACCCTTGCCCCTAAACAAAATAAACATCGCAGCACAACATCATCTGTCCAGCGCTCCCAAGGCTCAGCAAAGGGAGGGTAACAGTTCCATTCACGACTAGAAACACAAGCTTCCACTTCCACCGTCAAGTTGCCTTCTGCTTACGCTTTTTTCAGTCCAACAACTTTTTCGCTGCGATACCACTCCAGTATAACTTGCTCTGGAAAGGTATCATATACGGCTAATCCTGCCAGCAATCTGGATTACCAGGACGACTGTGAGGTCAGCCGGGCTCACCGGGCAGGAAACCACCATAGGTGAAGACCGAATACTGAAAGAGAGTGGGACACTGAATATAGAATCATCGGCCTCGATCGAGGGTTGTTTCTTCCTTCACACCGCAAGTCAGATGAACATGGCGATGCAGGAGTTCCCTCCGGAAATATAAACTTCATGGACGTCGGGTGGTAAATGCCGGCCTGTGACAGTGTCGCCGGGGCACGCCGGGGTCGCGCACGGCGAACGTAGGAGCGGGTAAAAGTGGGACTCGGCAATTTTAGCTTCGAGCATCCACTGAAGCCATTGCATCCAAAGTGGAGGATTGATGGGCTTGGCGTCCCCCGCATATCGGAGGAGTGGGTCTCCTTGTCGGTAAAAAAAAGTTCTGGCAGAGAAACGCGGGCGAACGTCCATCGGTCGCGGCCGTCAGAGCTTGGAGATTCCTATCGCATTGCATCACCAACTCCATCAATCCACAACACACCGACAAGATGCGCCCTCTTACAGAAACCGAGCAGAAGACCGTCTTCGAGAAGGTCAGTTCCAGTGCCGAAACAATCCCACATTATAACAAGGATGAACAACAGCTGACTGGTCGCATTGGCACCCTACAGCTTGCAAACTACTGCACCGATCTCAAGAGCCTTATCGCTCCTCTCGACGATGGCGACAGATACGTTTTCCGTCTGAACCACTCTCGCGTACGTTCCACCTCCCTCGCCTCCTCTCGGCCTTGTTCGATACACCGTCCCTTCCCCTCTGGCCGTGCGCCGCCGAGGACAACGACAACCGTAGCGACGACGACAACAGCCACCACACCACCAACCAGAATAAGGGCCAGATAGACTGACAAAGACGATGCTATACAGGTCTACTACGTCCGTCTCTCCGTTGCCAACCTCGCCACCAGTGTCAGCCGCGATGCCCTCCTCAGCTTGGGTACCTGCCTTGGCAAGATGACCAAGACCGGAAAGTTCAGACTTCACATCACTGCCCGTACGTTCCATATCCAATACCGAATCCTTATGCGGCTCCTGGGGCAGTTGGAATGTACCTGAAAGCTAACAACCTCATCACCAACCTTACAGTCCCTATCCTCTCCGAGCACGCCCGTCACAAGATTTGGGTCAAGGACAACGGTGCCCAGCCCTTCCTCTATGGCTCCAACGGTATGCCGCTCCCTCTCCCGATTTTCTAGCCCACTGGCTTCATAAAATTCTAACGAGTTTCCAAAAACAGTCGTCAAGGCCCACGTCGGCCGTTGGTCCGAGGACTGCCCCGAGCACTCCGGTGTCGTCGTCTACAGCATGGCCGATATCCCCCTCGGCTTCGGTGTCACAGCTCGCAGCACAACCGAGGCGCGCCGCCTTGATCCCACGGGTATCGTTTGCTTCCGTCAATCGGACTGCGGCGAGTACCTCCGTGATGAGGACACCCTTTTTGCTGGTTAAAGTGTCGGTCTGAGTAAGACGGATGGAAGGAAACAACGAAGGGTTGGAAAAGAGAAGGGCATATGAAAGTTTTTCTTAAGGAAGTACCATAAAGGCGTCCTGGCGTTTGCAACACTATACACTTTTGGTCAGAATCAGATACCTCCAGCATTCTTATCTGGGTAGATATAATTTGATCTTTTTTCTCGTCTAGCAAAAAGGGGTGGCCAAGACATGTCTACAGTATATATCATCCGTTGCGTTCGGAGCTTATCGACCCCGTCGTTCTTATACCTGTGAAAGCCATTGTTCGTCCAAATTCCAACCCACGCAACATACTCAAGTTGTTTCTGTTTACTTTGCTTTCAACATGTAATCCCAAGATGCAAACCCCGTCTATGTTTTTTCTCTGGTATAACCGCACCTCCTCTACCATACCATACCCTACCTCGACCCTTCAAGCCCGATGTCCCCCAACAGGACTAGCCGGCCTACTCACCGTATTATAGAAACTCACACTCTCCCTCTGCGCCACATACTCGCTATCCGCATACCCCAACAACTGCCCAATCTCCACGCTCTGGTGTCCCTTGATCCTTGCAATCTCCGCGCTCGCGTAGTTGGTCAGGCACCGGCCCACCTCCACCGCCTCGCCCTCCCACATCTTGCCGTCCGGACCGGGCGTAGACCTGCGCTTATCAACAACGCACAGCCGCACGGCCTCTTGCTGAGCAAAGAAGCCCTCGACGTCGACCACGCCGACGGGCAGCAGGCCGGCTTTGCCGAGAAGAGCCTTGTACGCGCCCTGGTCGATGTACAGAGTGCCGTGCGGGCGAAGGCCGTGCAGGATCCAGAAGTAGCGGTCGCGGACGGGCGAGGGCGAGGGGAGGAAGCGCGTGTGCAGGGGGATCTGGCTGCGATCGATGACGGCTGGGGCTTGCTCGATGCTCGGGGTGGCAGCCGCGGCGGCCGGGGTGGAGGTGCCGGAGCCGGAGCCGTTGTTGAGAGAGGCGAGAGCGGCGGTGGAGGGGTGGTTGACCTGGGTGGTGAGAGAGGCCGGGGAGTGGCTACCTTGGATGTGCTTGACGATCTTGTGGATGTTACCCGGGTTGGAAGAGCGGGTGATGACGGTGGTGACACCGGCGGAGGTGGCGAGGCGGGCGGCTACGATCTTGGTGGACATGCCGCCTGTGCCGAGCGATGAGCCGGCTTGGGAGACTGGGAAGTAGGAAGCACAGGTTAGGAAGGAGGTTCTGAGACACCGAGACGGGGCAGCGAAAAGGGGCCACTTACCATCGGCAACAAGGGCGCCGATATCTTCCACAACCTCGATCGGCTGGGCGTCAGGGTTGGTTCTGGGGTTCTTGTCATAGAGACAGTCGACGTCGGTCATGAGGAAGAGGAGATCGGCGTGGACCATGGCGGCGGTGATGGCTGACAGAGTATCGTTATCACCAAACTTGATTTCGGATACGGCCAGCGTATCGTTCTCGTTGACGATGGGGATCACGCCCATATCGAGCAGCTCATGTATAGTGTTCTGCGCATTGAGGTATCGTGACCGCTGAAGAGGAAGTCAGCGGAAAGTCGTTCATTCTAAGGTGTGTGATTCCCACTCACATCGGAAATATCGCTTCTGGTAAGCAAGATCTGGGCGATAGGCTGTCTAAGATGGTTGAACAAGCTATCCCATAGACTCATTAGGCGACACTGTCCGATAGCTGCCAAGGCCTGTCATGGTGTAAGTCAACTAAGATCCTTCTTGTTGTGCAAGTAGGAGGACTTACCTGCAACTTCGAGATATGTTTTGGTCTCCTCTCAACGTCCATTCTTTGGAGACCAACTCCAATGGCGCCGGAAGACACGATGATGACTTTGTGCCCATCTTTTCGTAGTTTGACCGCCGTCTCGACTATTAGGGTGAGAGTGGATAGAAGGGGTTCATGTGTCTTTTCGTCCACAATGGAACTGGTTCCTGGGGTAGTGCATGTTAGCCCATGAGCAGTGTGGCATGTAAGATCCCGAGTTGTTGTATGTGCCGTATCACATGAACTTAAAGCAGTTCATAATGCTTTGAGGGAAAACAAAAAGGGGTTTCCGCTCACCGAGTTTGATCACGACTCCAAGGGAACGAGGACCCCTCATGGCTGTAGCGAACAGAAGATATTAACACAAGCCCTTATACAACCACGCCACAGTCGTGGACTGAGACCGAATTTCATACAACGCCGAAGACAATCCTGGGGATGGGTGAGTGACATGAGAAAAGAGGTGTGTTTCTGCACTTACACACATGGTGATGTTGATGGTGGTGCGTCTCTGTCTCCATCTTATAAAATCCAAACTGTAGGTCGCCTGTACGCGTGTAATTTCACTCAACCCAAGCTTGACCAGTCAACAACCGTTTCTCGATTCGGAATCGATCCCTCAAGGTGCGTTCGGGTACGGGCATGCTTCCCTTCGGGTGCTTCTGGGGAACTGGAGTCACAGTGGGTGCCGCGACTTTGACAAAGTGGACCGAGTCATCGGATTGTTGATGCTGGCCGCGCCACCTGGCATTGGCCGACATCGGGGCATGGACCCTCAGGCCAAGGTTACAGGGTATTTCCAGCGCCCTTCAGGGACATACCGCCCCGGGCTTACCGCCTTTGTTGTCTCCGACAGGGCGTGAGATGCGGCTCTTGCGCGCTTCCTACCTAGGTTAGCAGGTCCCGAACTCCGGATGGAAGTCACACTCCACGTCCGGGTGGTGACGACATGCCTCTTTTCCGTGGTTGCTCCACTGTAAATTTTAGGTCACAGACTTCGGGTTAGTACAATCCATTGTTGCTAGCAACCCTCACAGCCGATACCTCCCCGTCAAGGTGCGCATCTCATCTCAAACACGATCCGATCCGATTTGCAGATCAAACGACTGGCCTCCATTCTCGACGATAACCTCCAGCTGCTGCCCAACACCCAGCCAGCCCATCCTCCGCTCGATCCCCGACTACCATCTTTCCCCAAGCAAACGCGACGTCCGAACAGACGACCACATCATAATCACCATGTCACCAGCGCCCACCACCAGCGCCGGCCCCGCGTCCTCGGGCATCCCTCCCTCCTCTCTCCCCACATCCACCGTCACCGAGAACGACACGAAACCTTCATCCTCTTCCTCAACAGCCAACGATCTCCTCCCGCGGTACCTAAACAACGACCCCGCCCGCACCGGCTACGACCCCTCCATCCAATGGTGGATGAACTACTTCAAGATCCTCACCGGCCAAATCACGCCCGAGGGCGTCGAGCACTACCGGGAGGACCGGTACAGAGCCAACGAGGCGCGCGACTGTGCGCGGTGCGAGGCCGACCGGGACTGGCTGTTCCAGAACTCGCCCGTGGTGCGGTTCCTGCGCGAGAAGGTGGCCGACCTGAATGGTGTTTTGGACGAGACCAATGTTGTTTGTCGTCGGTGTCCGAGCCGGATCGTGGTGATTCCCGGAAACAAGGAGAAGGGAGAGGAGGACAGGATAGAGGTTGCCAGACAGGGTGGTGGTTTCAGTCCTGATCATGGTATCCTGCTGTGCGCCAATGAGATGCGGAATCGAGGACACTTGGAGGATACGCTGGCGCATGAGATGGTGCATGCTTGGGATCATTTGAGGTGGAAGGTGGATTGGTTTGGGGAGAAGAGTTTGAGGCATGCTGCTTGTACTGAAGTGAGTTGACTTTCCCTTTCCCTTCCCCGTCCGTTTGTTCCGTCTCGAGCTGGAAGAAAAGTGGCTGACCTCCGGGGTGTTCTGAGCAGATCCGAGCATCAATGCTCAGTGGCGAGTGCAGATGGACACGCGAGTCTATTGTTAGAGGTAACTGGACGCTTACCCAACAATTCCAGAACTGCGTACGTATGCGAGCTATACAGTCGGTCATGGCACGGCCGACGTGCAAGGACGATGTCCATGCGACAAAGGTGGTCAACGAGGTCTGGGATTCGTGTTTTTCGGACAAGAGGCCGTTCGAGGAGATCTATAGGTGATCCCGAGGTTGTATCGCGGATGAAAGAGCGTTTTGTACCATGTACTGCTGCTGCTACTGCTCGATGAACAATCAGGGCTTGTACAATGATGATACCACTTCCACTTGAGGCCGCAGCTTTAACCTCGTTGCGCTAATGTCCACATTGGTTGAGCTTGTGATACTTAAACTACAGTCAACGTCCAGTCCGTTACTCGCTAGATGCCGGAACCTAGGTATGGATAGGCACAGATAAACAACTCATGAGCCCCTTTCGCCTTGATAACTTGAGGCAGCTTGATCTTGACCCTCTTCCTCTCGCTCAAACGCCCAGAACGCCGGTGATACAATATGAAAACAAACAAGCTGACAATGCAACTAGGCTCCACGCTTCCGCAGTGCTTGAAGAAAGTTCGAAAGAAATCAGACAAAGCAAAGGCAAACTAGAGACATATCCCTCAGTTGCCCATTTTGCTCGCCATCTTCTCCCGGTTCGCGGCCCTTTCTCCCTTGACGCAGTGCTTCAAGATCCAAGGGTGGTTCTCAACCTCCTCCAAAGGAAGACGTTTCTCCGGATCGAGTACCAGCAACTTATTTGAATTAGTTAGCATCGAAGGAGCATCCATGCGGGGAGCATTGACTTCTCACCTTCTTAATCAAATCCTTCGCCTCCTTGCTGACCCACTCGGGAATCGTCATATCCGCCCTCGCAATCCTCTTCTGTGTCATAATCGGTGTATCCTCGAACGGTGCCTCGCCGACCAGAAACTCGTAGGTCAACACGCCCAAGCTCCACAAGTCCACCTTCTCATTGTACCAGTTATCCTTGGACCCGCTCCGGATCATCTCTGGCGGCAGGTAATCCAGCGTTCCGCAGAGCGTCTGTCTCCGGTTGTTGGGCGCGTGCACGCTCCAGCCAAAATCCGATATCTTGATCTCCCCGTGGATGCCCACCAGAATGTTTTCCGGTTTGATATCGCGGTGGATGACGTGCTTGCGGTGCAAGTATTTGAGCGCCGAGGCCATTTGCGCAACGTACTGCGCTGCCTTCCACTCGGGGAAACGGTTCTCCTTGCGTAGGTGCTTGTATAGCTCGCCCTTGCCGGCGTACTCGAGGATCAGAAAGATGCGCTTGCTGTCGTGGAAGTGTCCGTACAACTTCAAGATGTTGGGGTGTCGTAGGTTCGACTGAATTTCGATCTCGCGGCGCACTTGCTTCTCGACTCCGGTGCCGTGTTGCAGTTCCGACTTGAAGAGCACCTTGAGGGCACAGATGAAACCGGAGCTGCGCTCCCGCGCGAGGTATACGCGGCCGAATTTGCCTTTGCCAAGCGGTCGACCGATTTCGAACATGCCAAGATGGAACTGTTTGGGGGATATCGATTGATCGTAGCCGGCACTGGAGGAAGATTCGGATGTAGATGTAACTGTCGAAGAAACGCTAGCGGAGGCCATTGGCTGGGAAAGTTCATCGTGATCATCATTGTCGACTCTACGGATGCCGGCGTATGTCGTGGACTTGTGAGCGGCGGATGAAACAACGGTCGAGGATTTCGTGGCAACGGGAACGGTTCTCTGTGGTTTTCGTGGTGAGCGAGGTTCGCTAGGGACGATGGGCGGATTCTTCCTTTGCGCGACTTGCGAAGGAACAGAGACGGAGGTGCTTACTACGGTATTGCCGCTTTGCGATTGAAGGGCTACTTTGAAGAGATTCGGCCTGCCGGGGGCGCTCGTGTGTGGTACTTGACTGGGACCTGCCTGCGATCGCGCATTTGAGTTAGACCAGCCATTGAGAAAACGTTGATGTATAGATCATACCTTTGACTTGAGCTCTCTCGCCTTTTGCTGAAGTCGAGCGCCATCGCTTGGATCATTGTTTTCGTCATGTATCGACATGCGCCCGAAGCGTGACTCCATCGGTTGGCCCGCCATCTTGGGCACGACGATTTCTGGGATCGCGAACGAGAAACGGTTGAGAGGAAGACTAGGTGGGATGTTGCATAGACGATGAAAGGATAGCGGGCGGGCGCAAGCAAAAGCGATAGACTTGATTCCTAGGGCGTCGTGTTGAAAGCGCAGGCCAGTTCAGTATTTGTTGGTTGAAGTTGGTTGTCAAGGTTGGTTGCACACAAGGCCAACGAAGTTGATGCTGATTGGAGTTGAGACGCTTCCCAGGTTGGTGTGCCAGGATTGGGGGTTTATTTACCGGGGCCCACAATTCCGTTGCCTAGCAACAGTCACTGCCCTGTCTGGCTGCGCCGTACTTACCCCCTGGGTCTCCTGAACAAACAACTGAGACCAGCAATTGGGAAGGTGGACTTGGGCTCAGTAGAGTTCACAGGATCACAAGAAGGTGCGCGCTTGAACTTGACAACCTGAACAGGTTTGGGGGTATTTGATACGGAAATGAATGTGACTGGATATTTTATTTGTTTAATTTTTTCTCAGATCTGGCAGAAGCACATTTGACGGCAGATGTCGTCGCAGCGATCAACCTGACATCCAAGCAATGCTCCAAGCCCTGCCGCCCCTGCAGGTGCGCGCTAACCCCGGGGCTGAACCGCTGAACGGGGCGAGCCCCGCTAAACCCCGCCAGATCTCCAAGCAGCTCCGAGCCTCTGACAGTCTCCAGTTCCACCTTGAGATAGAAAACACAACAGGTACATCTCGGCCTTCTTCGCACCATCAACTGCTGGGAATTGTACCAAGCTCGACGTTCGACCTCAGATAACGGTCCGACCTCCTAGATTGCCACAAGCACAGCAACAACTAGACATCAAATACCTCGAAACGCCCTCGACCTCTCCCGTACGCAGCAATCATACCTTCCACCAGTAGCACCGACCGAATCCCTCACCCGACGACGCCGCCCACCATGACGTCCGTAAAAATCAACCACATATCCTCGCTCAACGAGCCGTACCCCTCCCCCTCGGCCCTCGAAGCCGCCACGACGACACACGTCCAAGGCACCTTTGCCATCGCCACGCGCAAGCTGCCCATCCTGAAATCAGATCCCATCGACGCCATGTCCGCGCGGCTCGGGATCCCGATCCCCGAGATGATCTTCGGCGACAACCTGGTCTCGATCACGCACCGACCCACGGGCTGGTCGATCCAGTTCAACGCCGAGGACGCGCTCGACCGCGTCGACAAGACGGGCGAGAAGATGCTGCGGGTGGCGTACGCGGGCGAGTGGAGCTCGAGCCGCGAGAAGACGAGCGCGGGTATTAGTGAGGTGGTCAAGCCGTTTGACTGGAGTTATACGACGGATTATTGTGGGACGGAGAAGCCTGGCTCTGGCGGCGGGGCTGAAGGGACTGAAGGGAAGAAGGACAAAAAACTGCACGGGGATGAAAACACACCGGATATACCCATCGAGCTCCTGAAGCGCCGGGACCCGATCCTCTTCGCGGACGAGGTAGTCCTTTACGAGAGCGAGCTGGACGACAACGGGTGTAGTATCGTCAGCGTGAAGCTGCGGGTGATGGAGCATCGCATGTTGCTGCTGTGCCGGATGTTCATGCGGTTGGATAACGTGCTGGTGCGGGTGCGGGATACGAGGGTGTATGTGGACTTTGATAAGGAGGAGGTGATTAGGGAGTATACGGAGAGGGAGGATAAATTTGAGAATGTGAAGACGGTAAGTCCCAATGAAACCGAGAGAAAGGAAACGGTCTACAATGCAATGGCAGTTTTATTGACTTTGGTTGTGTTACGGAACAGAAACTCTTCATGCAAGGCCTCAAACTGGATCAGGTTACTATCGCGCTTCGTGATGCCAACCAGGTGGCGCCTCTGCTACCGCTCATCAAGCAGGGAGTTGAGAGCGTTATCCTAGGTCCCGGTGTTTCTGCAAAGACGACGACCACAACACGATTCCCAGGGCAAACGCAGTTCCCGCCACAGACGCAGTTTGTCCGTCCGCCACCAAGGTAGGGGTTGAGGGGCGGATTTCGACGAGGTGTCTAGAGCGTTGTATACAAGATAACACGGTTTAAAGGCAACACGGTTTAAAGGCTTTGATTTGAACGAAGAAACGGCGTTACTGGCGTTAGAATGGAGAACTGGGTAGGTAGAGACAGAATCGGGGCACTTGTTAATACCCATTGGACAGCCACGCCAGGAATACCATAAAGGATTCGTGACTATTCCTTTGACAAAACTTGCAATTCAAGACGCTTATCCATGCCAACCGCGTTTATGTCGACAATGAGCTCCTTCGGTAAGACCTGATGTAGACAAAACAATCCGGCTTTCCGCCAGTTGGTATACAGAACGCTAATAAACCAGACACCCGTCCGTCCCTCGTATAAAACAATAAAAACACTATCCACAACGGTAATTGCGTGAAAAAGTCATTTCACATGAAATCCAACCCCCTAACCCAGTTTATCCAACATCATCACATCACCTAGCATCCGGAACAGGCGAGCTCGGCTGCGTAACCTCCTCAAACGACAACTCCCACTTATCCACCTCCTTAAACTTCTTCGCCGCCTTCTGCAGCTCTTCACCCAGTCTCTCCGTCATCATCTGCGTCGTTTCCGGCAACTCCTCAGCCTCATCAAGGTCCATTGCAGAAACTGGTTCCTGGTCATTATCGTCCCCATCCTCCTCCTCATTGTCCCCGCTCCCACCCGCAGCAACAACACCACCATCAGCGTTCTCCTTATCGGAGCTCGCTCTGCCGTACGTTCGCTTTGGCTCCGAAGAGCCGGATTTGGATTTAGCGGCGGCTTTGCCGTTGGTAGTTGTACCAAGTGGAGGCTTCTTTTTCTGCTTTTCCTTTTCCTTTTGCTGCTTCTGCTTCTCGGCAGCAAGCGTCCTTTCCTTCTTTTTCCTGGCGGCAGTGGTGGCGACGTATGATAGTTCGTCACCGTCGGCGGCAGTCTCGTCTTCGGAGAAGGAGCCCTCGTCACTGGTGATGTCGTAAGGGTTCTCCTTGTTCCGCCCCTTTTTGTGCTTTTTGTCGGGTTTTGCGTGATTTCGTCGGGCGGGCAGTAAGCTCGTCAGCGCCTCTGTTGCTAGTTTTTCCTCTTCTCTCTTCTTCGCAGCTATGGCGGCCTTTTTTGTTGCTGCGGCTGCAGCTGCTGAGGCTTTCGCGATACTGGGAGCCTTGTAATTTGGTGAATGTGTGAGTGAGGGGGGTGATGAAAGCTCGGAGGACATGTCCGCGTCAATAGCTCCGACTGGCCCGGCGCCCAGACCTGGTAGTAACTCGGGGGTCTGAAGTCGCTCTGTGTAAACAGGTGCTGCTCGCCGGGTGTTGTACGACCTGTGCGTCAGGTTGTTGAGTGATGGCCAAGCCACCGGGCTTCCAGCTTCTGAGGAATCGCTTGCGGGTGGTGCGTTGACCGGGTCGTTAGGGTCGAGGGGTGGCCTGGACTGCCTGGGAGGACTGTATGGCATATGGTCCGGGACAGGCGAGAGGGCGGGTGTTGAGAGTGGCGATGACATGGGGCTGTCGCTTCCATCTCGCATCTCTATCGACTGGTGAATGACCTCATTTTCTTCCTCTTCGGGTTCAGGAACAGGTTGCTCATGTACCGATGATCTGCCTCGCTTGCTTCGACCAGAGTGGCTTTCGAGTGACTTGCGTTTCTTCGAGCGCCGTGACGGAGACCCGGTTTCCGTGAGTTCTTCATCGTCGACAGGCATTGCTCCAATAGAAGCCGGAATCGTGATATCAGCACCCGAAGCTGTACCTGTGAAAGCACTGGCACCAGACCGTCTCTTCGTCCTGTCGAGCGGTGTCGACTCGCCGTCTGGTCCTGAGTCGTCGTCTTCGACGGCAGCTTCTCGATCCACGTCCATGTTATCTTCGTCATCTGTCATGGGAATGCGTGACACCTGTGAGGCCACGGACTGAGATCTCTGTCTTCGTCCCTTCTGTGCGGTTCCCAAGATACTGGGCTCACGCGCTCGTCGCTTGAAAAGACCCAGATTAAGTGTAGACATGACGCTCGGTGTAGTTGGCCCCCTACTACTTGGCCTAACGGGTCCGTCATCTCTGCCTGATACACTGTTTTGACGTGGCCGGTGGCGCTGGAAGAGACCGACATCGAACGAAGAAGTGTTGGCGGACCGGTAGCCACCGGCATTTTTTGTGGTAATCGTAGGGTCTTCGAGGCTATCGTCAAGATCGAACATATCGTCATCCAGGTCCAAGCCGGAGGTATCGCCTGTTAGTCGCCGGGGCGCTCGTGGGCTCGGTCGGGTGGATTCCTTTTCTTCACGTCTGGAAGTCGCAGCATCGGGATTCTCGTCTGTGTCGGCAGTACCAGTTGTTGAAGTCATGTTGACCAGCCGGTCCATGGCCTGGTCTGCCCTCCGCGTCGAGTCCTCCAACGCCTTAACCTGGTCGGAATTCATTTGTCTTTTAGCTGCTTCAACAGCGGCGGCGCGCTTGGCACGTTCCTTTTCTCGATCACTGACATCGTATATATCGCTGCTTGGGTCTTTGGCAGTCGGTTTGGCAAGGACTGGTGGTGTGGCGGAGGAGCTGGTCGCCGTAGGTTGCGACGGCGCGACCCGTGATTTTCTTGGTCTGGGCATCGTGAATGTGTCGCAGGGTACTTGGCTGAGGTGGTCGGTGTCGGTCTTGGGTCTCGGGGAGTTTGGGAAGTTGGTAAGATTATATACTTGTATTAGGGCATCTCAGTGGCGGCGAAAACCATGGCAGACGGTGGTACATATGCAGATGATTCGGTGCTGTTCAATTTCCCGGAACTCCGCGTGGAAAGATTGGGTATTGATGCACGGTGGAGGTCGATGGGAGGAAAGTGCAGCGCATGGTGAGAGACGCGTTCCTTGATCAACACTGGGGTACCAAAAAAGACTGGGCCCTTCAAGCGCGTGGTCTGGAAGTACCTTTGTACCGTAGTGGGACCCCGTAAAATGCGGGGTGTGCCGTCGGCAGGCAAGCGTCTCCGCTCTCGGCAGCGATTTCCAGAGTGCTGGACCCAAGATGCAATCCAACACCTCAAGCTCAAGATATTCCTCGAGATCCCTGTCAGGAACCTCATTACGTCACTATCTGTAGCTAGCGTAGAGGTAGCTGGCTGCTGGAGTGGTGAACTGTTGAGCTCTCAAGCAGAGCTTCAAGCTTCCAACCAACGAACGAACGACATCAACGGGATCGGCCCAGGAAAATACTCCATAGAGGTAGCAGCTCCTGATCACTTACCTTACTCATTACTTCCCGCCTTTTCATCCTCACCAGCTATTTTTAAGGGTGCCAATTGCAACCACCATCTGTCTATGAAGGTGACACAACAAAATCTCACAATACTCCGATCTTCCACTTCCACTTCTTTACGTCTCATTACGAACTTCCATCACCACCAGAAACTTCCCATCACAACGTCCCGGACACAAATTACAACACCAAAGATGGCCACCCGCATAGCCTGCCGCGCCGCCTTCCGGCGCAACGTCGTCCCCGTCACCCTCGTCCTCACAACCACCTTCGCCCTAGCCTCCCGACAACAGCCTCTGAAGCTGGACGCTTTCAGCTCGCAGCAGTCGCGGTCTCTTCATTCCCAAAAGAACAACAAGGAAGAGTGGTTGAACCCGGAAACGATCAAGCAGCTTTCTAGTGGGAGTTTGGGCGGTATGGCTACCACCTAGCTCAAATATTGATTTCCTGTATATACGGGAGGCTAACATTGACTTTGTGTGGTCTTTGCAGGTTTTGCCACGGGTCTTTTGATCAGTGTCTTTTCCAAGACGCTTGTGTTGTTGGCTGGTGTTGGTATGGTGATAGTTCAGGTGCGTTTACTTTCTCTTTCTGAAAACAACATAAAAATGATGAGATACTGACAATGACGACGGCAATAGGTTGCGTCTCGTTACGGCATCAACCTGGTAGACATGCTGCATCTTCGGAACAGGGTGAACTCATCCAAGATTCTCAAGTCGTTGCAGCACAAGGTCGCCTTTAAGCTTGCCTTTGCCGTTACCTTTGCTCTTTCTGCCTTTATGTCATTCTAGATCAAGCAAGATTTAAAGAACGGGAAATTCATATTAATTCTACACGTCAAGATGCATTAATGGCGTATCACATAGGATTTTACGGAGTTGACATCAGGACATGTATGGTAATACATTGTATGTATTGATCATTTTACGCTTTTTGGAACTTCGGATATCCAATGTTTTGGGGCTGTCCTGGTTTTACAACTTTGAACATCCACCAAGCTTGGGATAGTTTGTGTGGTTAATTCCGGCACAGTAAAGTATTATTCGACACACTTGTCCACTGACACAGATCCAATGAAGGCTTGATGTGGACATTTTGACAGTCTTATCTTTATGAGGGTATCCAAAATCCGCAACGGCCGAACATCCTTCCAAACACTGAGCCGATCTCGCTTTGTACCCAAAAGGTCGGATTTCCCAAGCTCGGCTTCAAACAAGAACATCAGGCGCCATTTAGAATGGGCTCGTTTCCCGTAGCAGCCATTCCGTCGTGAGCTGATCTCCATCAAAGTAGCCTGCCATGTTCTTCCTGATCTCCTCGTTGGACTTATTCAGCCAGTCCTTCTCTTCCTGCGTCAGCAGGCTCTCGTCAATCAGCTTCCTGCAGTATGGAACCATGGTGACATGCTCGAAGCCCAAATACGGCTTGTCGCCGAATTGGTGCTCAGTCTTCACTTCGCGAACGATGGCCAGGTTCTCAATGCGGATTCCGTAGTTGCCATCCTCGTAGTAACCGGGCTCGATAGACAGCACGTTGCCAGGAGCCAGAGGGACATCGATGTATGCCTTCCTAGTGCCAATGCCAATGGGCCCTTCGTGAACGTTCAGGAAAGACCCCACTCCGTGGCCGGTTCCGTGGCGGTAGTCAAGGCCGTATTTCTAAGGTCATTGTTAGTAACCCATAAATATGATACCACTAAAAAAAGAGTAAGTGCTTACCCAGAGGAATTGGCGGGCCAAGGCATCCAAAGCGAAACCACTAGTTCCCTTGGGGAATACCGCAGTGTCTAGAGCCATGTTTCCCTTGAGAACCAGAGTGTAAGACTTCCTCTCGGCATCGGTTGGTTGGCCGAAATGTAGTGTTCTTGTGACATCCGTTGTTCCGTCATAAAACTGTGCGCCCGAGTCGCAGAGATAGATAGCATTAGGGTCAATCACAGAGCAGGACCCCCTTTCGGGCTTGTAGTGGATGATTGCGCCACTGCGATAATGTCAGCATTTTGATGTGAACGACGCATTACACGGAGAAACTCACTTTGGCCCCGTGGAAGAAATAGTGTCAAAGGAAAGACCAACAAAGTCGGATTGCTCGCTTCTGAACTTTTCCAGCTGGTCAGCGGCCTCCACCTCATCCAGCTTAGCCTTCTTGTTGATTAGCTGATCCTCAAGCCAGGCGAAGAACTTGATTAGGGCGGCGCCGTCACGGATGTGACACCTCCTCATGCCTTCAAGTTCCGTCTCGTTCTTGATGGCCTTTGCGTCCCCAATAGGACTCCTGACCTCGTCCACGTGCTTTTCGCCGCCCAATGCCAGCTTGAGAGCCCAAGAGGCTTTGTTGGAGACCAGGTACTTTGTGGGCTTGTCCGACTCGCTGGTGCTCTTGGCAGCATTCGCAAGTACCTCAGTGTCCTTGAAGAGGTCGGTGTAAGGCTTGATCTCGGTGCCATTCTCAGCCAAGTATTGCTTGACCTCGTCGTTCAATTTCGACTCATCGACGTACAAGGTTGCGCTGTCTTTTGTAACGATGGCGTAAGAGAAGAAGACGGGGTTGTATGGAATATCGTTGCCGCGCAAGTTGAAAAGCCACGCGATCTCGTCGAGCGTGGACACGACGAAAGCAGCGGCCTTCTTCTTCTCAAGCTCCTTGCGCAGGTCTGTGAGCTTCTCTGCTGAGCCCTTTCCTGAGTACTTGGCGCCAAGCAAGAAGACTGGCTCGCTGGGACGAGGTGGCCGGCTATCTCCCCATACAAGATCTACTAGGTTTTCGGTGATGGCCTTCAATCCTGCGCCGCCGTGCTTCTTGATATCGCCATTGAGTTTGTCGGCCACCGCTGGGGAAATCAGAGTGGGATCGATGCCGACAGTCTTTCCGCCAGCGGATTCGTCTGCTGTCCATTCTTGCCAGGTGGGGACATCTTGGAGCCCGGTCTTGAGCAAGTGCCAGTTCTCATCCAACTGCTTAGAAGCCTGGTTGAAGTAACGGCCATCCGTGGCCAAAGCGGCCTTGTCTAGCGTGACGACTGCTGTTCCGGCAGAGCCAGTGAATCCCGAGATGAAAGCACGGCGGGCGTCGCATGTGGCAATGTACTCGGAGGCATGGCTGTCTTCTGAGGGGACAACTGCAGGATTCCAGAAGGGTCAGCGGCCAGTGGAATCGTTTTGGCGGAGAAAGGCACGGGGCGTACCATAGATATCAACATTGCGCTCCTTCATGAGAGACCGCAGAGCGACCAAACGATCGGTTGTGTTGACAGTCATGCTCTCTTCGTCCGAAGTGGCTTTAAGATGTTGGAATAACCTTGATGTAAGAGAGAATGCTCTGGTCGAGTGTGTCGGCAGAGGGGAAGCAGTCGAGGCCTTGGGCAGACTATGTAGAACTCTGGAGGCTTGGGAGCGGATGGCTGATCGAGGGACGGAAGAGGTCGCAACTGCTGTCAGGCAAGAAGAGGGAAGGGACCAAAGGTTGCGCATGGAGAGGAGATGAGTTCCCGTAACGTCGCAAGAAGGACAGCCACGCAGACAGGACCAGAGGGGGGCAGTGATTTAATAGGATAACAGCTACCGAGAAGCTATCAGTCAAGTTGGGGACTTCTACTTTGGGCGTAGTTGGTGGACGGGACCTTGAGGGGCAACGGAAGATCCCATAGCAATGGAAGTGGAAGCACGTTGCAACGTTCTGGTCACACGACGGGATGGATCTCTACGTTATCGCAGGTACTTCTAGAACACTAGCGATACTGCACGTCAGTGTGACATGTGCAGGTACCTCCCTATCAGATTTGCTGGGTTCAACTCCATCTCGACGCGGGAGCTCCATTGGAGCTACTTTCCATTTTGAGCCATGTCACTCCACCTCCACCGGGCTCTGCGGCCGCCCTCCGCCGGGTGGTCCCGTCGCTACTGTTAGCGGAATCCCTACAATAGCGTGTATCCAGGGAGCTTTTACTAACAGATGGACCAAGCTGCTGGATGGACGCCAGCTTGTGTGACACAACACAAACACAACACACGACATGACAACATGATGTACGAGACACAATCCACTTGTTAATGATCAAACAAAGTTTGAAGCTTACCTCCGGATACCCGATCGAATGGTATAGCATATTCGGAAGGACTGGACGGGAAGAAGCTCGCTTAAGGGAAGCTTCCGGAGTTGTGACAAAAACTGTTTCTTTCTTGCCCCGCTGTGTCCGCCTGCCAACCCCAAGTGGCTGCGGAGCTGCCGCAGCGGCAACAGCCTGTTTTTTGTTTGGAGGGATGGGAGCCTCCCTTTGTTCTGATTTTGCCAACAGCAACCTCGAAAGATATCACAAGCCCAGTCAGCCATATCACTGGTTAAGCTTCACCCACACCATACTCTTGAGATAAAACCAAGGTCGACAATTACTTGTTACAGACCTGTCATTATTCAAAAATAGAAAGTCACCGAAGTTGACCTCGTCGACCTGATCAAAGACAGCTGGAGTTCAATCTCAGCTTGGGCACTTGAATCAAACACTGGCAATTCTAGCCCACCACAGGCTCCATCGTCTTTCATCACCGAAAACTGAAACAACAACCACAGACTTTGGTCTTGAAAACCTCTTCCCAAAAGTCAAGAGGCATCGCAAAGAGAAAAAAAAAGGAACAACACCAGCAAGGGCCCATCTCTCCGCTCTATCCTTGAATATCAGAGTGATAACAAACTCACGGTTCTGGAACCAAACGACCCACCGATACGATCCACCAGCTTCTCTTTATTGGCATTCCTCCTCAACACGCCTTCACTTTTCCTCGCCGAGTTTTTTACACTTACACTCCTCCTCACGACATAGTAGAGAATCAAAATGGAGCCACTACCATTGCCCACCAGTCTGGCCGAGGTGGAACAGGTAAGAGAAACTATGATAAGAGAATGGCGGGTTACGAACTACGGCACCCGTAGAGAGACCACGAGGCTAACACGCTGACAGTTGATTATAGCTCTCTATCAGCCGAATCCCCCTGAGACCGTCTCACGCATCCAGGAGGTTCTCCAGAGGCTACAAAAGTCCCCTGAGGGCTGGCAACTTTCCCAGAGTTTGATTGGAAACCCAAATGACAACATCAAATTCTATGCGGCCTTGACAATCATTGTCAAACTCAACAAAGACAGGTACCCTCGCCATCTCACTCCTCTTCCCTATTAGGCGTTGGCAGACTGACTGAGATCCTTCAAGTGCCAACCTCACCGACGATGAAGCAAAGGAGTTGCTCCAAAATATCCTGAGTTGGACAATAGCATCGTGCGCCCAAGGTGTTGCTCCCTTTGTTATCAAAAAGTTGTGCATTGCTCTCGTCACATTCTTCATCCACTTTTCTCAGCTATGGCCCAACTGCCTTCGGCACTTCCTTTACAGCCTTGATCTCGGACGGGCTACCCCTATCGAGGCATTGGACGACGCTGTAGAGACCACTTTCATCGTCAACAATCTTGAAATCTCCAAGCTCAAGGTCGCCATCTGGTTCGCAACCTCCCTTGTCGAAGAAGTCGGAAAGACGGATATGAACTCGATCAAGTACGTCCACGTACACGAGCGTCTCGTCCGTAATGCCCCCGACTTGGCTTTATTGCTAGCGCGCGGATTCCTCCCATCAGACGACACCTACCAGACCCAAGGGGAGTCGCTTGTCTGTTTCCAGGTGAGTAGAAGAAAGATATTTATCCAAGGACTAAAAGATCTCAAGGAACCGGTAACTGACAAATTAACAGGCCTGGATTCTCTACGCTCAACGACTGTCCTCCAATACCGATGTTCTAGTGACACATCTACGGGAACTTGTCAGTCCGGCTCTCAACTGCTTCGCCATCGACGATCTCTTCCAGCCAGCCTCCGAACTCTTTAGTGATGTACTCAGCAATTATTCGGGATTCTTCACAGAGTCACATTATGCGTCATTGGCCTCCTTATTCGACAGCGAGTGGGCGGCAGAGCACTACAACAGGGTCATTCACGGCGACCATCAGCTTGATGGCATTTCATTTGGCCTTCTGATGCTTGCGTATGGTGATGCCAAGGTGTCGGATCTCATGTGTAGCACAGACGAGCGGTCCCAGAGGTTTCTGGGCAGACTAGCTGGTCTTCTCGCTGCTGATGGCTATCTGGTGGGCGAGGATTCGATATTCGTCCCTGCCCTGGAGTTCTGGGCCACGTTTGTCGAAACCATGATCGACAATATCTACTCGGAAGAAGAAGCAAAAGTAAACGTCTGGCGCCCGCATGCTGAACAACACCTCAAGAGCGTCGTGTCGAACTGCTGGAGGAAGGCACAATGGCCCCCTGCAGAGACTTTCGCCGAGTGGGATTCCAACGAGCGTGTCGGCTTTACGGATGCGAGAAAAGACATAGCTGATATGCTACAGTCTATCTTCACTCTCGAGAATCTCACCCTGGTCTCATTTTTCTCTGGTCTTTTCCTCCAGGCCCTCTCTGTCCAGTCGTGGGCTGAAGTTGAGGCATCGGCATTCTGTCTCGGATCTTTGTCCGACTGTATCACGGAAGACCCCCAATATGACGTGGAGTTAAGCAAGGTCTTTGCTTCACCCTTCTTTGATCTTCTCGGCCAGGCTCAAGGCCCGGTCCCGCTACGTCTGCGCCAGACATGTCTTTTGCTCATTGAGCGGTACTGTGAGTACTTTGAGCGACATTTCGAGTATCTCCCTCATGCGCTCAACCTGCTATTTGCGGCCGTCGGCGACCCTGTTCTTGGTGGACCTTCTGCGAAATCCATCTCGACTCTCTGCTCATCGTGCCGCTGCATTCTCACGAGCGAAGCACCGGCATTCATCATGCACTACCAAACAATTCGTAGCAGACAAGTTCTCGACTCTCTTGCGGAGGAGCGTATCATCCTTGCCATCGCCTCCATCATTCAGGCTATTCCGGATTCGGACCAGAAGCTGGCTGTCTTTGAGAACCTCTACTCGATCATCAAAGCAGACTGCGAGCGTGCTGTCCAGCTCAAACATCAGCCCAGCATGTTGAACCTGTCCGACCCCAACTTCTTGCGCGGTGTTGAGCAACCGGGCGATGTTCCTTCTGCCGATGCAGTCTCTCATGAACTCGCCGTCCGCGCTCTCCGGTCGCTTCAAAGCATGGCCAAGGGTATGCAGGATGTCAAGGAGCATGTGGTTGACATTGATGCCGATCCTTCCTCCACCAACCAGGACCCGAAACTCTCCGCTATCCAGTCCGATATCCTCAACGTCTTGGTCGAGATGCAAAGAACTTTCAACACCAGCGGGGAGATCGTGGAGATAATATGCATCATCTTCCGAGCGGGATTTTCAGAGACTGAGTCGGGCCCGTTCGTGTTCCCTCCAGAAGTTGTGACAAACTTCTTCAGTCAACAAAGATTCGAAACCCCTAGGCTGGGCACTTTGCTCAGCACGGCATGCTCTTTTGTCGGAAGTCTGTACAGGGGACCGAAGAACATGATTCCGTCCTTACTGGCTCAGTTACTACCTTGGGTAATCAACATGCTCAGTAGTCTCCCGGAACCAGAAAGTGATACGGAAGTTGCGCAGAATGGCATTTGCTTTGTGGATAAGATTATGACAAGATATCCCGAGGTGGTGTTCCAGATCCAGCCGTCACAGATGCTCGAGTTCTTTTTCATGTTCTCGCTCAAGGTCCTGAACGGGAAGGAGCCGCTGCCGAAGACAGCGTCAGCGGAGTTTTGGGTATGTCTCTCCACGCCTGCTAACCCTCAACTCAAACGTTTTGTTGTACTGACACGCAAACCAGAGTAACTTCATTACCCTGAAATCTGAGTCCCCCGATCTCCAAGGAACCATCAACAACGCGATGGAGCACCTTGGGCCGCTTATATCACAGACTCTCATCCAGAATATCGGTGGAAACGCTGCTAGGAGCGAGCTAGACAAGCTGAGTGATCCTCTCAAGAAGCTTGTGGCGAGCCAAGTGCGTTCAAGGCAATGGCTCGAACAGGCGCTCTTCGACCAGAGTTTCCCCAGTCAGCAGGTAGGCAGCGAAGAGAAGTCGACCTTTTTGAAGAAGATTATTGGGTAAGTCTGTCATTTACTCTGCTGTTCCATATACAAACTGCTGACCTACATTCACACAGACTGAGAGGAGCGAGGACTACCAACCAGGTGGTAAGGGAGTTCTGGCTGGCTTGCAGGGGTTCAAACTTTTCATATGCTTCCTAAGCGTGTGCAATGGATTGTTACGAGCATTCGAACTTAATAGAGATTATGGAGTAACTTCTGTGACTTTTTCTGTGTAATAAGTTGAATCGCTCTTTCCTGTTCGGGTGATCTTAACAAAGAATGGCTCTTGAAAGCATTATTTGGACATGGTAGACAACGTTGAAAGCTGAACTGGGACCAAGTCACTAAAACAACTGTATTTTACTTGGAACGAGTACTCACGGTGTATATATTCTCTCCCCAATTCTTCATCATTAGGCACATATGTACCAATGAAATCGTTACTGTGTATAAAGGTAGGAAGCGAGCTCGGAAGGGCTCGAGGAGAGCTCTATTGCCTCTAGACGTGGTCCTAGCGTCACCCTCATAACTAACCCTGCCAAGCCCAAGTTGCATCAGGGGTGGGTTGTCATTTCCCATACACAACCCTCACTCTTCAACCGCAGTTCATCCCATCTCCAGTCGAGCTTCACCCAGACTGAATCCACTACGGCTCAGTGTAAGTCCAAATACCCGGTTACCATGCGCTCACTAAAGGAAGCTGCTTACTTTGAAAGCGTCCTTGAACCTTCATTTGGTCAAACAAGAACTGACACGCACGGCAGGACATTGGGATCGATCTTTGGAGGTGAACCCTCTCACACAACATGAAGTCCCTCACCAGGCCCTACGGCCTCATGTGCCGGCAAGGCCTCACTTCCCTCACCACCAGAGCCTCAACTCTCCAACAACGACCCTACTCTTCAACCTCCCAATCCGAGACGACCACAACAGCAACAACACCCACCAAAAAGCCGCAAAGACAAGTAATCTTCTCAGGCATCCAGCCCACAGGCGTACCACACCTAGGCAACTATCTCGGCGCCCTTCAGCAATGGAAGCGCATGCAAGACAGCGCAGATCCGGAGACCACGGATCTCATCTTCTCCGTCGTCGACCTGCACGCCATCACCGTGCCGCAGCAGCGCGGCAACCTCAAGAAGTGGAAGAGAGAGATGCTCGCGGCGCTGCTGGCCATCGGGCTGGACCCCAAGAGGTGCACCATCTTCTACCAGAGCATGGTGCCGGGGCACTCGGAGTTGCAATGGATTTTGAGTTGTACGGCTAGTACGGGGTATTTGTCTAGAATGACGCAGTGGAAGGTGAGTTCATCGTCCGAGAGGGAGGGAGTTTAGAACGAAATGCTGATGTGTGTGGGGGGCTTCAGAGTAAACTACAATTAGCAGACGACGCCAACATGCTAGATGACAAGGCCAAATCGTCTCTCAAGCACGGCTTGTTCTCTTACCCCATCCTCCAAGCGGCGGACATCCTCGTACACAGGGCGACGCATGTCCCTGTTGGAGAAGATCAGAGGCAGCACCTTGAGTTTGCAAGGGAGTGTGTGACCAACTTCAACCATGCGTACAAGGGCAAGGTGTTGGTAGCTCCCGAGACGATTCTTTGTAAGTTCCATCCATCCATCCTCATCTTGACCCATGGTCCCGTCCCTTCTTCCCTGCCTCCCCCTACATCCATCACTTCAAGTCACTCTTCCTTCCATCATCATCAACTAACAACATCTGAATCAAAACCAGCCCCAACAAAACGCGTAATGTCCCTCCAACTCCCCACCAAAAAAATGTCCAAATCCGACCCCGACCCCTCCTCCCGCATCCTCCTCACCGACACCCCCTCCGAGATCCACGCCAAGATCCTCAAAGCACGTACCGACTCCCTGACCCCTTCGTTGGGAATCACCTTCGACCCTATCCAACGCCCCGGCGTCTCCAACCTGTTACAGCTGCTCAGCCATTTCGACGCCGCAAACCGTTCGGCGCACGAGATCGCGGCGCAGATCAATGCTGAAGTTGGGAACCATGGGCTGGACGGAGAGGGAGAACAAAATCCGTTGAGGAAACTGAAGGAGAGGGTGAGCGAGGTGGTGCAGAGGGAGCTGAATCCCATTAGGGAGAGGTATTTGGAGCTGTTGCAGGGGGATGAAGGGAAGGAGGGGGGTTACTTGGATGAGGTTATTAGGGAGGGGGCGAGGAAGGCGAATGAGAGTGCGGAGAGGACGATGAGTAGGGTTAGGAGGGCTGTGGAGTTGGGTGCTTGACCGTTGAGGTCGCTAAGAGTGAAGGTTGTTGTAAGATAGGTTTTATGTTGTGTACTAGCTACAGGTTCGCGGGATAAAAGCTATATGGGAGGCCTTATATCTGTATGGTGTATTGTTTAGGAGTCCGCCCATCGTTCTAGTGGTGCTTCGTCGCATCGGCCTCCTCCATTGGTGAATTCCATCTATTCTTCTCTCGTGCACAGCACAGCACAGGCATGGCCGTCTCCTGATTTGTTACTATACATTTCTTATGCTACAGTATCTATACACGAAGGACGGGCCATATGCAGAAGAGACAAAAGGGACAAACCTGACCGAAGAGAGACATACAACAAGAACAACCACCCAGGCTGAAAGGACTTGAGACAGGACCAGTGATTGTTGTATCCGTTTAGCGTCCACCAGAGATCCGCAGTCTCTCCTTGGCAAGGAAGTCCTCGAAGTTGCCGACACCCTTCATGTCGCTGACATGGCTGAGGTGCTCCCACCTGGTCTCCAGAAGTTTCTCTACCTCGCCCTTGCTCTCGTCCATAGCCTTGCTGACACCTGTTTTGTTTGGAACCGTTGGTTAGCATATAAGCATTCCAAGGATAGTCTTCGTAGCGAAATCGCCAAACATATATACGTACCAAGCTTGCTGAACTCCCAAACGTTGGCCTTCATACCGATACCGTAGTAGGCATGCTTCTGCAGGAAGGCCAACCACAGCTGCACCGTCTCCGGGTGACCGTCCTTGATCTGGATCAGTCTCCTGAGCGTGACACGCTCAAAGTTTTCCTGCGACTTCTTGAAAATGAAATGCGACTTGGGCACGGTCCAGCGCTCGATCATGCGGGGCAGAGGGACGGGACCGAAGGCGGGCAGGCCGAGGTAGTAGGCGGCACGGAGGGCGAAGTCGCAGAAGAACTCGAGGTTGCGGATCGAATAGGACCGGAGCTGGAGGTCGCACGAGGGAACGCCGTACTCGGCTTCGCGACGAAGCGGCTGGAGGTAGAGGGCCTCGAGGGAGCGGGGCATGCGGGACATGATCACCTCCTGCTCTTCGGGTTCCGCGGCGGCGGCGGCCTTGGCCTTCTTCTTCTCGTTCTTGGAGGGCTCGGTGGTGGTCGTGATCTTGGCGATCGGTGTGGTGCTAGCAGGATATACCGGTCAGTCATTCTGCACCGTCTGGGCTGGTTCAGTTATGCGACGATAGACGAAGGGAGAGAGTGCGGGCAAATCGGCGGGGTCTTCGACGAGCGGGCGGGCGGGCAGGTTTCGCGGGAACGGCGACATTATCGAGGAAGACGGGTTGCGGTAATGGTTACTGACCTCGCCTCAGAGGCGGCATCGGGACCTGTGGTCCTACTCAACTGTTAGTTCGTGCCTATGTATACCAAAGGATCTCAGCAGCACTCTGGTCACTTACACCGAAGCATTGCGCCGGAGCTGGGGCAACGGCTGGAACACGGCCTGGGCGGACCGGAGGGTTGCGAGAGGCTGCCGTTTCCAAGCAGATTAGACGGCTTTCCCGCGAGCACACACATCATACAAACGCATGAAGAGAATTCTTACCGCCCGTCCCTGAAGGGACCGTACCACTGGCCTTATTATCATCTTCGCTCTGGGTGGTCTGGGAGGTTGAACGTCGACAAGTTGCCGTCGCGCGCGCGGATCAACCGAGTTTTTAGCGCGGGTTATTGGGGTCAATCTGGGGTTCTTATCGATAAGGAGCTTGTGACGCCCAGTTCATGGACTACGAAAACATCACCATCACATCAGAAGAGCGAACAAGGCAGACACTACAGGTCACTGGCAGGATTGGAAACATCATTTGGTTATTCAACATTGATTTGTTCGATTTCTGGGCTTCTCAAGACACTGGTTTTGTCAAACCGCAGCTATCTAAAAGGAGATTTCTCTATCCTTCCTGAAAAGTCCTGGCAATCTCTCAAAGACTAGCAGAGATGCCTTCTCTGATCGCTTCACGACGAGGGGTGCTGCTGTTGTGCAGTCGAACTAAAAGCTCAAGACTGAAATGACACACATAAATCCCAGACAATGTCGCCAGGCATGATGCCAATCCTCTGTCACGTCGACCTGAGCCGAACGACGAGGAGCCGGAAGCGGCGCTTTGACGTCAGTGTCGCATCGTTGCTAGCTGCAACAATCGTGTACACATGATGTTGTATGTGGTACGGTCGTAGGTGTGAATTGACCATGGGGCGTTCGGATCACTTGCGCTTTCTCCTGCCGTTGACGAGCTTCTTGTAGAAGTTCTTTCCTCCGCTCTGCTTCTTCTCCTGGATGCCGTGGTACTTGTTCTTGTACTTGTCAACGACCTGAGCACCGAGAACCTCCTCAACAATGGTCCGCTTCCTCTCCTTGCGGGTGAGTCGGCTGTCACGACCGTCAGCAGCACCAGCAATGATAGTGCCAACTTGAGAGAACTCGGGCACAAAGTCCTTGCGAGCATCTTTCTTGAAGTACTGCTTTCCCATGGCGACGACCTCACGCATCTTCAGAATTTGCAAGTCTCTCTTCAGCTCGGGGGTCAGATTCGTGCGGGGCATGTTGAACCAATCGGCGCCAGCGTCATTCTTGGGTCCCTGTTTCTCTAGTCAGCATACTGATCTGCGAAGTCGAAGAGCAGGAACAGAAGAGAAAGAACGGTGTCCAGTCAGAGTAACTATGAACATAAAGGTAATCATTATGGTGCAGACAGCAACCCCATGACGGGGCGCCGACCTGCGTCATGAAAAAATGGGATAGATTTTCATCATGGAAGGAGTGTAATGGGTGTCGAGGACTGCCGAACGTACCTTGGTCTTTTCCTTGGATTGGGGCACCCGGACCGACAACTTCTTGGACTTGTTCTCCAAGGTCGGCTTCACCACCTCAGCAGGAGCGGCCGAGGGAGCCGCAACCACTACGGGGGTTTGCGCTGCGGGTGCAACAGCAGCATCTTGCTGGGGAGCCGTTACAGCATTGGAGCTGTCCGGGTTCGCAAGGCGAGACTCGGCTTCAGCAAGGAGTTTGTCGATCTCAGCATCGGACAAGCCGAGTACGGAAGCCGCCATCTTGCTGGTAGTGCAAGTGCACAGTTTCGTCGACTGAAAGCTGTGGAAAAGCTGCTCAAGATTTGCAAGCGATTGGAGAGAGGGGAAGAGAAGAAAAGAAAATTCGAAGCTTTACAAACAATTGGGGACAAGAAAAGATAAATTTTGAGTGGAGCCTGCAGAAAATGTCCAGGCGTACCCCAATTCAGCCAAGGCTTGGCATTTCTTGTGCTGACTGCTGAGCGGATGGTCACGTGAGATAGATACCCGCACGGGCCAGGCCTCCAATGAGTTGGCAGTCCACAGCCCCGGGCCGAGCCTTGGCTGGCATCCGGCCGTGCGTCATAGCGCGGAGAAATGAGGCTGGAGAGTGCCAGTTGTCAACGGTTGGGCTCGGGGCCGGGGCGGGCGAGACGTCGAGCAGAGCTTGCCAGGTAGCGCGCCACAGCTGCCAGTCGCTGTCTTTCGGCGTCTTTCTGCTGCAGACTGCAGTGATGCTCTGGAGTTGTTGAAAGTCTTCAAAGGTTCACTGATGCCCAACCTTTTGTGAGTCTGACCGCTTTCACCAACAAATCATTCATCTTACCATCCTACTTATTTCCATCATCCGTCTCTTCACATCCTCCAGCGTCTTTTCAGTAAAGTCATTTGCTCTACAGGTACGTGCTTATCTGCTACTCTGTCCATCTCATCCTCATCCACCAGCACCCGCGAATAGCATTTCCCAGCCTTTGGCTTCAAGCCAAAAGACGGACCTACACCCCATTCTCACCAATCATTTCACCCCTTCACAAACCGGAGCTCTTACCCGTGTGGCTCGTCCCGAATTCAACGAGAGGCGAGCCCGGAGCAGCGAGTCGTCCATTGGGATTAAACTCCACAGTCCCGCCAATCACTCTGCCCAATCAAGCAGGATTTCTGAGTGAGAGTCGGTTTTGCCATCATCATTCGTCGGCTCTGTCCCAAGTAAACAAAGAGACCCCAAGGGGCTTGCCGACATCATAGATAGTTCTAGGCCCAACGCGCAGAAGCCAAATCTTCCTGGTTGAGAAAAACAGAGAGCTCTTCGGGAAAGCGCGACCATTACGCGACGTTAGCAAGACACTGAAGCTTCAGTTTTGTTGTGACAGACAGGTTTATTGACCCAAGTCATCCAATACAGTGAGGCCAGCGATTTGCGACCAACTAGTCCCGTCTCCCCGCAGCTCGCCAAACATTGATATCCGCCATGGATCCCCAAAATCCGTCCTCCGCTGGGCACAACCAGCAACAACGCCAGCAGCCCGTCTACGACACAAGCCAAGGCGGCCATTATGGTAAGTAGTCACCATCCAACGCTTCTTGTTAGCGAACCGTTCACTAACCAACATATTCTGTCCAGGTGCCAGTGCTGCGGTTAGTTGTCATCCTTTGCAAAAGGGCTTCTCAGTCCCATTACATCATAGCTCACAGTCTAACGCTTTTCACGTCTCTAGCTCTCCCAACAAGGTTTTGCGCCCTCAGACCTTTACACGGGAACATGGGCCAATGTCCATCAAGGTCTCCAGGGCAACTACAAGGAAATCCTGACGGCTTATTGGCAACAAACTATCAACCATCTCGAGAATGATACCCACGACTACAAGCTGCACCAGCTGCCCCTGGCACGAATCAAGAAGGTCATGAAGGCGGACCCGGAAGTCAAGATGATCTCTGCCGAGGCACCTATCCTCTTCGCCAAGGGATGTGATATCTTTATCACCGAGTTAACCATGCGCGCGTGGATTCATGCAGAGGAGAACAAGCGCCGCACTCTGCAGCGTAGCGATATCGCCTCGGCCCTGTCCAAGTCCGACATGTTCGATTTTCTCATCGACATTGTGCCCAGAGAAGAAGCTTCCACACACGCCAAGCGCGCGACCGGTCAGTCAGCCGCGGCCGCCGCGCAGGCTGCGCAAAACGCGGCCCAGCAAGCTCAGGGCATTCCTGGAGTTGGTGCTGCGCCTAACCATGGCGGACAGCACCCCATGGCTGCTCCTGACTACACGCTAGGTGGCCACGCAATTGCCCCCGAGGCCGACTATCGCCAGCAGAACATGTACTCGGGCCAGGTACAGCCGGGGGCCCCAACGGCGTATGGACAGCCTCAGCCTCCCATGTATGACGTGGATGGCATGTACTACTCAACAATGCCTCCTCAGCAGGTACGTAGATATGGGCTCTTCCGTACTCATCAGCAACATGCTAACTTGACCGCAGAACGCCTAGAACGCGCTTTCTGGAGGAGATGAGATTGGAGAGTCTTCTAGATCCCACCTGTCACGAACCCAGAGGCGGGAGCGGGAGTAATGAAATTACGGCATCAAGTCACACTGACATAGCTTCCACCTTGATCGCTTCTTTATCTTTATGTGGTTCTTCATCTTCAGCTGATAAGACTCAAAGACTGCCAACCGAACAATATACAATGGCGTGGCGTAAATACGGGTTATTTCGTTTGTTTCAGGTGCGTACCATGGACGGAGGAAGGGTGCTTGGAAGGCTGGTCGGTCGGTTATGGCACAAGGATGTTTATTATGTTTTGCTTTTTGCACTATTTGTTTGAGCGTCTCGCGTTATGGAATCCCGCTGCGGTTCTCTGGTATTTTAGTTTATGGTTCTGCTTCGCGTCTAGTGCATTATGCATAGTCAATATAGTGATGAACTGATAAGGAACCTGCACTTTGTTTTGGGAATCATGATTATGCTCTTCATGACATTGCGTGTCTCATTTTGTGTGAAAGACGCCGTAAGAGCACCTCGTCCATGACAAATCAACGCGCACTCAAGTCACAGCAACACTATTAACTTCCACTATCAAGGAAACAACGGTAGAAATGTGAAACAAATTGAGAATTTCCATGACCTCTTTGGTAAGGTAAGAGCTTAACTGATTCTCTTCTCATTTGTTCTTTTTGGTACATTTTGAATATTCAAAAGGATATAGGCTGTTGGACATATATGTCACTGAGTGCGCATTATTAAGTTGTCCTGGACGATGAGCACTCATAACTCGCAACAGCTACCAGATGTGGGACTGTGTGGCAGGAGGGTAAATGTAATTAAACCTGTTAAAACGAAAACATGGTCCTAGATATGGGGTATATAGAATTACAAATTCAAGTTTTTCAGCAGCAATACTATTAGTGCTCGACCGAGACATCAACGCAAACCGAAGCGCGATCCGAAGTTAGCGAGCGGCGCAGCGGCTCGGCTCGTAGTGGCACTCTCGATTCCCAGAGTGAGCCTAGAAAAATGAAAAGTAATATGGTTAGCACATCATCAATGATCTCTGGCGGGGAGATTATGCATCGTCAAACTCACTTTTCCAATAGTATCGGCCCGTTCATGGCATCCACACGGCCATACTTCTTGTTCCTCGTGGAAATGTCGAAGAACTCATCATGATTGTCCGACTGCATGAGCGCAATTGTCTGCTGAAGTTCGTCCAGGTTCTGCTCGAGCATGGGGGCATTTTCGAGGTTGGCGACGAAGGCAGAGAGGTGCTGCACGTCCATGGCCATGGCAGCAACGGCGTTGGCGTTGATCTTCTTGACGTCTGGGGATAGTGGAAGAGCCTGTGTGGTTATGGGACATTGTGTTAGCTTAGTTCTTGGATGTGCGAGGATAGCATTGGGTAAAGAAGGAAAAGGGGTCGAAGTTCGGTAGGGAATTTGCGTGGCTCAGGAGGTCAAGGCAGATGGGATAGCTCACAAGAATCTTATTGGCGGCGTGGCTGAGCGCGTCAAAGTAGATGAGCTCCTTGATTTCCCGGGGCAGACCAAGGAGTGTGGAACCCATTATGTTCTCCAGATACCTCGTCAAGGTCTGCATGTAATTACTAGGTTCAGTGGGCTTTGACGGTGTCATCCTATTGTGATGGTTAGTAGGCGGAAAGTCGCGGGGGGGCGGTAGGTCAAACGTACCAGTTGTAGTCGGAGGTGTCGACAAGGTCATCGATCTTGGAGTTGACGAGCTCAAAAATACGCTTCTCGGCAGTCTTTTTGTTGCTCCTAAACTCCTCTGTTGATTTGAGAGAGACAGGGCCGCCTGCTGACGTGGATGATCGTGCGCGGATCAACTCCTGCTCAAGCTGGTGGCAAGCTTCTTCGAAGTGTTCGAGGTTGATCAAGATCTGAACGATCTGACCTAGATATTGGGAGTTTAGACGTTCCACGAGGGTTCGGCAGACCTTCTCCGTCAAGAGCTCGTCCAGGGACTGACAATGGCATTAGATCTCGACACTACAGGGCGCAAAGGAGGGGGCGAAGTGGTTACCTTTCTGAGCGTCTCATCGACAATGTTGGGATGTTGAAAATGATCATTAGAGAAGAAGTAGAACTGGTTCAGGAAATTCCTGATATCAATGCAGCAGAGGGGGTACATCTGTGAAAAGGGGAGGACGCAGGGGAACCTAATTTCGTGTTAGTACACGAGCTCACTTGCAATGTAGGTGATAGGTGACATACGTGAGCTCTTCTGGAGCTTTCTCCTCGGTATACCAACTGACTTTGAGGACCTTTTCGTATTCCTCGGCGTTGTTGATTTGCATAGGCATGTAATCGTCGGTTGAGACAATCTCTTGGAAGTCATCGCTGAATCTGCGCTTAAGCAGCTCGGCATATTTGTAGAAGAGGGTTAACTGAAAGTTGTTCAACATGGAAACGGAATAATTCCAGCTCTTAAAGACAAGTTAGCGTTCCATACACCTTGACAGGCAAGAGAATGCTCACCTCCATCGTCTGTATGAACAGCGCAATATCCCCCTTGATTTTCAAAAGCAGTTCAGCATTGTCCACGTCTGTGAGCGATCTTGAAATGAGGCGGATGGCAGTCTGGCACATAGAATCCCATAGCTCGTCAACTTCGACTGTGGATCGCAGTTGCGGAGCACGCTGTATCGTTGCTTTTTCAATTACGGCGAATCCGGTGATTTGCTCCAGAAGATCACGAAGCTCTGAGTTTTCTTCCTCGTCGGATGACAGATTCACAGAACTCGGCATGAGTAGATCCTTTTGCTGACGCCGAGTGGCCGCATACTCGGCACGGAATTTGTCAATTTGACCTAGCGCCTCGTGGATATGAAGCGCTTCGTGTAGTGGTGTAAAGTCAACCTGGACTTCTTCGTTATCGAGAACGTCAAACTCATCACTCTCGTCGAAAACCAGCTCGATCGCAGAGTTCAGCTTGAAATGACCCAAGTAAGGGTTTTGTTCAGCGCGTTCCCGCTGACGGTCCAGCCGCTGCCTTGTGCCAAAGAAAGCAACCTCGCCAAGAAACTGCGATGTCTCACGAATGCGATACAGCCATGTGTTCAAATCGGTCATGACAGCCTCCGAGATGGTTTTCCGTGACGCGGGGATAGACTTTTGGATCAAATCGGCCAGCCGGTACTGGGTGGCATACTTGTTCTGAATGATGGGTACTAGGTATTCGTTCTGGAGGTCCTCCAGCGATTTGAGGGCGCCATAGTACTTCTTCTTGCGAATCAGGTCATGGGCGTTGTTGACAGCATGCATGATCTTGAGTGATTCCCTGAGCGCATCGGAGACGTCGGTGATGTTCTGGCGGACGCGGCGTGTATCGACCAATGCCTGTTTCTGCTCCGCCAACTTTTCGGTACTTGCTTGGATCGACTGGTTTAGATCGAGAATTTCGGCAGTTAGGGCCACAGTCTCCTCGCGTATCGTTTGTAGTTGGCTGACGGAGCCAAGGAACTCTTCGTGTTGCGTCAAGCCGATCCGTTCGATGTCGCCCTCCCGCTCCTCTGCATACTGGGAAAGGCTCTGGACGAGCGTTGCTGTTCGACCGCTTGCTGTCGCATCTTTGAGGACTGGAATCAGTTGATCGATAAAGTCGGAATCGGATGGTGTGAGAATAATCTAGGGCCGTGTTAGTTACTGGGCCAGCTCCGACATGGACGTTCAACGGGGGCCGCGCCAGCTATGGATGGTGTTGCGCAACGATGTATGTTGCGCCAACGATGACGGCGTTCGTACCTGGTCGACAGCGGAGTCGTAATCGTCCCACGTTTGCACTTTTCTGGGCATTTTGACCGGGAACCCGAATACGCCAGTCGACTCTTACATGGGTTTCCGAGATTGACGATGTTCACAAAAAGATGTCGTGGAAGAAAGAAAGGGTTCTGGGCTTAGTCGTAGCCTAGCCGTCGAGGTACCTTAGGTTTCCACTTCCCGCTACGCCGCACTCCAAGGACGGGGAATGGGGGAAGATCCACGGTGCACCTCAGTGGTAGTGGTGGCCCAAGCGTTGGGACTCAACGCCGATGCCATTTGCCCCTGGCTGGCATCTTGAAGCAGCTCTGTCTGTTCCGCTTGCATTTCAGCTCCTTTCCCGCGATACGGTACACATTGTGTGGGACAAGCAGACGTTGCTTTTAACTGCCCGGTGGTCTAAGAAATCTAGAGGTACTATACAATGACATATTCAAAAGGAGGGTCCTCTGGATGTGGTTGTAAGTAAACTCAGCTGTCAGTCTCCATGCCCCTGACGAATTATAGAAGTATGCATGGTGGCCAGCTGATGACAGCTGCCGCTATTCCTCTACCACCTCTTTTCAACGACATCCGACTTCGTGGCAGTCCAAGATTTTGAATGCCAACAGGTTGAGAATTTACGTCGTGGATATGATCCAGCGTGAGCAGGCTTGACGTTCATTACATTTCTAAGACTTTGCTGGCGATTGTTCGCTCTCTTCTTCATGGAGCTGTGCTGCATGCGTGATGCTGGCCAACTCCACGCGACCTGGATCGACTGTCATGGCCGCCATCATTTCTATCATGATGGATGAGCACGCTTGTTGTCCCGAGACACTCGTCAATTCCCAGCTGGTATTTCTTTCTTCTGAACTCGGTTGGTCAACATGGCAACTACGGCTGTATACACATGAAGAAATGACCGAGATAACTCTCCGTCTTCGGCCATGATTGCGCGTTTTGCGCTTTCCTTCGTTGATGGAGGAGGCACGCGCTAGGCGAGCAGGCACATGATAACAAATTCGACACTGCCTTCTTGATGCTAACATTTCTTCCTTCCTTGTTCTTTCCAGCTCGACTTCCTCATCACCGGTACCGGCGAGGTCCCCGATGGTAGGTTCTGGTTTCGATCATGACTCCCGGCTATGCAAATCGAGGAAGTCACCCACGCAGGGCGAGCTCCTGCTGCGCAGTCACGAACAAGGACGCCATCCCTTCAACCTTCAGCGATGGAAACCGCATTGTCGAGATGATTGATTTGACTTGACCATTGGGCTTCTACTCTTTGTCGGCAAGATAATCCAGAAATACCTCTACCGACTGGGGATGTCGTGGGGCAGCAAACCAACCTACAAGACCAGTTGACTTTCTGAGGACTGATGCCTTTGAAATTATCAAACTTCATCCCTAAACAACCCCCACCGCCAGCCTTTGCGTCATTCTTTGCGGTTCCGTATAGAATATCAAAGTGGCACCATTGAACGTGTGTCGGTACCGACGGGATGAAAGAGTGAAGGTGACCAAGGCGGTCGGTGCAGTCGGCGCCCCTCCCACCTTCCTTCCTCTTCTGCCACTACTTCTTTCCGTGCACACAACTCTTGAAAATTTCTCCCTCTCCTTCGCACTTTCCTCCCCTGCAATCCACCATCATCGTCAATCTCGGTCACTTGGGTGCAGACCTTTTTTTGGAGAGTCTTCTTGTCTTTCCCCTCGAGGCGGGTTTTGGATTGCCTTTCTCTTTTTACTATCCTCTATCCTCACTTCCACTCTCGTTCTCTCGTTTCCTGGAAACTCTTTTCTTTTGCGGCCGTGAAACTCGACAGGTCAGGTCCCATCTGTCGTCCATTCTTTCACCGCGCCCCTCTTTTGGCGAAACGACACCAGCGTGTCGACTGTCTTGAGCATTACGACGACGCGACAACTCCCATTCCTGCATCACACCATGGCGCAGGCACGAGACACGGGATTCAACCCCTCCTCACCTCACTCTTCGAGCGGCGGCGCCGACTCGTACAAGCATGAAGGTACTCCGGATACCAGATTGACCGCCTTCTCACCGGATGACAATTCGGCGAGATCCAACAAGCTGCTCAACCGGACCCTGACCCTCGGCACCGCTACCTCCCAGGATGCACATTCTCACCATTTCCATTCGCACAACTCATCCGATGGGTACTCTGTAGCCCCAGCCAGTGGCTCAGACAAGGATCCCTTTATTTCCACCTCGTCCATCTCCAAGCCGGACCAGAAACTGTCACCTACGGCCTCCTCATTCCTTCCTGTTTCTGTTTCCGGCCCCCTGGTCGCCCACGGTTCTGTCAACGGGGCACAGAATGGAATGCAGGGTTTACTGAACGCCGTGCAACCTTCCTATACCAAGCAGCACGGCTTCAAGGCCGCGGACAGGCTCAGCACTGATCTTAATCTCTCCCGTTACCTTGTCTTTTACTCGTCCCAGCCGATGAGGGTCGCTGGTGTTGAGGAGTATCTCCAGGTAGGTGTCTTTGCCTTGCTAGACCACACTCACATTGCCACTACAAGAAGAATGTTACTGACATACCTTCACAGAAGCTGGAGAGACTTGGTTCGCCTTTGCAGGGCAAACACCATGCCGTCCAAGAGGGAGGCAGAGTCTTGCTTCGTCTGACAGACATCCGTGATGCTCGCAAAGTCCACGACAATGTTCAACTAGGCAATCCCGAATGGCGTGCAACATACATTGCGCCTGTTGACTTTTTCCACGTAAGCCTCCTATGCACACGCATATCCAGTTCATCATGACTTACTTGTCCAAACAGATTGCATATCCGGGTACTTCGGTTGACCCAGTCTCTGAAGGGCAGCTCCTGGTTCTCGCCTTTCCGGGTTCGGGTTACGCTTTTCCCTATGCCCAGTCTCAGGTGGAGGCAATCGTCTACAACTTTCTCCAGGCTGAGGGGGAGTTGTTTGCCTTCCAGCGTCTGAATGATTCAACCCAAGGTCTCTTCAAGGCCATTGCGGAGTTCTCTGACGTCGACGTGGCCGTTGCCGTTGTTTCCAAGTTCAACGGTTTCACTGTCAATGTAAGCTACTACAGCCATTTCTCCATCGGTATACGTGATAGACTGACATTCAACGCTACAGGGTATTCAGCTACTGCTGACTTTGTGCCAGCCGGACACACCAGCTCTGGGTCTCGCATCAGCGGATGCCTATAATCCTCCCCGATCTCAGGTGCAAGATATCACCAACATCTTCCAGAACATGAGTGTTGCCAGAACTCCCCAGTCAACCCGTCCTTTGGTTGGTGGTGGACGCGCCACTCAATCGCCTGCAAGCATTTCTGTTCCCCAGCAGCAGATTGCAATGTATCCGGTGGTTTACCAAACTCCCATCAACAGTGGTAACCGCTATGTACTCGATCAGACCCCTACCCGCGGCCATAGCGTTGCACCTCTGACTCCTCTGACGCCGATGAGTGGTGGGGCCTCTGTGATGAATTCCTCCATTTACACGCCGCCCGCTACGCCAATGGCCATGCAGAACGACTATACCAGTCCTCGGAGCATGCAGCAGTTTGGACGACCGGATAGCCGTCGTCAGAATGCCATGCGTGTCTCCAGATCGCCGTACCATAACGTGGCTGGACATCATAACCACGTTGATGCCAACCGCATTCGGGAGGGTATCGACGTCAGAACCACGGTAAGTGATTCTTAGACGCGATGAAAGAAACAGAACTAACTTCTCAGATCATGCTTCGCAACATTCCCAACAAGGTCGATCAAGCCATGCTCAAGCGAATCATTGATGAGTCAAGCTGGGGCAAGTACGATTTCATGTACTTGCGCATCGACTTTGCCAATGACTGCAAGTAGGTGATAGCCCACCCCTTGTTGTGCGCAACGTTTGCTGACTTACTAGTGTCGGATATGCGTTCATCAATTTTGTCGATGTAAGTTTCCCTCCGTTTCCAACCTTAGTTTATCAATAGCTGACAACCTCAAAGCCCTTGGATATCGTCGACGTAAGTGTCAACCTCCGCATCACCGGATCAAATCTAACACATTATGTAGTTTGTCAATGCTCGGGGCAACCAGCGCTGGAACTGCTTCAAGAGTGACAAGATTGCGGAGATATCATATGCTAGTAAGTTTAGCTGAACATGTCTCATGAAACCGATGCTGATCTTTTGAAGCCATCCAAGGAAAGGACTGCCTCGTCCAGAAGTTCCGCAACAGCTCAGTCATGCTCGAGGCGCCCCACTATCGACCCAAGGTGAGAAACAAAGCCTCCTCTGTTGATTGTTGAGTCGTCACTAAAAGTTCGAAGTTGTATTTCACGTCCAACGGCCCCAGACCTGACCTCGCTGGACAAGAAGAGCCATTCCCTGAGCCGGACAATCAGTCCAAGATGAAGCGCAGCTGCGAGAATGCTGAGCACGTCGGTAGGTTGAGAATTACGATTCATAGATGAACCAATGTCACTTACACATGTGTCAGGTCTGTTTACCCCGAACGCGGGTCAACACTTCCGTGACGAGCAGCGTCGTCGTCGCTCGCAGTACGATCGTGGCACCAGACTTGCGGCTCTGGAGGAGTACGACTACGACACTCAGACCCAACCGCAGGCCATCTATCCGGCTCAGTAACTGGTCGCTATGGGCCAAAGTTGCCGTAAGCGTGCAAACAGGACCGAGCTTCAATATCATCAGACAACACGAAAAACAGCTCGAGACACCTTTATGCGCGATACATACGATATTTGACTTTCTTCAATCTTCGACAGTTTATGAGAAAGTGTGAAAGATTTGGCATGGAATGGCCGTTTTGAAATTGGTGGTCAGCTTTTTGACAGGTTTGTCAGATTTTTCGAAGCCACATGGAGAAAAACAGAAAAAGAGTAGCATCATTTTGAGCACCATGGGTTGTTGTTGGTTTGAGGGAAATCGGCGAAAAGGCGGATTCGGATGGTATATCGGCGGGAACCAGATTGGACTATGCCAAAGGGGTCATTGAAGGCCACGGCGGTCTAGGAAAGGATGGTTGGCCCATGCCCGGAATGCCTGTTTTGAGGAGTTGTGATGGAGAGTTGCTCCCAAGGGGCGATCAATAGTGTGTATTTTAGACCACAGTATGTGTTAGTAGCGTAATGAGCGGTTAATCCCCTTGGGAGAATTTGGTGTTTACATTGCGTTCAGGTAGTATTAGTACCCACTTCAAATCACCAGCAACTTGTTGTTCTTATATGCTCAAACGTATATTTTGCTATGGACTTGCTGGCATGCATGATCTCGCTGAACTCAACCACCAGGCATTAGGTTATTATGAACTTGAAGTTTCTGGTAGAGCAGGCAATGGCTTCACGGTCCCCGAGCCAAGGTGAGTATGTGGAGGCCTTGCTCGGGGCCGTAGTGTTTGCTGCTGTTGATCCCCAATGGAATCCACCGGTAGCAGACCAATATCGTCTTCCTCAACCCTCTCGCTTCTTTCTTCGGTAGATTTGGAACGGACAGGTACATTCGTAACTCCATTATGGATAGGCTCGGTGCTTTCTTGGAAGACTTCTGATGTTCTCTCTTGCGTGAACCCGCCAGACTCAGATCCAGATGATGAAGACTGAGACGACTCCTCTTGATCTGGGACGCATTCGGGCTCGGGTCCGAATGACGACTGCGTATACAACGGTGAATTACCGTCGACACCCTCTCCCGCCAGAACCTCGTCTATAGTCGTTGAAGTCTGCCGGAGTGGCGACGCGTGAACAAGTGGGGTCCCTTCCCTGCTGTCATACTCGGAGGTGGGAGTGAGCGGGAGGGCTTTGTCGTTGCGTGAGTACGCATATGAGTGTTGCTGTGTCTGTAACATGTGTTGGCGGTTATGATTGCCATTGGGGTGGAGCTGCTGTTGATTGTGTTGTGCTGCGGTATCAACACCCGTGCTTGTTCCCACGGCATCTGTATCCTCGCCCGAGCCCGAATGTGCTTCTGCTGCTGCGGCTGTTGTCGGTTGTTGTTGTAATCCAGATGTCGACGCCGTCGTCGAAAACGGAAACGGACCACTCACCCCCATGCTCATGCTCATATTACTGATCCATCCAGAACCAATAGACCGTCGCTGCACAGCCTGAACGGGGGAATCAAACCAACCTCCTCCTCCTCCTCCTCCTCTTGAACCCGGCCTGCCTCCTATCCCTCCATTACCTCCCAGGGCACTGTTACCCCCACCACCCCCACCGCCGCCGCCAGTCCTATTAAAAATAACCAACACCAAACAACTCAACAAAAGCACACTCTGCAAAATCGCCATCCTCTTCTGAAACACCACCTCATCCGCCAACACATTTAGTCTTCCACTCAGCGCCACCACTTCGCGCTCCGTCTGCTCGCGCTGCGTCTCCAGCGCGATCACCGTGCTCTGCCAGATCTGGTCGTACTGCTGCCGCACGTTGCGCAGTTCTGTTAATACCGTCTTGTTGAGCGTGTCGAGAAAGGTGTCGACGCGCGTGAGCTGGCGCCGCTCGAGTTTGGAGAGGACGTCTTGCAGGAAACGCGATTGTTGCTCGATGTATTGTAAAGACAAAGAGGTGTTGGATTCGAGGTGGGTTAGGCGTTTGTGCACGGTTTTGAAGAAGGATTCTTGGACAGTGGGGGAGGCGGGGGGTCCCGAAGAGGTGGGGGAGCCACCGGAGTTGGGCTTTGGTTGTTGGTTGGTTTTGTTGTTGTTATTAGGGGGGCTGCTGCCGCCGCCGCTGTTACCGCCGGCGTTTGCGTTGTTGCCGCTGTTGTCTTTGCTGTCGTTACGGGCTGTGGTGCCGGTCGTGCTGCCGCTGCTGCTGCCAGAGGGTTTTGCGGCGGAAAAGACCGAAGGAGCAGTCTCATTGCTGGCGGTATTGGGACGGGCTGGAGGAGCCTTATTGTGGTTGGGAGAACCCGTTGTGGTGTTGCTTGCTTGAGGCGGTGCAGAACTGTGAGAGGCAGCAGAGCTGGCAGGTTGGACCTTGGCTGTTTCCTGAGATTTGGGTGCTACCGAAGAAGCCTTGGACACTAATGTCTCGTGCGCAGCGCTTCCCGTTGAGGCTTGTTCCTTTGCCATATCGGGGTTTCCAGCGGAGATACCATGTTTGTTGTTGTCTGCTCCAGGCGAGATACGAGTGGGTTGACCAGTCGTTCGCGAACGCAAGGCGCAAATCTCCAGAGAAAAGTCACGATAGAATATTGGCTCCCAGGGCGTAAAGCCCAGCTCCACAACCTGAACGGACTCGGTTTCCTGATGCGTCTCCTCCTTCACCTCAGTGACAGTACTTGGCTCCGGCTCACTCGCAACAGTAGATTGTTCAACTTGAGAACTCGGCTGCTCAGGTTCAGGAGTCTGCGACAACTCCTCCTGCACCGGGGGGGCTTCAATTGTTTCCTGCTCATCATCGTGCCTATCATCCGGTTCTTTCCATGTATCCAGCATCCTTGTTCCATGGACTCTGAGTAGCGATACTGGGCAGTAATACTCGTTTCCGTAATGACTGAGGAACTCGATCCGGATATACTTGGTATAGATCTGAGGATGTTCCACCAAGAAGGCCTGAATGTCCCTCGAGTTCCTCGCCTCGAACGTTCCCAGCTCAACCCACTTGTCCAGCTTGACGGGGTAGCGGTCGCTCACGCTGACCTTGAACCGGCGAATCATGCTCGAGAAGAACTCAAAGTTGGCCAGGACCACCGTGTCAACGAGGATATCGTCGCTCAGCTCGACAATAACGAACTTGCTCTTAGCATGGCACTCGAGGAGCATATACGAGTCCTTGTTTTCCACCAGGATGGCTTTGGCGTTCTTGGCCCCTGGGCTGGTCTTGAGAACGGTGGCACCGGCGTCAAAGGAGGAGTACGAGAAACGCTCCTTGCATGTCTTTCCGGCATCCTTGCTGCGATAGTATTGCGTTTTACCATCCTCGTAGACGACTTGGTCGTCTTTCTTGGCTTTGCCGCTGCCGTGGTCTGTCGAAGGGTTGCCGGAGGGAGAAGTGGTCAGTTCCGAGACCTTTTCAGAGAGGGCGTCGAAGTTCAGCGAATTTTCACCGTCGTCGCCTGGCCCGTGGCCGTCGGTATCGCTGCTGGGGCCGTTCTGGTCGTGCTCGCCGGCTCTCTGCTGTCCCGCCTGTTTCTGGCCGCCCTTAGTGTTGGCGGGGTCGCCAGACTTGCGCAGCATCATCTCCTTCCATTCTTCAAACGACATGAAGGTGCTAGCTGCCAAGTCCTCATCCTCTTGCTCTTCCTTTGTCTGCTCCTGTGTATGTTCCGCCGACGGCTTGGGCTGGTCATGGTGTTGCTGCTGCTGTGTCTCGTTCGCTTGCGCCGGCGCTGCGGTTTCGTTACTGGGGACCTCAGAAGAGGTGGTTTCGGCGGCGACTGCGCTCGTGACGGCGGTCGGGGTCGTCCATGAAGTACGAAGACATTGTTGCGGTAGGGTATGGGTGATGTAGTTGACCGTCCTCGATTCGCATACCGATGCTGGTTCTGGGAGTGCCGCTGCAACTGCGTGGAGACCCAGCAAGCCCAGGAAAAGAGTTGGTGGGGTGCGCATGGTTTGTACCCGTTGCTGTCTCAAGTTACAATGGCGCGATGACAGCGTTGCTGTACTCTATCCATGGCGATATCGATCCTCCCCTTTTGGTGTTTAATCTTCCAAGGGGGATTGTAGGTGTGAAGTGGATTGTACAAGTGTGTACGCCGGTCGCGGTCGGTGTCGCGGTCGTGGTTGCCACAAGACGGTGTCGGTGCCTTATCGGGACCCAGTTGTTGACCGTACACTTGGACGGCGATGTCGTGATGATAATGGACACCGCTTGATGGGAGGAAAGGGCTTTGTTGTCATCAAAAAACGCCACCTTCGACTTGGAAGTGGAAAACCAGCCACTTTGCTAGGTTGTCGGTAGCACCCTCGCTTCGTGCCGCCTGGGTCAAAGGTGACGGAAGCCGTCCAAACTTTGTGTTGTGTCAAAGTGTCAAATATTGTTTGATCTCGGCAAGGGTCAAATGTCAAAAACTCCAGGGGTCGATCAGTGGCACGCAATGACGCTATCTGGGCGTGTTAAACCTGGCTGTCGGTACATGGAAATGCCACTCCGGGGTTAGGGTTAGGCGTGATGTACATGATGGTCACATTAAGACTTGAGAGGACACCTAGTTACCCATTTCCTTCCATACAACTTCAAACTATGAAATCTTTTCTCTCTGATGATGCCCCAGTGTAAGACATGTTCTAACTTGTCCAATCGAAGCACATGTGGCTTCTGATAATGCAGCAACCTATCTCCTATCGAAACCCCTTTCTCCCTCCCTCCGTCTATCCCGTCCTCTGTCCCTATCACGATCACCATACCTCTCATAATTTCCCCTTCTTCCGTCACCCCTTTCCGGACCCATATGGCGATCTCTATGCACCGAATCTTCCAAATCCCATCGTCTCTCCCGTTCCAACCTCGCCCTCTTCTCCCTCTCCTCCTTCCCAGCCCTCTCAGCCTTCTCCTTCTCATCCCTCACCCTCTCCTCTTCTTCCTCCTTCACCTTCCAATTCCTCTCAAACCCCTCAAAATCAACATGCACCCTCAACCCCTTCGCCACCATCGTCCCAACCACCGCCCTCAACTCCCCACTGCTCAACTCTTTCACCAACGCTCCGCCCCCACCTCCTCCTCCAGGCTCTCCAGGCTCTCCAGTAGCAGTAACAGAAAACACCTCCATATAAAGCCTCTTACTCCACGGACAGGCAGCAACGGCTCTGTAAAAGACGTCTTTGAGAGCCTTGAGAGCGCTCGCCGCTTGCGCATCTGTCTTCTTTCTACCACTCTCCCGGGTCCCTGTCTTGGCAGAGGATCCAGAGGAGGATAAAGCAAGGGCCTGCAGATATACCTGCGTGAGAAACCGAATGTAACCGATCCATATGTCGACGTTGTATTTGCACGCAGAGGGATCCGAAACGGCGGCTTCGAAGGCGGCTTTGGTGGAGTGGATTGTTGCGGTGCCGACGGGCCTGAGGCCGGCGCCGGAGAGGAGCTCGTATTCGATTGCGAAACGGTGGGTGGGTATTGGTACTACTGCTGTGATATCTCCTTGGCTGCTGGTATCTTCCTCTTTTGTTGAGGACAAGCTTTCGCGCAGAATGGTCCGGACGGGGTCGTCGATCCGGAGAGTGGATTGCTCTGCCCAGGCCAGAAGGGAGAGGAAGAGCGTGTTGTGGGGGAATAGACGGATGAATTCGTGAAGATGGTTGCGTAGGGTGGAAGGCTTGTAAGGGCCGTGGGTTGCGTGGTGATAGAGCAGGCGAGCGGCGGTTTGGAGGAGACGCTCGTGGAGGGTTTGGTGGCCTAGGGAGCTCAGCTCGGTGGCGAAGGATTGTATGTTCGCAAGGGCGGAAGCGATGTTGCCTTGGCTTGGGGACTTCGTGCTGCTGCTGTTTTCGGCTGTTGAGAGGTACTCGAGAAGGGCAAAGCTCTCGGCATATTGGAGGGCTGGTTCTAGTTGGTGAGAGGAGAGGGAGTAGTCCCGTTTGGTAGAGAAGCGAGAACGTGCTTTCAGGAGCAGAGCTGACGACACTGGCGAACTGGCCTTCACATCTATGGTACTATCCACGGAAGACAGCAGCCGAAGCAGAGCAAGTTGCTTTTTGCCCGCCTTCAGGTGCATCCATACCCAGGTATTCCATAACAGCTGGCTGTCGGCAGAATTTTGGCTTGTTGCCGAGAGTAGTACCTTTTCAGCCATGTCAACATTTCCGTTCGCGAACTCGATCATGGCATAGGCATTGTATAGTCTTGTGTTGGAAGAGTATCGTTTCAGCAGTCCCTTGGCGACCTTCTTAGCTCCAGAAGGTTCATTGAGCCATGCCATTGCCAGATAGTACTCAGCCAGTTGCTCAATACCACAGTTAATGACCAAGTAGCGCAGTGTCTCGAGTACCCAGGAAGGCTCAACTTCACCATCTGCCTCTTTGCTGAGATCAGACCATTGACCGAGATACTGAAACCAGTCTTGTCCGGAAAAGAGGAGTTCATGAGAGAGAGCCATGTTTCCACCTTGTTGCCTAAACAATGGTGGTTTCCTCTCTATTTCCACAGAAATCGAGGCATCATGGCGGCCTAGTTGATTCAGCGCAGATTCAAAGGCTTGTCCGCGAGGCGCAATGAATGGGTCTTTCAACGCAGAATACTTAGCTCGACTGTTACTTGACAAGCCGGCAGTGGGAAGTCGACAAAACGTTAACAAGGCGTCAATCAGCTGAGGCTGCGCCTGCGATAGCACCTGAGGCGGGAACCACAACACCAAGTCCTTGATATCCGAAAACATGATGATTCGGAATGGGTCATCATCTGTTCCTTCGTCCAAAGTACGAGCCGGCATTCTTGCATCTGCCGTCTCTCGCCGTTCCAGCGACGCCCAAGCTTTGAATGGATCCCTCGTCTGAGGCATTCCAGATAGTTTCCTTGTCATTGCTTCTGGTGGGTCGGCCATAGCGCCCATGTCTTCAACAAAGTGACGCCAACCCTTGGCATTATCCTCACCTATTCGCGGTACTTCGCTCTCCCAGAAGTCTGAGAAGTCCTCCATAACTGATTGGAAGTCCGACGCGTTACTAGGCCGGCAGAAGTTCAGTTCTAGAGTTGCTTGCCATGCCGCTACAGCCAGCTCGACATATCCCGAGTCCCGGAGGTAGCACGTTAACCTGACGAAAACGTAAATCAGCTGGCTGCAGAGCGTGGCGACAGCATTGTCATCCGAAGACGCGCTTGCTAGAACTTGGCTCAAGGATTGCAACTTTGTCACCATGACGCTCTTCAATTCATCGTATGTGAAAGTTGCCACCTGCGAGAGCTCAAAGTTTAGTCGTGAAACCCATAACAAGAAGCTGTCGGGGTCGGTCTTGGTGGTCTCTTCCCAGCGCTTCGCAAGCTGCTTGGGATCCCACACCTTTTCACCCTCGCGCATCATTCCGTTCAACAGAGTCTCCTTGAGAGAGATGTCGGTTGCGTGGGGAAGGGCCTCTTCATAGAGGGATAGCTTGAGTTCGGCCAGAGCTTTTGCCTGATTCCCAATTATCGACTGGTCCTCGAGTTGTTGCTCCCTGAAGAGGGTGTCTTGCAATCCAATTAACTCGAGCCAAGCTTTGGTGTCCCCGGGACGGTTTTTGATCTGGCGATGGAGTTCAAGAGACCTCTTCTTGGCGGCTGACATGTCCAAAAGATGACTGCGCACCTTATTTTCGTCCTCCAAATCGGAGGATGTATCGTCGCCATCAGATTCCTCATCTTCTGACTTGGCTTTGCCATAGATCGACCTGTAATCTGGTGTCTTGTCACCACCGTCAAGCCGTGGCGATTTATCGGCTCGTTGCCGTTTCCTTGGGGGCTCGAGAGATATGAAGTCGCCATCCTCTGCCGTTGATCCTCCATTTCCATCACCCTCACCAGGCTTGATATGTTTTGCGTTCGCTCCCTTCGCTCTGGCCCACGTCATCAGTGTTTTGTCTCTGAAGACCGAACCATTGCCCCTGCCCTCGCCAGTGCCTCTGATGGTGAAAACTTCTTTTGAACCTTCGAAATAAACGGAGAGATACCCAGGAGAGCCGATAACTTTTCCAGCACCAAAGCGACGATAAGATGGTATCTTTGAGCGCTCATTGCCGCCATAACGGAAAATCAAGGGGTCTTCCTTCTTGTCGAAGTAGAAGACATCGTTGCTCTGGCTGGTATTGGATGGTTCGTGACGTGGAGGCCGGGTTTCTCTAGACTGTGAAGCAGGGCTGGCTGACCGTCTGCGATGATGGCGATCTCGGTCATGATGTCGGCTGTGATGCCTGTCATGATGCCTGTCTCTGTCCCTCTCTCTTTCCCTTTCTCTGTCACTGTCTCTATGACGGTCCCGATCATGGTTCCTATGGCGATGCCGTCGTTCACGGTCCTCCTTCTTCTCCAGATTTCTTGATGAGCCTCGGTCTGTCGATGGTCGTTTTTCGGAGTCTACCTCCGGGGCTGGTGTGGCTGGTGCGAATGAGGTGAACTTGGGCACCGCGCGGCGTTTCACCTCGTTGGACGACATGGCAATTCGTTGGTCTCCCGAATTTCCCCCATAAGTTTCGATCAGCTCCACCGGGTTTCGAAGGTCTCTGTCCTCATAGGAAAGTCCGCAATATTGGTCGACGCGATGCCGTTGAAGGCAAAGGAGGTTAGATGATGTCAAAGACAGCTGGCAGTGGATGATTTGCAGTTGCCAGCGGTAACAGAGTGTTGGGTCTAAGGTCTGGCACAGTGGCACAGTGAGAGGTGACAGTGGACGCTACCTCTAGGACCTAACAGTGGACCCCGAGCGGACCCACTTTCACCCGCTGGGCACGGATTACAGCGACGCCGAGTGTGTGTGAAACCGCTAGAGAGTTCCACGGCCATGATGTACGATGGATGACCCTTCTTTTTGGACCAAAGTTTTCTTGTTTTCGAATCCCGATTGCGAATGTGAATCAAAGGGGATGGCCAGAGTGAGGCATCGTACGTATCATCACCTCACGCCAAAAACTTATCTCTTCCACCTTGACTCTGAGAGGTTTTTAGCGCCGTGTAAGGTACCCCGCATGCCAATTCCATGATGACTGACACGGCAATCTCCAAAAACCCAATTCGAGATGGGGGACAAAAGGAAGGGAGCTCCCGTCCACTGATCCCCAACCCCCAGTTTCTCTTTCCAAACTCCCGTTCAGTGTCTGATTTTCCTGACTGCTGAGATAGCAGATCTGGGTGTTCGAGATCAAAGCAGGATATTGTGAGACCTACTCGGAACCATGTCAGCCGAGCATGCGTCTCTTTTCTTCAGTCCCTCATCAACATGGATGGCAACTTGAATCCGAGGTGCCACTAGAGGTTAGCTCACAGGGATTCAAGGTCACCTCAAGTGCTGGTGTGACCAGTGGAGCATGCAACTACAGCCGATCCTCGGGCCGTTGTGGACGACGCTGACGAGCAGTCAAAAATGGCGTCTTCCGCTTATCGTACGACGACACCACCTCCAACCCTAACCCGTCTGAGATATTTTTCTTTAGTTTCCTTGGACCCCTCCGTCTCCTCCAATGATGAACGAGATGAAGCCCACGACGGGGTTCCTTCGGGGTCGCTCTGGGAACATGGGGCAGCCTGACCATGACATAATCAGGCAGCTCGACGACGGCCTGGACAGCTGCGTGGATTGGCGCAGGGGGAGGCCTGGAAAACAGCAGTGGGATTTGTGCCATTCACGCGAGGATTTCCCATTGAGCCATTGGGGTCTTGACCAGATTTGGTATGTAGTTGCTGGCGTTGCATGAGGATGAGGAATGAGGAAGCCATTCGAACCCCCGAACCACCCCCGCAACCCGAAGCTAATCCACCCCGGCGGGCCAGAGAGGTTCTCTTGTCCTGTTGTGTTCGCTCCCGAGATAAGCGATAGCGCGACAAGGACGGCAATCATGCACCGTCACGCTGAAGCGGGATGGATGATGTGCAAAGGGAAGGCGGGCCCCCAGTCACACCTTCCCGCCTTTGCTTTACATATATGTACCGCGGCATGGCTTGCTGCGGCCTGCATGCTTGACGTCCTTCTTCTTTTTTTTTTTTTCTCTCGATGCTCGGTGTATCGTCACTTGATGCTGCTGTCGCACCCTCAAACACCCCTACGAACTTCCCGTGATACCTTCGGAAAGCCCTTTTTGGCACAGTACTGACACCCAGTCACACTTACACGGGCACCAATTACACCGACACCCAAAGGAGCCATCTGACAACCCTTTTTGTTTTCCCTGACAGCTGCGCCTCGTATCATATCAGGGTGCGCACGTGGGACTAGACACTGCCGTCATACCGGTCAGCCCTTCCCATTCTTTGCGCTCCTTTGCCATCTGTCGTCTTCAGGTTGCCTCTTGCCCAACACCACCTCGACGTCCAAGACAACAAACTCTTACGACGGTGGTTTACCGGCTTCGAGGCCGAGGGCGTCGTTGCGACCAACGGAGATCGCGGCGGTGATCAGCGTCTGTCTGGTTCAGGCTTTGTAACCATAACCGACGTGTCACCCTTACAAGATTCGTCTGAAAAGTTTCGACATTGTTGCTTCCTGTTTTACGGTTTCTCGGGGGCCGGCGCTGTTTCTTGGTTCATCCAGACTGACCACAGAGCACCGATCACTTCTCGATAACAACCCATACCCAGCTTATATCTGACACCGAGTTCAGGGAGGGTTTCACTATCCCCCGCGCAACGTCACCACATTCCTGACTAGTTTCCACTCACCACAGCCCTGTACACGTCTTTCGTTGTTTCTCGTTACTTAAAGACGACGAGTCTCTGATGGCGGGGAGGAAACACGCGCCTCGGATGCGCGAGCTTCGCGATGGCCAAAACGACAGCAACCAAAACAGCCAGAACGACTCGGATGGTCTACTCTCGGTAGAACCCTCACAACAGTCATATCTCTCGGTTCCGAGCTCACCCTCGAGCTCTCGCCGCACACGACCCAACATGACGAGCCAAGCTGGCGGTGCCCCTGATGAGCGCACTTCCTTACTGGGAACTACCCGTTCTTCGCGCATCCGCATAGTTAGCGCCCATGGTACTCCCAGGGCACCCCATCTTTCTAGAAACCAGAGTTATGGCAGTACGTAATTCTCGTTTCCTCTGATCTCTATGAATGTTTTCTGACACGGGCTTAGCGGGAGAAGGGACAGAGACCGTGCGAAGCAACCCACCGACTCGACACCATAGCCGCGCAAACTCCTGGGGCGCTGCCCTGATACGCGCCCTTGCCGACCGTCAAGAGGAACCCGTCTCCGAATCCAAAGGGTCCATCTTCCCCGACGACCGCGTCTGGTATGACCAGTTCACCTCGACCGATTGGGTTCACGATAGCATCGCCGACGCCCACCGTGTCAAGGCCCTCCGCAGCCGGAAGGGCTTCTGGGGACGTGTTTACGTTCTGTTCGACGGTGCTCAGGGGTGGATACTCAGCGCTCTGGTCGGTTTTGTTATTGCTGTCTTGGCCTACGTTGTCGACGTCACCGAATCGACTTTCTTCGACTTCAAGGATGGTTACTGCGCAAGGGGCTGGTTGATCAGTGAAAAGAGATGCTGTCCACACGGTCCTTGTACCGACTGGCGGGACTGGGGTGAGGTCATGCATGGATGGCCGTTCGGAGAGCGCTGGACCGAGTTTGTCATCTACCTCGGCTTGGTAATTACTCTGGCCAGCGTATCTTGCTTGCTCACCCTGACTACCAAGACCGTCGTCCCCTCAGCGTACCGCTTGTCGACGCTGGATGAGAACCTGGCTGCTGCTCCGGTGTCACCTGGAGGCGATGGGGATGCAGGGGTTGACAGTCCCGATGGTAACGATACCCCCAGTCGACGGGCATCCGTCGCTCCGCCCGCCGCTGCCCCTCCGATGATCTACTTCTCGGCTGCTGGAAGCGGTGTCGCCGAGGTTCGCGTCATTCTCAGTGGCTTCGTCCTCCATGGGTTCCTGGGTCTCAAAACTCTCATCATCAAGACTGTCGGCCTCGTTTTGAGCGTTGCGTCCGGTCTGAGCTTGGGCAAGGAAGGCCCATACGTACACATTGCGACATGCGTCGGCAACATTGCCTGCCGTCTCTTCAGCAAGTACGATCGCAACGATGCGAAGCGTCGTGAGGTTCTCTCTGCCGCTGCTTCCGCCGGTGTAGCTGTTGCGTTTGGCGCTCCCTTGGGTGGTGTGCTCTTCGGGCTGGAAGAAGTAGCCTACTTCTTCCCTGCCAAGACCCTCTTCAGGAGCTTCTTCTGCTGCATCACGGCGGCGTTGACGCTCAAGTTCCTTAATCCCTACGGAACCCACAAGATTGTCATGTTCCAGGTGCGCTATTTGATCGACTGGGAGTACTTTGAGCTGGTTAGTTTTATCCTTGTCGGAGTTCTCGGTGGCGCGGCCGGTGCTCTCTTCATCAAGGCCTCTCGCAAGTGGGCGGTGACGTTCCGCAGGATTCCTATCATCAAGAAGCATCCTCTTCTGGAAGTCGTCTTGGTCGCGCTTGTAACCGGCCTGATCGGCTACTGGAACGGCCTGACCAAGCTGCCTGTTGCCAAGCTGCTGTATAACCTCGCGGCTCCATGCGATGACCGGGACAACAACCTAGAGGATCTCGGCCTCTGCCCGGATTCCAAGGCCGATATCCCGCCCATCCTATGGCATTTACTCTGGGCCTTCCTCATCAAAGGTTTCCTGACCATCATCACCTTCGGCATCAAAGTTCCCGCAGGCATCTACGTGCCCTCCATGGTAGTCGGCGGTCTCATGGGCCGTCTCATCGGGCACATGGTGCAATGGCTCGTCCTAGCCTTCCCCGACTCGGCCATGTTCAGCAGCTGCAACAAGGTCTCTTCCGTCTCGTGCATCCAACCCGGCGTCTACGGCCTGATCGCCGCCGGCTCAACCATGTGCGGCGTCACCCGCCTGTCCGTCACGCTGGCCGTCATCCTGTTCGAGCTGACCGGCAGTTTGGATTATGTGCTCCCCTTTAGTTTGGCCATCCTGGTAGCCAAGTGGACAGCCGACGCGATCGAGCCGCTGAGCATTTATGATCTTCTGACGGAAATGAACTCGTATCCGTTCCTCAACAACAAGCACAAGCCCGTGTTCACATCCGAATTAATCGACATCGTGCCCCGCGTGCGGCGCGAGCGCATCATCGACATCTCTAGCTCGCCGCTTGTGCCGGCCACGTCACTGCGCTCCAAGCTCGAGTCGCTGCACAGGGCCGGCGAGCTGGATGGCGGTTTGCCGATTATCAGGAACGATATCCTGGTGGGATTGATCCCCGCGCCGGATCTGGAGTATGCATTGGATAACTTGCCGGATGAGAGCACGGCGTTGTGTTTGATGGCGAACGTGCCTAGTATCGATGATAGCGATGATGAGGAGGGTGGGGGGAGGAGGGATCCGACGGATTTTTCGCCTTATATTGATCCGGTATGTCTTCCCACCAGAGGTGTTGAAAAAAACGTGTAGGCGGATGAAACTGACGATGGACGCAAAAACAGGCACCAGTAGCATTGGATATCCGATCCCCCATGGACTTGGTCTATGAGCTCTTCGTTAAGTTGGGGTTGAGGTACATCTGCATTTTGAGAGATGGTAAATACGCTGGCATGGTGAGTTGATTTTGATTCCCTTCCCCCAGAATCCCCGGACGTTCTAACAAAGCTCCCCCAACAGACACATAAGAAGACCTTCGTCAAGTACATGCGTGAGTTGGAGGAGAAGCAGCATAAGGAATGACTCCTTTTCTTGGACATGTTTTATGCCTATACAGAAGAAGCATGATGCATATTTTCCCATTTTGAAGCGGGAGGGCATTTATGGAAAAGAGTGAGTGAATGAGTGCATAAGAAAGAAAGAGATCGGTCGGATAGCATTTTTCGTATATCATTTTTTTGTACATGGATTTTTCCTGGTCTACATTACAAGAACATTTGGCATGGCGTCCATATAGGCGCTTCACGGCGTTTTTCAGGGCGGCGAGGAATATATTATACGCATCATCGTTTGCATATCGTCGTGGTCTAGAGATCAATCACTTTCGTTCTTGCATCTATAGAAGTATTTAGCGTAGATACATCTACCTTTCTTGGTCGCTTACAGCGTATCTTCATATGAACAGGAGAGGTTGATCGAATATCACCGATGTTAATCGGGAACAGACGCTCATGCTATCTCTTCCTAAGTGGTACGTGGTTACATACGTTCACCCTCTTTTCCGCTATGTAATCCCAACAGTCCGGGACTGTATTCATGACTTATACAATGGCCATGATTCTGTTTCTTCCCCAACGTTCATTTTCGCGGTATGCCAAACCTTTTGCCCTTCTTCCAGGTGGCCTTACTGAGGGTAGTAACGTCTTCCCTTCTATCATCCCAACCCAAACACCTCGCCACATCCAAACGCCCATCCATACATGGATGGGATCAAAACAACCCAAGCCACCCCCAGGGTTAGCAGCTAGTCTAGGTCCCCACAACAGATTTCCAACCTCTACCAAACCAACCCACCGTCATCCATCCCAAGCTCAGCTTAATCAATAAAGATCTTAGCCTCCAACTCCCCATACGTCTCCAAGAACCCCTTAAACAACCCAATAGCATGCTCAACATCCCAACTGCCTCCCGTCTCCCTGATCGAATGCATCGACAGCTGCGGATTTCCCAAATCCAGCGTCCTGACACCCAGCTTAGCGCTAAGCATAGGCCCGATCGTGCTTCCACACGGGCTATCATTCCTGACCACAAACACCTGCAACGGCACCTTGGCGCGCTTGGCCACCTCCTGCAGGAGCACGATGCCGGGGCTATTGGTCGCGTACCGCTGGTTGGCGTTGACCTTGATCACGGTGCCCTTGTTCATCTCGGGCCGGTGGTTGGCCTCGTACTTGCCGGCGTAGTTGGGGTGGACTGAGTGGGCCATGTCGGCGGACACCAAAAAGGAGGTGGCGAGGGTTTGCTCGAAGGCGGTTTCGGAGACGGGGGTGGTTTCGGTGGAGTCGGCGTTCAGGGAGGGGATGACGGAGAGGCGGCGGAGGATGGCGGGGAGAAGGTTGGAGTCGGCGCCGTGGGCGGAGAGAGAGCCGATTTCTTCGTGGTCGAAGCAGGAGACTAGGCGGATGGAGGTGTCGTTGTCTAGGGTGGACTCCGAGGAGACCGAGTTGATGAGGCCCATGACAGAGCAGTACGTCATGTTGAGGTTGTCGAGGCGGGCCGAGAAGATGAACTCGTCGTTGAGACCGCCCAGGCACGAGGGCTGCGTGTCGTACAGGATCAGCTCGAAGTCGACAATGTCCGAGGCGGACGAGATGCCGGCGGCGGAGGCGACGACGGAGAGGAACTGCGAGTGGTGGCGGTCCGTCATGGCCTTGAGAGGCTGGAAGTCGGCCTCGGCCTCCTCGGTCGCACTCTCGGGGGCAGCAGCCTCAGCGGGCTTGTTGAGCTCTTTCTCCATCAGACCGAGGATGGGCAGCATCTCATCCTCCTTGTTGGGGTCAAAGTTGGATTGGCGATGCAGGTGGATAGCCAGAGTGGGGACACGGAGGATGGGCTTGTCGACCTTGACCAGCTTCTGGACAAAGTTGCCGTCGCCATCCTTGACGAGCACGCGGCCGGCGACGCTGAGGTCGCGGTCGAACCAGGTGTGCCAGAGACCGCCGCCGTAGAGCTCGACGCCAACCTGCTGGAAACCGTGGGCGCTCTTCTTGCTGGCGGGCTTGACGCGCAGGCAGGGGGAGTCGGTATGGGCGCCGATCATGCCGATGGGGTTGCCGGGCTTCCACTTGCCGCCGACGGCGAAGGCGACAATGGAGGAGCCGTTGCGCGTCAGGTAGTACTTGCCGCCGGGCTGGACGACCGAGGCCCAGTTGTCGCGCTCGCGGATGAGCTTGAAGCCGGCCTTCTCAAAGAGGGCGGCGGAGGTGGCTACGGCATGGTAGGCTGTAGAGAGTGAGGGGTTCACGCTGGTCAGCTCACGAGCTCATGATCTCAAGCTTTCGATCACGACAACTGGAAAGTAAACAAACTGAAACATACGAGTGGGAGAGCCGTTGACAAAGTCAAGAAAGCCGTAGGCGGACTTGGGAGGGGCCATCCTTGCAGCAGTAGATGAGAAGAAGTGGCAGCGGACCACGTGGGAGCGAATGGAAGAAGCTGTGTTACTGTTGGGTCTAAGACTGAAGCTATGAATGGTGGCCGAAAAAAGACGCAGTGATGGTGATGCTCGAGAGGTGGCTAGCATTGAGTAGCTTGTCGCCGCGTGAGGAAGAAAAAGATATCGAGATCTAGGTTGTAGATTTGAGGTGTGAAGCAGGTGTGTCGTGACGTCTGATAGGCGGGGAAGCTATCATCTACCTAGGCAGGTACTAACATTCTCCTCTAAGCTCTTTGGAGCTTAAAGGTAAATAATGTTAGTCAGGCAAAGCGGCGGGAAGGTCCCGTCCGTTGCGGGGAGCCCGGGGTTAAAGCGGCCATGGTTCATGGATGATGGATGGATCGATCTCGGCAATGATATCGTGAACAAGAGCAACGGGACTTTAGGGACGTCCATTTCGCATCTCGCATTGCGTACTGAGTATTGTCTGTTTGTAAGTGTGTGTTGGTGATGATAGTCAGCATAAATCCCGTCACCAGGACAACGTCAACTCTCTTCTCTTTCACCAGTCTCTCTCTTCAGCGTGGGTTTGCTGTAGTGTCACTAAAATGATACCCTTGCCCATGTCCAACCCTGACAAGTATGTCACCCAATCCGATGCGATGCATTACTTACTCTTCACCTTCAACCCCGAAGCTGCCTCCTTTTACTTGAGGTTTCCCGCAAATGTGCTGGAGATGATGAAGGCATCATGCTTGAATCAACCTGGTGACGGCAGACAGACAGCTTGTCCTGTCTGGTGGGATTCGCCGGCGTTGCACCACCTCGTCTTTCTCTCTGCAATGAATGTTGGTCGTCCACGACCATTGGTCTATTTTGTATGCGAAGCTAAAGTGACAGTCCCCTTTGTTTGAAACGCTCTTTGCTGGACCCATTCGGCAGCGCTTTCTCTAACTTGGGGTGCAAACAACCAAACAATGCTCGATTTCGAAAATCAGGGGCAGCTAGAAATCGCTTTCGCCCCAGTTTGAGATGAGACACGATTGTTTTCCATGGGGGCTTGACTTGCATCACCACAACAACGGGCCTTTTCTCTTGCTCTTGTCTTGCCTTGCCTTGCCTTGCCTTGCCTTGCCTTTACCTTGCCGAATGATAACCCACCTCAACAGCCAGTGTGCCTGCTCAGGCCGAACCATTTCGGATAGCCTTGAGCACTGAGCCAGAAAGACTACAGATGGAAGCTGAACTGTGAACCCTAATCGCTGTTGAAAAAGGGCGACTGTGGGTGAGACGAGCTGAATTGTGTTGCCTTGGACCTGACGGACCTGCCCAATGAGCGAAGTTGGGGGCCAAGAGGCGAGGGGCCCTGCATCCGTGAGCCAACAACTGCCCAAATGCCCCTTGGGGCCAATTTCAGAAAGTGTCGTCCGAGAAAAAGAAAAGAAAAGTACCGAGTGGGAAACCAGGACAGGATGCTGATTCAGATGGGGAACTGCTGGAAGGTCAAAATCGGAAAGGTTTGAGTGCGAAAAGTGTCGGTAGTCATCCTCAAGCGGAGGGCTCGCACTTCAGAGTCTGCATATTGAGGATGACACGGATAACACGCCATACCCCGAACGGGCCGTTGTCAGAGCCAACTGCCGACCGACCCGACGACAACCGGTCGATACCGTTGTTGATTTTGTCAGTTGCTCCTACATCATTTCATTGTCAACCGGTCTGTCGTACACCGCTTCATATCGACAACCGGCATTCCATCTTGAACAATGAGATTGCAGCCCTGGGAGATGAGATTTGCTGTTCTGTCGAATTTCAGTTGTCAACGACTTGCGACGGGACCTAATACCGGTACGTACCGCTGCGACGACAATCGGTTGGCAGCGAAATAGCACATGCACCAATCAAAGCCCAAGAACGGGTCGCAGGAGGTCCCACCATGTTACACCCTCGCTCTGATCCCCCGCTGCCGTCAAGCCCATCAAGAATAGTGGCGCACTGTGTACACTTGAGGTTTTCCGCCATTTTTCGTTTCGGTCACATCTGTCTTATCCCATGCATCTTCACCCCAGCAAGGCCGGACTCAAAGACTTCATCAAGCTCATTTCAGACAATGGCATACAGCAGCCAGCTGCTATGAAATGGCCTTTGCCCTCAATCTGAGATTAACTGACATTTTTTCACTGCCAGGCTACGACATCTCGCAACAAGGCAACTGAAGGCAGCATGCTCTCGTCTGGAGGCAGTCGGGCACGTTTGTCGGTGAATCAAGGCCGTGACCACCTCACCGAATGTCGAGGCTACCAATACCAAAGTCAGCCAGGCACATTTTCACCGTCAGAAGGGCATCCAAAGGGAAGCCTAGATGGTACAAGGTGGGTTGCACAAGTCCTTGTTCTCGAGTTTTGGGCACATTATACTGGTTTGGCAAGGACACGAGACGACACGAGAGACGGGAGCCCCGTGGCAGGCGGACGCCAACCAACTGAAGGGAACCACAACCCGAAACTTTGAATTGCCAGAGCTACACGTGGATTTCCCGTCGCTGTACAGAGCTCACGGAGACACTGAACGACACAAATTCATGTGGTGTTAATTCGAGGTCGCCAATCCCATTTCCACAGTCGATCATTCTTCCATACCAAGGACCAGACGAGCCAGGTTAATGACCATCATCCGGCAGCAGCCTTCCCATCGACGGAAAGTCCCAGTGCCAGCCTGCCAGGGGTTTCAGGGCAAATTATCCAACAGACTCCGGACACTGAAATCAGGGTTTGGGTGTTACGTGCATAGGAGATCCTTGCGCGCACCTCTGCCACTGTCCACACCATACAGCACATAATCAAAGATGAGAAATGCCAGTGACGGCTGAATCCAAAGTATTTTGAACCACAGCCGTGGTCTATCTAATAAGGCTCGTGAGGAAGGCGAACCATTCAGCGCAACTTGTTACCGAATCTCGACACTTTAGTCCGAAAGCTCGTGATGACCCAGACCAACAGTCCAAAGGCTTCCGGTATTTGTGTTTTCGTTCCAGGCTGAAGGTCCCGGACTTCGCAGATGGTGGCGCTCTTGGGACCCAATCGCCAGCTTCCCTCTGCCGCACTTTGGTATCCTATTCTTCCTGGTTCCTTGACTGTTGCAGAGTATTTCTGAAAGGAGAGAAAGGCTGAGTGAATTCATTCCCTGCTAACGGGCAATTCGAGAGACGATGGGGGACGACATTTTCTACGACACAATAGCGGCGAACCGTCACACCAGCAGTACTTGGACTGAAGGGTCTAGATCTGGCCGACCTTGGCCCCAAGTTCCTTGATATTCAAACATGATGAACTTGACCCGCTCTTACCATTCTTGGAAAGCCTTGCAGTGGCTATCAGTCTTTACGCGGGAGCTTTTGAACTGCAAAGCCCAAGATTATCAGAACAACAAATGCGATCATCCCCGCAACGCTGCAATTCTCGACCTACAGATGGCATCCTCTTGTCCTTGTCTCTCTCCCGGCCGCCCAGCGTTCATCCCGCGCTCGCCTAAGAAGGTCTAGCAGCGGCACCTAACGTAGCGTGCGTGTACCTTAAACCCCGACTCTCAAGTCTTCGATTCCCGCCAAGTATTTGCCAGTCCAGTGTTATGCAAAGCTGATGCCTGTGCGGTGTAACAGACACAGATGACCCAAAGTGGGAGCGCGAAAAAGATGAAAGTAGGACGGAGTCCAATGATAGGTAGGCGAAAGAGATCTGCAACCAATTCACAAAGTTTCAACACACGGAGAAAAAGACATGGGGAATTTGGTTGGTGACTATATCCAAGCTACACTACGACACAGCTAGTCGAGCTAGTTAGCTAGGCTGATAGTCCGTGAAATTAGTTCATGGACCCTGACTCGCTTGAAACAAACCATTCAGGTACAGTACGAACGACCCCAGATCTTCCCAGGAGATCTGTTCCATGAAACAAAGCAGCTCTGAAAACAAAGACTCAGAGATACCTTCTCACAATGCAACAATGGGCATTTTGACCTGTCACTAAAATATTGCGCTCGAAGATAATTCATAGCACCTCGCGAAACGAAACGTTGGCGATCATACAACTCATGAACTCTTCAATCACCCTGCAACCCAAAACGGGATGAACGCCCCCAAGCCCCCAAGCCCAAGCGCCCAGGGGCATCAACCGAACCGAACCGAACCAATCCTTCGGCATTGCTGTTGCATTTTTACTATATTGTAGCATATTAAAGGTGACCTCGGAATTGCGATGAAAGTGCCATTTCCGAAAAGCTTACAGGGCATATCGGGAAGGAAGATCGCTCTTCAGGATACATATGTCAAGTAGATCATGCTACCTTGACATATTGTTCCGGTTTGAGCATTGATCAGTGATCGCTCGGAAGCGAACGGGGTGGGTAGGCAAGGTACGTAAGCGAATGCAAAAAGTACAAAAGGGTAAAATAGCTCGAGAATAGGTGCCACGGACGACCGACCACATGGCTGTGGACCACCGCTTGATAACCGGTTGTGCGAGGGATATGAAGATCATGACAATCCTTCAGGGCCCATATCAACACGATAATGGAAGGTTTTAACACTACGCTACACTGGTAAAAAAAAATATTAGAGACCATAAAATGCACAAAAGTTCACTGTGTCGCTCATCACCAACCTGTGATACAGAGATCTCCACCACAGCCGCGCGGTAGTTCGCAAGCGACCTGATCGGATCAGCAAGCGAAAGAGGCAAAGAGGCCGTTTGTTGTTAGCCGCCGAACGGTTGGCGCGCTGTATGTTTCTTTGTTACTACTCTAAGCTTGGAGGGAAACCTACGGCGGCTTTTTCCGTTCCGTTGGTGCTTCTGTTAGACGCGATACAGCGACTATTTGGGCATAGCTTTCCTGAGTTGGTAGGGAAGTAGATGTTCGTTTGTGGTCATGAAGCGAAAGTACTAGGTAGAAGACACTGACACAGTGCGTGTGAAAGACAAGAGGGGAGGAGGGCGCCGATACCCTTGGGTTGAGTCCTGAGCTTTTCTTCTGTTGGAGTTGGTTCGGTCGGTCTCGTCATCAACGAATATCCCCCGTCCGCTTTCATTCATCATTGTACCTTATGCTTGGGTCAGGATCGGAGGTCGAGCGAGATCTCCTCCACTGATCAACGGCTCGAAACATCGGCGGTGGTGGTTGTACTGATGTGCCACGTGCGGGATTCCAGGTCGTCCCGGTTGTTAAAGTCGAGCGAGTGACGTTTTATCAATGAGTTCCTCTGGGAAACGCTGCAAGATCTGGAAGTGACAGTGTAGAGGTGAAAGTTTCGCGGGTTCGGGTTGACCATGATTTTGGGCCCACAGGGGGCACCCCAATGGTGAGCGCTTGGAACCCCGGCGGATCGGCCCTTGCTTTTTGTTACGACAACCCCGACCGTCCTCCCGTCTCCGGCCGTCCTGGGTAGAGGTATGAGAGCTTAGCTGTAGCATGAAAAAAATTGGTAAAAAAAGTTTTCAAGTTGGACTTGTTATTCCGCAGTGAAGTGGCCTTGCAGTTCCACGAAGGTGAGCTTCAGCATTTGATGTTTTCATCTGGGGAATTGGGTGTGATTTCCTGGCACGGTGCCCTGACGGAATCCCATTCGTGTGAATCTAGCGGTTCCCCGGGACCCATTTTAATATGTGGTTGTTGGTGGAGCCCCAGGTCGTACCCTTCATGACTGTGAACTGTGTGAATGCGCCGTGCTCATTCTCCTTTGAAATGGTCAGTTATTTGACTGACCGTATGTTGTTACCTTCTAGATGAAAGCGAAGACGGAATTGATGCTGATGACACGAGAGAAGCGAAAGCGATCATCTTCAAGAGCAATGCGAGATCCAGATGCATCTTGCTGCGTACCTACGTAGATTCTTGCGCCCCTCCACCCCACCGCCGACGTGCGAAACCTTGTTGGCGCAGATCATCAAAAACAAAAGGCCTGGCGTTGGGGCCACCTCAGGGCCACCCAGGCCTGGGGGCTGCCAGGGCAGAACTAAAATACGATTTCAACTTCAGTTCCCTGAAACGTGACGACGATATTTTCTGCTGCATCTATGACCTGGAAGGTAGGAAAGAAAGAGATCTTTACACAATGGCGGGTTCTCAGATCCCCGTAACAAAGAGCGGCAAGACGCCACCTGCTTGGCCCTGTTATCAAAGCTCCAATAGGTACCTTACCGGGCACTGGACGAACAACCTTACTCCCCGTTCCTTACCTCTATCTAGCCAGGTCCCGGTTGCGCCGAGTTCGACTCATCTTGAGTGGAAGTTGCAGGTGCCTAGCGATGATTGTAGTTCGTGACATATGTTGCGAGACGCTGGTACCTTTACGCAGTCACTACGTACTCGGCCATGTTTTGGTCAAGGTGCGTAGGTAGCCCAGCTGGCTTACCTGGATGGGTACCTATTGTCAACTTGTGCCCACCTTATCGCCCATTGCCGTGTGATGTGCCCATCGTGCATGTTTCCATCAGATCCTGTCCACAACGCCCGTCTCCTTTCTCAACAATCCCACGACAGTCGACTCCGAACCGTAATCAGATTCCCAAGCTGTATGAGAAGTTGTCGATAGTCCTCCTGGGAGTTATGAGACCCATCGTGGTTCTGATGGATGTGCCGTACATCCAGCAGATCCGGCCAGGGTGACGATGCGACGCCGATCTTGGAGGATCTTCCTATGAAGGACAGACCGTTTAATGACCGTCATTATCCCCAGAACACCATCGCTGGCTTGGGGGAAGGTCAGTTTTTGTCAGTGCTGCCTACTCTGTAGATAGACAGAGACGATACCTAGTCACAGATCGGTCTGTTCGTTCCCTTTGTTCCTCTTCAGCCTACCTCTTGCTGGGACCGGGTTAGAGGAGCGTACGTGGTGTATCACCATCACTGACGGATCTGGTCGATCTTGGAAGTTAGTATTCTCAAGGCCTGGCGTAGTAGGTAAGTGGGTAGAAAAGATATCCATATAGTTAGTACGGCGCAGGACGAAACTCACCATATCTTTGACAACGAGGTAGGCACTTGGCCCGACGTTGCCTCTGTCGATACCAACCTGAACTTCCTACGAAAAGAAGGATGGCTCTTGCCAAGGTCAGTGCCTGAATTCTGAACTGAAATCTCTAGGTACGGTGCACAGTGTCGACATTGGTGTCCCTTGATTGGATCGCAGTGCAGAAATGGTGGGTCCTTGGCGGGCAACCAACGGCAGTCTGAGGTGACGACAAACCTGGCGGCCCTGCCCTGACCTGGGCACCTGGGGCTGCTGCAAAGGGACCTGTCCGCTGCCCTGGGACCCGACTCCTAGTCGTCGCATGCCCGCCGCTGCCCGTCGGCCGTCCGCCTTTCACCCAGGTAGGATCCTCTTTTCCCTCTAGCCCCAGGGCAGGGCCACCCCCCCTTCCACTTCACTCTTCCTCCACAACCAAACCTGGAGCACATCCACCCGACATCATCCTGGTTTTTCCCTTTCGATTGACACTCACTCCCACCTCTCTACCTCTCTACACCCTACCTTCCCTGGGCCTTGTCTCTTTTGCCCGTGACAAGTGTATGGAACGAAGCTTCACTTTCCGCTTCCGCTTCCGCTTCTAACCTAGTCACACCTTTTTTTTCCCACTTCACTTCCACCGACTCCCAGTCTTCCACCTCACCACCTCACCCCCCCAGCCCAACCAACCAAGACTGACTGTTTGGTCAAGTCAACACATCAAGTACGACGACGACCCTCTCTCTACTAGGCTGACTACTGCCTTCATTCTCGGGGTGCACTACGCTCAAGTTAGCAGGCACTCGTGTTACTTTCACTTTCCTCTCTCTAGGTTGGAGTCCGATCCTGTCCTCGACAATCGTGGACGGCCTCTTCTGTCAGCTTCAGATCATCTAGGCCGCGACCCTGGGATCTCCTACCCCCGACGACTTGTTTCTTATCTCCAGTGGAGGACGGATCTCAATCAACCAAGCATTCTTGCCGGCCCATTCTGCCGCGTCACTCCGTCTTCTACCCGACCTGGAAACCCTGCAGTGGAAATCCGAGGCCGATTGCTTGCTGGAGCCCCATTTTTGCCGCCATTCACGACCCTCTACCTCGATTTGTCCTGCCGTGCGCACACCGAGCCCAGATTTCGCTTTGAGTATACTTCGAATCCACGACCGGCATTCCCACAACCCAACCCCGCCGACCGCCTGACTATAGGCAGAAAGTAGCAGAGAGAGCCCCCGTCAGACGACTGCGAGTTGGCTTCAGTTGGACATCATCCAGAGGCCGCCGCTCTCTTCACCTGCAACCTCCGTTTCCGCCCTCCTCGTCCGAGCTCCTGCCTCCTCCGCGTCGGATGCCGAAACCGCACAACCCGATTACCTAGGTCGTCCGTATCTCCCACGATTCACCCCCGGTTGCTGTCGCTCTGCCTGACCGTTCAGTCGTTCGCACCGCCGGAACCGTGGTCGAAAACACCGACAGACGCTTTTGTTCCCACCGCCTAGGGAACTTTGTCTCGTCACTCTTTGCAGCGCATCACCACTAGTCGATAGGGGATTGACCGCCATCGGCTTTCTGCGGCCATGGCCGCTAACATGCCGCCGAGGGCCCAGGCCGGGCAAATGATGCCGCCTCAGCACAACCAAGTCACTCAAGCCGTTTTAGCTAGGTTGACGTCTCAGCCTACGCCAGCGACCGGCTGGCAGGCTACACACATCCAGCTGCCGGAACGCGTCCAAAAGACGTCAGCCTTGTACGAAGCTCGCCCATTACCTGCAAAAAGTCTAGAGGCTGACATTCACTCCAGGGCTACCAATCTTAAGTTGGCTGGGCAAGTCGAGACCTGGCCAGAGGCGGTGAATCTCGCGCTTGATCTCGAACGGCGGGCCTTTATGCAGTCCCCGGATAAGGTGAGAAGCCCCCCTCTGCATCACCAAACCGTCTTGGCTAACTTGGCTGACCAACCTCAGCCGACGTACGAGAACCTACTGGCTCAGCGATTCCAACAACTTGTAGAACAGCGGCAGGCTCGTGCTCCTCTCCTCCAACAACAAATGCAAGCCAATGCGATGAGGCAGGCACAGATGGCCCAGCAACAGCATCAGCTTCAACAGCACCAGCAGCAGCAACGACAACACCAGCAGCAGCAGCACCAGCAGCAGCAGCAGCAACAACAACAACAGCAGCAGCAGCAGCAAATGATGATCAACCAGATGGCCATGCAAAGGGGAATGGCGCAGCCAGGCTTTCATCCCCATCAACATCCAGCTCAAGTTACCACAATGCCGCATCAATCTCAACCGTTGCCCGTTGGTGTCCCTAACCCAACAATGATGCATACTCGGTTAGGTCAACTTGCCATGCAGATTACACAAACCCTTCCTACCGCGTTGATGGAGTACCATGAGGTTCAAAGCCTCACCGACCGGGACAGGCCGCACATCAAGAACTTCGCTTTGAAGAGATTCGTCGCCATTCCTGAGCCCCTAAGAGACCCACTACGGGAAAAGGTGCTATCGCAACTGGCTCCCCAGCACGCCCAACAGATTCGAGCAATGGGATTGGATCCGTTGATGATCTTCTTCGAACATCAAAGTTTGATGCAAGTGCGTCGGAGTTTGGCGGCGCAGTCACGTCAAGGCATGGCACCGCATCCTCAACAAGTTCCTCAACCGCACAACCAAGTTAATCCTGCTTTGATGAATCCGCCGGGCCAGTCTCATGGTGTTACCGATGGGCAGCTCCTCCCGCCTAACCTTGAGGCAATCCGAAACGAGCAGCAAATGGGCCTGCGTGCCCAGGAAGCCGGCCAGGTTGTCGTGCCAGCAAGTTCAGGTCCCGGGGCCCCCGGACGCAATGCCACCCCTGGCCCCATGATCAACCACATACACACGGCGGCTGCTCAGCAAGGACCAAACCAAACGCCGCGGCCACCGCCTTCGGCGCCGCCCGGATTCCACCACCAACAGGTCCGGATGGAAACGTTGAACCCCACACAGTTACAGGCACAGGCACAGGTACCGATAAGGGGACAAGGACCGAACCGGCACGCGCAAGGGCAGCCTGGAGGGCTTGGAGGACTTCCTACAGCTTCGCAGAGTCCCGCAATCAATAATATGGCGGCACCGATGCAACAGTCCCCCGCTCCCATGGCCCAGGGGATGAGGACAACGCTGAACCCGTCGTTCAACCACCACGCGAACGCGAGGCCGCCATCAATGCAGGGTAACATCAACGCCAGCAATCCTGCGATGGCCGCGATGCTGGGTAATCTGAATCCGAACAGTGGTAGTGTGCCGGGAGGCTTGCCTGAAAGCCAGATCAAGGATATGATGGCCAAGTGGGAACAGCAGAGGAACACCACGGGCAACGCTCAACAGTTACCCAAGCATCCTCAAGTGTCCGGCATGCCAGCTCAACACCAGCTGATGGGCGCTGTCAACACCCCCAACCAACCGGTGAACATTGGAAACGCTCAGCAGCCCGGTGGTATGATGCCGCCTGGTATGCAGGCAGGCCCTGGTCAACCACAGCTGAACGGTCCGCAGAATGCACAAACTGCGACGATGGCAGCCCTTACCACCAACCCTCGGGCGATACAAATGGTCGACAATTTGGATATTCCCGCAGATGCGCTAAATGCATTGCGTGGGATCGTACAGCCCGTGATCCTGCCTCCAAATATGAAGAAATGGGTTCATCTAAAGGCCTGGCACCAGACAGCAGGCCTACCTCCTCATGTTCAGGACAAGGTCGCCCAGGTGTTGACTACTTTCCAGCAGCAACAGATCCGGCAGCTATTACTTCAAAGGCAGCAGCGAGCACAGACTGCCTCCATGGGCGGAGCTCCGCAGAACCCCAACGGGCCCGGCCCTTCACAGCAACCTAACGGAATGCCGCTCATACCCCCAAAGACGAACGTTCCTCCTCATGTGCTTCAGATCCTCCCGCAGGAACTAGAGATGGCCCGCAATAGGTTTCCTGGCCACTCGGATCAGGCGCTTCAAGGTATGATACGGAAGCACAAGTATGATAATTTTGCCAGGAAGCTGCAGGCCATGAAAAATGGCGCCGGTATGGTAAACCAGAAGCCGATGGTGCAAATGCCCCCCGCAGGGTCTAACCAACCAAATACGGCCTCTTCTGGACCAGCGGCGCAAACACACGCCCAGTATGCCGCGCAAACCGGTATGCAGGTCCCAGGCCCATCACAGCAGCCCCCATCGTCGCAGCAGCCGCAGCAGCCGCAAGGGCAATTGCAGGCGCAACCACAGGCGCAACCACAACCACAAGCGCCACCACCAGCGCACCATCATCAACAGCAACAGCAGCAGCAGCAGCAACAACAACAACGGCAGCAGCAACAACAACAGCAACAGCAGCAGCACCAACAGCAGCAGCACCAACAACAGCACCAACAGCAGCAGCAGCAAGTGCAACCACCGGTCAATAACCGACAACCTGTTCCCCAGAAGCCGACGGACGGCGGTGATTCAACTTCTGCGACTCCCGCGTTGTCTGCCTCGAGGATTGGCCAGCAACCTCGAACTGCCCCGCCAAACCCATCACCGGTCGCGGCCCAAAAGAACCTCAAACGACCACATCCGGGTGATGTGACCGAGGTACCGCGCCAAAATGGCGTTCCCATGCAGCAAACCTTGTCGCAGGCGAAGCAACGTAGTGCCCCCCGTCAACCGGTCAGTGACCGATTCAAGAGTATATACGCAGATGAGGCAAGACAGGCGTCAAAAGAATATGAGCAGAGCCCGTTGCAGCCGGTTCACATGCCGATGGATATGTATCAATCTGCGGTGCTCAAAATACGCGAAGTCAACCAAAAGATGAATGAAATGACCACTATTCCGGGGGCTTTTGATCGAATGGCAAACGATGAAAGCTTGGTCAGAAAGTTTACCCGTTGTGTATGTTACCTTCTCCCCGCGAAACTAACCAGATATTGTAAGAAATACGCTGACACATGTACTACTTCAGACTCTGAAAATCAAAGCGCAGTCAGATAAAACGACAGGCCAGCCTCGTAACCCCTTACATATCACTGTCCATGAGATTGATGAGATTAAGCTGTTTTTCGATGGTCTTATCAACCAATTTAAATCAGGGGCTTCTCAGTCCGTAGCTCAGTCTACGGAGCAAGCAGCAGGCCAGCCTCAACCACCTCATCAACGTGCAGGGCCATCTACGCTGTCTAACGCTGCGCCCTCGGACAAGCAAACACAGGTGCCCAAACAAGCACCGAATCGGGCCCCTAACAAGACCACGCAACCTCCGGCTGCGCCGACCACGACACAACCACCGTTCGCGCTCGGACATGGCCCTGGGATGTCTCCCGCTGGTAATCCTGTCTATCTTAACAAACCTCCCATGGGAGCGACAGATTTGCAGTGGCCTCCTCGGAAGAAGGCCAAAACCGGTGGGCCTCAAACAACGTCCCCAGCGGCTCAGCCAACCGCCAGTGCCTCGCCCCAGATCCAGGCACCTTCGCCAGAAACAAAGCGACAACAGGCCCCAGAGCCGACGAAGCCGCAGCCGGATCCTTACCTCTGCCCTGAAGTTGGCTGTGAAGGAAGTGTGGTTGGCTTCGCGACAGCGGAATCGCGTGATCTTCATTACCATGAAGAGCACGTGAAACCAAATGAGGATCCTGTTAAGTTCTTGCAGGAGAACATGGCTCTGGGTCTAGGCTTGGACGCTCACGGTAACACCAAAGCGATTTCAACTGTTGCGGAGGGTATTCCTTCAGGCGCGTCCGGTAGGGCTTTGAATAGTCCTAAGCAAGCTCAGACGCCCATGAATAAGCAGGAATTGGCAGCGACTCCCATGTCTCGCGACGCCTCGATGAGGAGGCAGGGCAGCAGACTAGGGGCTAGGGGGCCTGACGCTGCGGGCACGCCAGGCAGTGGCAACGGGGCTCCTGTGCACACGACAATGACTGATGATGCGTGGGCAGCAACCGGAGTCAATCCCCAGCATCTTTCCAACTTGTTTGCGCCGCTTGACCCGGCCCAAACGTCTGACTTCAGCATGTCGTTGTCAGAGACACCGAATGACACGCCAGAGTCAAGTAAGACTTCTGAGCCAAGCAGCGATATATCGGACGGCGTGGGTCTTGATATCAACATGGACTGGGCCACCATGGACCCGGAATTCATGGAGAACTTGAACAACGTCAGCCTTGACGGCTATGAACCAACGGCGTTTGATAGGGAGATGATGGTTAACGAGGCGTATGCTAACGTGACGTTTGATGACTCGGCCACGGATTTTTCCAAGCCTTTCAAGCTTGACACGTCGCTCTACATGCTGAACACAAACTGACTGGCGCTCTGTGGTGGAGAAATGAAGGAATCTGGGGTATTGGCGGAGGATGACAGGAGAAAGGTTGATAGATGATTGAACGCAACGTCAAGGCGCATGGTTGATATTAAGGGTTTTTCTGGGGCGGCGTTTCGTGGGTTTGCGGATGCGGAATGATGATATCTTGATTCTTTACTTTCAATCTCGGCATTCATTATTGGTTCGTCGCACTTTTTCCTTTGCCATTCCATATTTGTGGCGCCTAATCATGGGATTCGGAACGCTTTTCCTGCTATGACGTGCTTTTTGGTGTTGGTGAAGCGGAAGAAGGGATGAGGGTAAAACGGGCAGGTGGGATCGCCAAGCGGAATCGGGGATATACGGCACAGCAGAGCTGCTCTGGGAACGAGAAAGGAGCGGAGAAGGCCGATTTATTTTCTGGAATTGATACCCGTTGAGGTTTTGCATGTTCACGAGCAACCTCATAGTTCCCAATGGTTTTGTTTTCTAACGTGGGACTTGGGCCTCAGCTGGATATTGAGGGCGCTGGACGAGCACGCTGTCAGGGGCTGTTGAAAATAATATTTACTTACTGCTGAATGTAGCTAGCTGTTTTCGAAGCGTACCAAAAAGCGCGTCTCGGTGGGGCCGAGGTTGCATCCCGTTCTCGCTTGTTCGTACAGTACACGCATCCGAGTATTTTTTTGGTCCCTGAAGTCCCTGCGCTTGGTCGTACATAGAGATAGTCATTGCGCAACGACACATTTTAACTTGCAACTCGGTCAAATACATGCACATCCTCCGAGTACTATAGAAAAGGCACATTGTGGCGTTCCATTAATATGTTGTTCGTTGGAGGGCTGTCAGACATTACGGTGTAAGATTGAGGGGATGTATGAGAGAGCAGCAGAACGTAAAATACAGATGGTGAATCAACAAAGATGTTACCTGTAGTGTGGATTCCCGGTAGAGGTACCTTAGCAGCACTGCATGAAGACCAGACCCTGATCGGTGCCACCACCTAGCACACTACGTTAACATCCATCACCTGGGAATTTTTCTCAGCTGTCTTCATTTTCTCAGCCCTCCTCAGTCAATCTGATTTCTTCTACGTGTAGTATCCGGATCATTTTGCTGATATAGTTATCCGTCTGAATAGTCGCCTTTGATGGAGGTTCGCACAGCTGGGATACTGTACACTACCATCCACCCAAATCCTTCTATTGCCACTGCACTGTTAGCGCAGCTAGGCACATACGACTCAGGCATCGCAACTGGAGCCAGCACAACACTGAACTTTAAACAATTTGAACCTCAGTTTTGTTACTGTACGTTACAAAAAGTACGACATCGCGTCTTGCCCTACACAACTCAACGCGCCTCTCCTTCCATTTTCCAGGTTTTATAACGACAATTCACACAAAACCCAAAGTGACTGATCAAACACGAGCAGGAACATAGGGCAGTAATAATTTTCACCAGGGCAGCTATGACTACCATCTCGCCGACCAAGCGGCGTATCCTCGGGTCATTGAATCCCAACGCGTCACCTTGTCCGGGCTCCAAGCCTGAGTTCGACGCCGGGCAACTGGAAGTGCAAGCTACCGAATCGTCTGTCCTTCCTGCGGGATATGATAAGGATCGTGAAGAGGAGCCAGCTAGGAAGAGGGTGTGCCTCGAGCGGGATCATCGGGGAGCACAACGCCACCAGCAGATAGAAGCTGATGGTCATAGGAGGAATCAGTCGAGGTCGACCTCTCCTCCTACCGAGTCTAGAGTCTTGTTTGGAAAGTCGACCACCAACGTCTCACAGTCCACCACGACTGTGATACCTGCAGAAATGGAGCACGAGAGAGAAAGGTCCTTATCAGTGCTACCAGCCCTTCATCCAACCCGCGTGGCAGCCGAAGGAGCAGCCTTTTCCGCCCCCATGGCAACCCAAATCGCTTACCCAGCCGGTCTTGTTGAGAACTTCCATAATCACAAGCAGCCAAAAAGGACAAACAACCCCCGTCTTCGTTTAGCAAACCAGGCGGCCAGACAGGTACGCCCGTGTTCTTTTCCCCTAGGCATGTGGACATGTATGCGCTGACACTTGATGAATTGTCAAAACGCAAAACAGAAAGCGGAAATCATCCGTCTCCGCCTTAGCCTAGCCGCTTACAAGATTCAAACGGGCCAGACGGACGTCCCGCTTGAGCAACTGGAGGTGCGTTCACTGCTACCGCCGGGGGCTTACCACCACAGTCAACGACGGCTGGCTGATGGTGCCTCATCAGAAGCAGCAGTGGACAACTATCATGACGGCAGCAACATCAACCCGGCAAGCTGGAGTTTCAGCAGCAGCAGTACCAACAGCAGCAGCCAAGGCACAGGTTACGTCCAGCGCGTAAACCACCTCCGCCACGCTGCCGGAGCAGCTATCGAAGCCGTACAAGCGAAACAGGAGCGTCGAACGGCATGGGGGCGGGAAAGGGAACAACAGTACAGGGAATGGTATGAACAGTATCGCCATCGTGATCATCAAGGTTCCACTTGGGATCATGCCGCTGAGCAAAAGAATCACGATGGATTTTCTAGGGATCAAAACCGGCAGCGTCAGCCGCAACATGAACCGCAGCAGCAGCGGCGGCAGCGGCAGCAGCGCACAAATCTCGGAAGTGGAAGGAAACCACTACCTGATCGACGGGCTCGTGAGAGCTGGAGTGGTTCTACTTCCACTGGCGGCACAGCTGCTATCGGAACCGCGACCACGGCGGCGGCGACTACGTCGCCTCATCTCAACCGTTTGGACCTCGCGGAACGCGCGTTACAGGCTCATCAGCGGCTTCAGTCGAGGGCGGTCACGGAAGAGCTACCGATGGAGCATGAGCATGAACATGATGAGATCGACTCGGAGCAAAACTCTCTACAACTCACACACCACCACCACCACCACCAACCCCAACAGCAGCAGCAGCGTCGACAATACATGGATCACGACCGCAATGGGTGGGTGGTACACCCTACTACAGAGAACGTCCCAGAGGTTGCCGATGATATCGGTGAAGGGCCAGGGAGGGGGGACCTGGATGACGAAGAGGAGGAGGAGATCGCACCATCCAGATCCAGGAGTCAGATGGTGGGCTCCGGCTCGGGTTACTCCACTGAACCTGAACCAGAGCCTGGGTTGCCGAGTTTGTCGCCGTTTCAGTCGCATGCGGCAGCGTCAGTTGAACATGAGGATCAGGGGGAGGGTGTAGATGAGGAGGAAGGGGAAGAGGAGGAGGAGCAAGGTGAGGATGGGGATGAGGCTGCTAGTGGATTGTTGAGCTTGTCGAGAGGGTGAGTCTTAAGAGTAGAGAATGGTTCTGGCTGTGCTTTGGGTAGTGGCTGTGGGATAGGAGGCGTTGAAGAGCTTTGAATCTTTTGGTTTATGTTTGGAAAACAGTGGCTTACGGAGTATGGTCATGGTCGGTATTCTAAAAGGCATTCAGTTAGGACTGTGTATTCGTGGTCGATATCTCGCAGAGGAGTTGGCATCATGGTGTTAGACGGTATCATATAGCATATATCTGTGTATGACTGACCGTACCTAGCGCCTTCGCATTTTGATTTTGATTATTCAAGGCACCACTTTTTGTTATCTGCCATGCTTGAATCTCAGAATCAACGGAATCATGACTTGCCCGTTCATGGCAAAGGGAGCCGATCAGGATTGCCGGGGTCACCTCAGGATCGGATGAACTCACCGAAGCCAGGGGGTCGGGTCGGACCCAAGGAGCTTCCGTTTCCCACGTGGCAGCCACATCTTATTTTCTCGATGCCGGTCGTGCTCCGATAACACGGTTCAACAATCCCGGGTAGGTATTGTCCAAGGGTGCAGCAAGGACCTGAACACATGTACAAGGCAAGCCTGAGGCATCATTGATCGGTTTGTCATTCCTGCTAATCTCAAGTTTAACCGTCTGCTTCTACTTGAAATGAGGGCATGTTCAGTCCAAATTAATGGTTCAAAAGCCATATGCACCCACCGGTAGACACCGAAGCCGAGTATATGACATGGACGGCCGGGCGTCGTCAAGACAAGACAAGGCAATAAAAACGTCAGCAGTGACAACTTAGATCTGCAACCAGGGAGGAAACATGAGTACGACTAGCGAGCGAGGGAAGATATCTGAAGCCGGGGGTGATGAAAACTTCTACCTAGCCTAGTGGTGATCACAAAAAGGATGACCAAAGGCAAAAAAAAAGTAACAGAATGGAAATAAAAGGAAAACAGAGCAGTTGTCGCTTAGCAAAAACGAAAAAAAGAAAGTCCAAAAAATTCAATTGGTTTTTAGCTGCAACTCGTTTCGATCGAGTGACCTCCGGGTTATGAGCCCGGCGCGCTTCCGCTGCGCCATGCAGCTTTTTTACTGTTGAAAAACTGTAACCAAAGATGACCTTATAAGCGTACACTAGATTTCTGGAAGAAAAAAAAAAAAAAAAAAAAAAAAAAAGGAGAATGCGAATGCGAATGTCGAAAGTTGCTATTGTCTTGACGGATGCAGTCGACCAGTCAGATTCTGGTCGTGAATGAGTCATCGACCTACTCAAGGCTAGGCGGGGCAACTGGAGTGCCTGTTCCAAAACATCAGTGATAGGCAAATGCTGGTTGGTCTTTGACCATACAACACACGTTGTAACTGATTATCATATCAAATTCCGGTCAAGTTGCAAGGTCTCATAGTTGGTACTTGAATTATCTTCTATATTAAATTATCCGTAAAAAATTGCGCTCTGTAACCAAACAACGCCGATGCTAATGAACAGTGTGGTATAATGGTATCAAAAGTGTGCAAATGGAAGAGCAGCCTCAAGTAGGAAACTTCGTAAGGCGTATGTGTACTCGACAAAAGCCACCAGTCGTATCGATACTCCCAACATCCCCCGTAGCCAATTAGTGAAGAGCTTGAGGTGGCTCGTATAGAAGAGCAAAAAAATAAGGGGCGTATGAAGGAATATTCACTACCCGTCAGCGGCGTTGTTGTAGCCCTGACGAGTAGGCGGGAAAAGGTTCAACGCCTAGATCGAGATGGGAGTCGCTCATAAAACAGTAACTGCTGGTGGATGTTGCGGGGGTTCGGTCGGCTCAACCTGTATAGCCCCGTCAGTCCCACGAGATGCACCTGGTGTAGGTGGCGCGGGGGCAATCTCGGGATCAGGTATTTGGATGTCCAACTACCATCCTCAGTTAGCATACAATCACAACAGGTAAGGATACAGTCTGGGGAGAGAGACGTACTGTCATGTAACCGGTCCTCTTGAGCGGCACAATTTTGGGGGGTATCGTGCCATCCTCACTACCCACCGTCTTCTCCATCTCCTTGTTCCACTGCTCAATCCACTTCTCGACTTTCTGCAGCCGTCCCTTGACGCCTGTAAACCCAAAGTCTTCCCATAGCCAGCCTGTCGCAAGACCTAAAACGCCGTCCAAGATGTTGCGCCAGTTGTATGGACTAAATATCGGCACAAGCTCCGAGTTCAGCTTTTGGATCACGCGCCGGAACTCTTGCTCTGATAACCCTGCCGGCTCCAAGATTTCCGGGTACAGGTTCGAGAAGGTAGGGGCAAGATCACCCTCCAAAAGCCAGTCCCGACGGACTCGAATGATTCGCGTGTTGATGTATTCCGGAGAGTCCAGGGGGACGTGAGGGTTGAGGTGCGGGTAGCAAGCGTGCTGAGGTCCCCATTCGTCGCCAGCGTCTGGTTGTTGGTCAGGATCCCCCAAAATGTCAGAATCGTCCGAGGAAATGGCAGAACCAATGCCGGATATCCGTGATCCTATTGACTGCCGGGCGTCCATCACATCAGGTCCTCGTTCCAAGTCGGGAGAAAATCCGGCCCTATCCCCCCCATCCTGCTCATTTTCCGTTGGAGCCATGCCTTCTTTCCCTTTCCCTTTGTCCAAACGTTTCTTCCCGTGGTCGAAGCTCAGTCCAACTGGTACCCGACTCTTGGTGCTTGATATACTTTGGCCCCGAGTCCTTCGTCCAGAAGTGTTCGATTCCGGAATTTCTTGGATAGCGCGGATGCGAGAGGATCCTGCGTCGGTTTCCTCCACTCGTTCAACAGGCGAAGGCGTTATGCTAGCTCGTTTCCCTTCAAGGGAATGTCGAAGTGTGCGCGGCAGAGGGGAACGTTGCCCACTGCCTGTACTACGCTCAAGCTGGAGACTGGCTCGAGCACTGATGGCGGAATGGCGTGCCTGTTGTTGGTTCTCGGGTACGGTCAACAATGGCTGATCGCCGGCGCCGGTAGCTGTTGGATATGATGGATCAAAATCGAGGTGGGGCGAGGGAAGCGAGAGAGGGATCGCGGGCGGCGGAGGCGATGACTGGCGTCTCCTCCGAGTTGCTGCAGTAGGAGTAGGTGGAAGCCTCGGGGTGGAGTTGGTCGGATTCCAAAGACGAGCAGGTAATTGACGATGAGGGGAATGGAACTGGGTGTATTGGCGGTTGAGGGGAGAGTTGGATGCCGCAACCGCGCCGCGGGTTCGAAAGGGTGATTGCAAGAGCGACACTGGAGGGTTATCGTGTGCCGTGCGCGGCGAACGGCCAAAGCCGGGCGCGGACGCGGACGCGGGAGAAAGCGCTGCGGGTGGTGGAGGGGAAAGAGTTGAGGTGTGCGCGCCGGGATAGTTGGGTTGTAGCGATGGAGATGGTAGTTGGGTATTCGTAGTTAGGGGGTACGACGGGTGTATTGTAGATGGCGTTGAGGTTTTGATGGCGGTCGAATCTACGGCGGCTGCTTCAAACGACGAGTAGTGGTGGGTTGGTGGTGCCGTTGGTGAAGCCGTTGGAACGAGCAATCAGTGGCGGCCGCAGAAACGGCCCCCTCAACAAGGTGGAAATTCCGTCTTGCGCTTGGTGGCCAGGCCCGTGTTGGATGCCGACTTGTGATTTGTTGCTCCTGTGTCAAGTCTTGAAGACGAGTCGAAATGCAGCCTTGTTCAAGCTTGACCTCGATCAACCCTGTACCCAGATGGCTAGGCTGCCTAGGCACCGTCGTCGTCGTCAACGGCGGCTCGGTCTTCGTCGAGGTCCACCGGTTCCTCCTGGCTCGCGATCGTATTGTTGGCTTGATCCCCTTATCTCGATTAATTCGGCGGTCGCGGCAGAATTCGCACTGGAAAATCGGCGTCGGAAGCAATCTGTACAGCGACAGATCCCGTAGCACTGGGGACAGCGCAGGGCAGCAATGGCAATGTCGGACAATTGCCAGTTCGTCGGTTGACAATGATTGTGAATTTCCAGCGATATGCAGGGCGCGGTGCTTGGGGTGCTCTGAGTGGCTCCTTTCTTTCGATTGATGTGGATGCTTGGGCTGCAGGTGGACGAGTGGGTGTGGAGGCGGTTGATTCCACCCTGACCCAGGGCCGCTCATCAGCCAGAGGCTAGCCGACCAAGGTCTTGTCAGCTGGCGGGCAACCGGCAGTCAACTACCACTCACCACTGTCTCTTCCACACCAACGTCCCTTCTTGCTTCGTTCTTCAGTCCAAACGAATAGATCGCTCGGCGATGTTGTTGAAAAGTCGACACAAGATTTGAGGCGACCGAACTTCCAACTTATTGACAATCCCTCATTCGAAATCGGTACAACATCACTATTATGAACGAATGCCGAATAGAAAGCTGCTTGATCAAGGAGTTGATGAATGAGTATGGGTTGGTGGTCAAGTTGGTCCTCCGCAGGACGCTGATGGGGAAGTCAGTGTTCTATATGAACTTTTCTTTCTGCTACCCCAAGCAAAGAAGCAAAGAAGCTTGGCCTTTCTTCGGCCGTAGGCGGTACACAGATGTCTTTCAGGATTTCCAGAATCTCTGCGTTCCCGGCAATCTCACTAGTCAGGGGTATCAACCACCTTCATACCGGGAATGTTACCCAACATCAGCGTTTTACAGCCTCAGCTCCGGTTGCTGTACGACGTCCATTGTCAATTTTCTACTAACTCGGCGTGCCCGGACATGGCAAATTCAACGCCTGGAGCGGTCATGCCGTAAGACTTGATCTCCGATGGCTATTACAGAAGTGCATGACACTGGAATATCGGATGAACTCATCGGAGCTAAACATGGACCCTTACATCCCGGTTTCGTAAGGTGCTCGGACGTTGCAAGTCCAAGCATGAACATGATAGTTCCCGTATTCTATCCCTCACAAAGATTTCTTCAAGACCGGCACTGACCAAACCTTATCTAAACACTTTCTTTAGATCTTTCACGCTCTCCTATTAGTTAGCAACGGAGGTCGCCCTGTCGGCAAGCAAGCAGGGCTTCCACATGGGCGTGTCTTGCATTAGGGCCAAAAGCCCACGTGCAAAAAGTCAATTGCGAGAGGACCTTTTGTCAGAATTATAGGTTGGCCGATTGAGCCACTACTCCGACAATGTCGGAGCTCCAATTTTGCTTGTTTGGCGCAGTGGTGCCAATCTGACAATTAACAGTCTGATTTGCGTATTTAACGATAACGCGACGAGTATAAGTAATATCCTTACGAAACTAATAACGTTAGTTATGTCTCTGTTAAAAGAATCTACCGATAAGGCTATTACGGTTATCCTAATACCCCTACTGACTGGCTTAGTTGGTATAAAGCTCTTAAGAGACTCGCTGGCAGTAATTAGGACTTTGGTAATTAGTTATTCAAGGGAGGACTTATAATTTAGAGGGTTCTACTCCTGAAGCCGGAAGACTTCTTCTTTATTAAGTAAGTAAAGAACCGTTTTATAGCGGTAAAGAAGGAGCTTACTAAATTTAATAGAGGAATCCGAGTTAAAAAGGTCTTAATTATAAACGCGATAACTACTATTACTTCTACTATTAATATTAACGGTATTATTACCGAGATTACTACTGCTACCTAATTTTAAGAAGAAGCTGCTACCAGCGCTAACGAAGATAATGAGGAGGGAGGTTTTGTAAAAGAAGAAGAATAAGAAGAAAAGGAGGATAATAAATACTGGATTGAGTAAGATATTAGGGAGGATATAGTTATTAACCCCTCTACTGACTTGACAGCTACTAATAAAGTAGCGTACGATTAAGTTAATAATATATATAATATTCGTTATAAATATTAGAAAGACTTCAACAATGCTAATACCTAAATTCGTTCTTAAATAAATACCTATATCGCCGCCTATTATGCCAATACTTCGTTTAAGTAAGATAAATCTACCCGCAATTGGTTTAGAGAAATTAAGAATTAGATTAATTACTATCCTATCAATTAAATTGTTAAAACCTATTGTAATTATTAAGTTTTTATTAAAGAGATTTAGAAGAAGGTATTAAAAGATTTTAAAAAATAGTTGTCCGATTAGGAAATTTTTATTACAACCGGTAAACGAATTGGAGTTAGCGAAGTTACCTCCCCCACCTCCTAGTTTACCGACTTTGTTGATATAGTTCGATTATATAAGCTTATTTAAGTTAGCAATTCCTAGAAATTTAATAACGAATTTGAGAATCTATCCTTGAGATATAAGGACGTATCCGTTAATTTTAGAAGGGTTAGGATATTAAAATATATTATTATCCTAGTTAATTTTAAGAAGGTTGTAGTTTGCAGCGTTTAGAGTATTAGTTGCTTTAATTCGTAAGAATTCGCATTTAATAAGGAGGACGCTTTCGATTTTAATTATAAAAAGAAGCGGAAGGTAGATGCAAGGAAGAAACGCAGCGTAGATAAAAACGTAAGAGATTTTTTACGGCCGAGAAAGAAAGGAAGTATTATACTACTTTATAAGGCTTATGATCGAAGCTCTTACTTAGTAATGCGCTATTAATATTTAATATTTAAAATTAAAGATAATCCTAAATAGAAGCTAAGCGACTCTATGTAAAAGTTTATTAATAAGAATTTCGAAAAATATCCCGAAATTAGTAAAGAGGTTGAGAAGGTTAAGAATTAAATGCGAGACCGCTTTATTACTTCTATATAAATTATTACATTGTAATAATAAAGGAGACAAGAAATCGGTACTTACAATTTAATATTTTTCGTTAAATAAGGTGCTTTTAATACAAATAATAGTAAGAGTAATATTTATCTGCTTAAAAATTTTATAATCCTTAATTTTAGGACTTTTATTTATATTTTTAATAAAATTAATTATTTCTTATTGTTTCGAGTAGCGTCCTTAAAGGATTGTATTTAGGTTAGAAGTTTTTAAATACCTATTAAAGGTTTTAGGACTGTAAACGTAGAAATATAAGGAGAAAGAGGAATTTTAAGGTTACGATTAAAAGAAGTAGCTTTTTACTTTGATTTTATTATAAATTTTATATTATTACGCCTATTTTGAAAGTAAAGTTTTTATTAGGATTATAAACCCCCTAATAATTACCTCCGTTAATTAAACGGTTTACTCTTTTATTTCCTTTAAGAAATCTATTATTAAATAGTTTTCGAATATTTACTCCTTTCTTTTAACTACATTGCTTTCTTTATTTATTGAAATCGCTTTAATTCATTTACTGGCCGTCGTATATATAAAATGCCAGCGAAATTCTAATATAAGCGATTTAATTACTACAGTCCTTAAATTTTCGAATATTTATATAACGTCGAAGGCGCTAAGTTTAGAGGCCCTACTATTTATTAATATAATGCGTACGGTATTTTAAAAATTAAATAATAAATTAAATAAAAATTATGCGACCGAGGGTTTAGCTCGGGGGAATATTTCGCCGTTAATTTCTTTAATTATAAAGAAGGGAGAGGAAGTTTTAAATACGTTATATTTATTATTTATTAGTAAATTAAATTCGTTTAAAATATTTATATGGCGAATAAACGAATTAAATTTATTATTAAAAGGCTTTTTTCAATTATTAATATAATTAATTATTAGTATAATATTAAGGTTAAATATATCGAATGTAATAACGAATTTAATAATTAATACGTTAAGTATAAGGGGGACAGCAAAGTATAGCATAGATGCTAGGCCAAAATAGGACCGATAAGGTTTTATAAAAAGGAAAGGAAGAAAAGTCGAGCTACAAAGCGGAGCTGCAGACTACAGCCTTTTAAAGGGGGCTGTAGGTACGTATACGGCGCTATAAAGGCGCAACGCCATTGCGAGCTACAAGGTATAAGCTACAAGCAAGCAATCAAACTACAAAGCCTAATATAAACCTCTAAATAGTAGCCCGTTAATATTAGCCCCCTCCTCCCAATCCAGGTTATTCTAATAACAAAAACGACAACGTAATATTATATACAAATAGTAGGTATACTTTCCGTCTCTATATACTCTACCCGTCTAATCCAATTTAACCCGTTTATTCCGTAGCTATTACCTTATAACCCAACGTATAAAAAGGTTTCCTTCCTTCCTCTCTCCCTTTCTCTCTTCTTTTCCCTCCTTTATTACGAATTTAAACGCAACTAATAAATCCCCTACCCCTTCCCTTACGTACTATCTATCTAACTACAAAATAAATTTTCGTAATAAATCCTTCCGAAAATTAATAATATAAAAAATTCTTTGCTTAGTAATAAGCCTAATAATAGTAAGCCTCGGGTTCGTAACTTCAACCTACTATACTGGTAATTCCTATTCCCGTGCCCGCTACTACTACCTAACCCCAACCGTTCGTAATTCCAATCGTTCAACTTTTCGTGGCCCTAACTACTTATTCTTTCCCGGCCCCTAATATTTAACCTATTTACCTTTAATAATATAATTACTTCCCCGGCTTCGGCTATTCTAATTATACCTAATTATAATATAGCCTAAACTTGTACTTCGCGCAACCTAACCCCGCTCCTACTACCTCTAATATTCCTATTATAGCTACCGCTCCTACTAATTCTATTCTTCCTATTGGTTCTACCCTTCCTATCGGCCCTAATACCTTAATCGCTATTTCTATAATCGGTAATAATAAAAAAATTACTAAAAACCCCTCTAACTATTATCCCTTCTATCTACGCTAATACGCAAAAGAAATTTTCCAAACTGTAAATTCGGACTACGGCCACTAATTATAAACCGGCGGCGTCCTAATACTAACCCTACCTTTCTTAAAATTACAAATATATTAAAGCGGATTTTACCGTATATAGAAAGTATATAATTTATAAAGCCGAATTTAAAAAGGCTTATCTTCTTACCTTCGAACTAATTTAGAATATTTATTATAATCAGGAATCGTATAATTATCCGGGTTCCTAGGCTAAAGGTAATAATATTATTACTTGCAAGGATATAATTTCTATTAATAAAATATTCGAATATAATATTTATTTTATAGTTTGTAGCTATTTTAATGAATAAGCCCTCAACCGCCTATTAATAAACCTAAATATTACCGCTAGCCCTGCCTCTTTTTTTTAGCTCTAATACTATCGCCGGCCCCGCTGTTACGCCTACTCCTATTATTACTATTACGCTTACTCCCGCTATTCCTATATAACCTATTATTTCTATTATACCCTTTATCGCCTCTCTCTCCTATAGTTTTACTACTTTTAAAGAATTAAATTAAGTTTGGGACGACGTATTGTCTCTATAGGGTATTATAAATTCCCTACGTTTGTAAATAGTTAAACTCTAATCCTAAAAGGATTCTTTCTTTTAAAATCTTATTAAACCTACTGATAAGCGTAATTCCCTTAAGGGAGGCATTTAAAACCTTTTCGCCGCTACTAAATCGCTTCTATAATATAATATTCGTTCGGCCTTTCGTACTAACCCTATTTCATTTAATATTACCGCCCTTCCTAATTTTATTATAATTACGGCCGGCTCGTTCTTAGAACTGTAGATTCCTAATAGGGATGAAATAGACGCCGATTACCCTATTAAGTAGTCTCCTTTAAAGGAAGAGAAAATTCCGGAGGAGGGAAGTCTTATAACCAATCTTTCTAACTTAAATATAATAAAAAATAATAGTGAAGATTTACTTACTAAATAAATTACTTATATTCCTCTCTATTTTTATACTTTTATAAATTAATTTTTTATATAAGGGATTAGCCTCTATATATCCCTTTATTTCTTGGAAAAAAGGACTCTTTAGCCTTTCGTTATAATTAATTTCTCTTCTATTTACTAAAGCAAATACTTTTCTCGCGCTAATATTATTCTAAAAGTCTATTATTAGTATCTATAAACTTATATCGCTATTTAAATTCTTCTAACGCTAGAATCTCCAAGAAGTCTTCTAATAATTCCTATATTATCTCTCTAAAACCTTTCTACTTAATAAAGACCTTCCGAATTATAAACCCTCCCTTCTCTATAAATTTATTTATATAAAAGATTTAATTTACTTCCTACTCTTTCTTTCCATCGATAATAATAGTTAGGGGTTATAAATTTATAATCGATTAATTTAATAAGGAGTCTTC